TGATTGCAGCAATGTATCATAACTGTAATTGTGTATATTTGACTGCCTCTCAATTGCAGGAGAAGAGTAAATTACAGACAACGTGTTAGAGACATGGTTAGGAAGTTGCATCAGTGCTACTACAGAGAATTTCTTTTTGTGCTTTTTGGCCAATCCAGTGCTGGTGGCTGGCATTTGTTGAGCAGCCAAGTCATGGTTAAAAGATTCTCAGTTTCATGTTTTCCGGGACAGGATTTAAGACTCTCCTCCTTACTTATGTCTGTATCATTTTTCCTCTTTAAATTCTTCTCAAAAGTCAGATCTTGGATCGGGTCAGACTAGTTCATAATAATAATAATAATCTCTTGCTTTTTATCTCTATTCTAGCCATTTTGGAAGGGTGAATAGAAATATTTGATACTTGCTTTTCTCAGAATAATCATTAAAAAAATGAAGTGAAAGGAGGTAGGGCATTCTTCAACATATCTGACATACTGGAAAATAAAGGGATGGAAAATGTGGCCATCTAACACCTATCTACAGTAATTATATTTGCATAATCAGTGATTGCTTGGGTGAAAATGTCTCTCAAGAGGGAACTGCAGCAGTATCCAGTGCTTCTTATCGCTGAATGGCAACGCTGTTTAATAATAATGAAATACAGAAACACCCTTACATTTGGCTTTGGAATATATTCTACCAGGGAAGTTCTCTACAGGGAATGTTGGCTTAGCCAGGCTTTTCTGAGGTTTTGTGAAGTTGTGGAGCAGCTCCATAAAAGGAGATGTTGATCATGCTGAGACCTTCTATACTTGTGAGAACACAAGTTCCGTCAGTCACATGCTAATGATATCAGGATTTCCTACATGGAAGAAATAAATAGTATGAACAATAAACAGAGACAGCATGGGCAAGACAAATCTAGCTATTTCTTGACAGCCAGGCTGACTTCTTCATGTTTTCATTGAGTTTTTTTCCAAATGGAATGTCCTTTGTATTGTTTAACCCCCCCAACCACACTTCTCTGAGGGTAAGCAGCACAGTATTTTCATCAGCAAAGAGGAAATACACCAAAGAAACATTTTATCTGCTGGTGGGAATATGAGCTTCTTAAGCTTTAAAGCTACTATATTCAGCAGAGGAGTAATTCCAAGTGTACGGAGGTTGAGCTGTTTGATTGTATGTCTTCCTGCATTCTAAGATTACTTTTTTAAAGGAATCGTGTAATCATATATTTGTTCCATATCTGACAATGTAAGTCTAGTGTTATAATTTCTTAATATTAGTGTCTTATATGTTAAGTAGGACTAGCTTATTTTTTTTTTTGCACTCCATGGAAGCAAGACTTCTTGCCTGGACTGGTCATCCTCATTGTGAGCAAAGAGCAGGGCTTCTAAAACTGTAAATTAAGTTTTTGAAGCATAGGCAAGTATGAAGTACATATGGCATTTTGAGAAGCATTGTATAGTAGTTTCTGTGTAGTCACTTCCCTTTTGTTATTTTCAGAAAGCAGATACATTTAAAAAAGTAACCTCCCAACCTTTAGTGTGACTTTGAAGCACTTATTTTTATCTATTTGTTATCCTTATTGGGACATGGTATTTTTATACCTTCATTACTGTTCTAAACATATTTCCTTCTATAGGCCTCCCTCTAGAGGCATATATCTATCTTCATAAAAGGGGTGGACCAGCTTTGATAGGTCCCTTGAGTTCACTGGCCTGTGACATTTCCAAATCCTCTGAATACTTGTGTCCAGTTCAGACAGCATGCATGAGTGTGCAGATGAAATACTACTGTTCCTACAGTGAACCTAACATTGTCTACTATGTTAGACATCTTCCACCTCCAAAACCAACTGTGAATAATGTCCCTCTGCCTCCTACGGTTTGACATTGCATAATTGGCCACTGCACTAATTTTGCCTTGTTGTAGCAGAGGCCACTTGTTGGAATGAGTGGTTATGGATGGATTTCTCACAGCTGGCTTATGCCTGCACCCCTACTTCCCAGAAGACTTCAGGGCTTGAGCTCTCCCTTGATTCTGCATTTATTTCATGTCTGCCATTTACCTGGGTCTAGAGCAAGCCATTTGGCATGCAGAATAAATGCAACACAGTGATGGTGTGCAAGATGTCCCATTTTAAAGGGAAATCATTGAAATAGGGAGAGGAGAGAAATTGCAGTGGTCTTTTTAGCATTTTTCTTGAGTCATTCCTTCCTGCTTCTGTGCCCCTTGATTTAATAGTGAGAAATGCTGAGCTAAAACACAGCTGCACACCTGAGAATTTGAAGGCTGCTGGCCATTAATAACTGTTGCTTCTGATGCAATCTGAAACACTTCTGGAGCAGTACATTTGAATTTAATTTCACACCTGTAAGTTGTTTTCTTTTTATCTGTAAAATATGCAAAGACAGAAAAATCTGACGTTAGGCTTAATTTGTTGAATTGGATTGCAAGGTGGGTCAACTTTGAGTTTGCTTCAACATGATATGCTGAATTAAGCCAACTTAAATCACGAAAGGAGACGGCTTAGGCAATATGATTACTAGAATGATGTGCTATGTATCAGAAGGTTTGCTTTATTTTTTCCCAAATGTTAGTTGATTATCTTGTTGGATTCCTGTCCTTTGTCCCACTGGAACATGTATGCTCATTTTGAACACTCACTGCATGCCAGAATTGGCATGAAAATCTCTGAGTCTTGGAGGAGAGGAGGATTCAGAGAAAGTAATAAAGCCTCTCCTCTAAGGAATTTCTGTCATTCTGGATGAAAAGATGCGTATCATCTTGCTTTGTCCCACAACCTCAGTTAACCAGCAGATGGGATCCAAGCAATATATGTGTACTGCCACTGGACACAGAAAGCTGTGTAGATACATTACAGAAGTGACGAGTTTTTTTAGTCTTTGTATATTGTTGTGCAGGAAAAAAGACCTGGAGAGGAGATTTTTTCAATATAATTACACGGAGTGTTGAATTCTGTGCTTTGTGAAAAAGCAAGTTGTGTTTGGATCCTCCTGTTCTGCATTGACTAGCCTGGCAGCCCTGAAGCTGCTAGGCCTGCTGTGCAGTGACAGAGGGAGAAGCAATACTTGCTGCTGTACCAAGTGTTGTAGGCTTGAGTATCTCAATTTTTGGTATCTGCATGAATGTATGCTTTACTTTAGGCAGTCAAATTTCCAGTAAGGGATACCATAAAATAAACAGAAGACTTAAAATGATTTTTTTTTTGTTTGATAAGAATTCCAAGGTTGCATACTTGGTGCAAATTATTTTTCAGCATAACATGGTATAGCTTTGTAGCTCAGCTCATGGTAATATTTGCAATCTGATTTTTAATGCTTCACTGAAATGCCTAATCTATTTTTCTTCCCCTCCTCCCCCAATTTAAAAAAAAAAACACTTGTTGGGTCTTCCTTTTTTTTAGGGTTTTGGGTTTTTTTGGGGGGTTAAATAACAGTTACAGCTTTATCTGAACATAGTTCCTGTCATTCTTCCTGATGCTGACCATGACATGTGTGAATTCTTCATGCAAGTTTTCTCTGCCTGCTTTCTTCGTAACATACATAAGAGACAGAGTACTAAATGTGTTTTAAGTGCTGATGAAACTTCCATGTCTTCCATGGGTAGTAACTATTGTGTTTCTAGAGTGCTGAAATTGTGGCAGCTATATTTGAAGTTGCTCTTTGCATCTGTTTATAAGACTGTGTTTTCAGTTGCTTATGATTGTGCCAGACTTGCTGTTTGGACTGAAATTTCCATCTTCAGGAGAGTAAGAATTGGAGCATCTCAATTCAGTAATTACTAATTATTTTCACAATGTGTGAACAGTGTTGATCTTTCAGAAGCTGAACTCTGGACTGGCTGTTCTTAGCAAGTCAAAATTTTTGTTGCAAATTAATTCAGGGTGATCCATAAACTGCTGCCATTTTTTATTTGCTCCGGATTCCAATAGAAATTTCCTCTCCTAATCAGAGACTCGTTTCTCCCAAAAGTGAAAGGTCTCCATAGATTCACCATCATTTTGCTCTCAGAAGTGCATCGTTCGTGTGTTTCCCTTTGCCATGTAGTAGAGCACATTGCAAATTTCTGTGCTGGGCTTTAATTTTTAGCCTCTTCTGCCTCAGTAAAGGAAAATGGGTTTGGTCAATTCCTTCAGTAACAGCCACCTTAAAAAGGTCCACTTGTGTGTGGACTGTGCTGTTGATACCTACTGCTTTTACACATGGACTAAAGCCCAGTACTTGCCACCTCCAGTTATGAGCTGTTCTTTCACAGAGCTTCCTCTCTGGAGTGTTTGAACTACAGCATATTTCCATGCATTGTTAATTTGAGCAGCACCTGCTGAGCACTGTGGGCACTCCTTTCCTTCTTTAAAATCTTCATAATTATCAATTTAGGCAAGCCAAATCTTCTCGGATGTCTGTGCTTTTGACCTTGCTTTTTCAGGGCTTCTGCTAGCCTTGGTCAAAGAAGTCCCTTCAACACAGACCCCATCTTGGCCCAGGGATGGGTTTCACCTTTGTCTTCTTTGTCCTGCCTCAGCACAAACTTGTGTTGCCTGTGCAGCATCCCAGTTTCTCTGGAAACTTGGTGAAATGTGGTGATAGCCACAAAATTACGGGAGCACTTCAGCCAACAGAGTGAGGGAGCAGATGAGATGATGCATTGGCAACTATTTCCCTCATTGGTTTTAATAATAATTTAAACTCGGCAAGGGGGAAGCCTTCCTTCATCTGTATTCAAGTTATTTTTTGTAAAGAAGAGTAGATTAAACCTAGGATTGCAACTGATTTGAAACTTTATAAAGAAAGAAGGGATACTTTTTCCTAAGCAATTTTACTGTACTCTGTGCACTTCTACCAGTGTAGATCTTTATACACTCTCATTTTTCAAATTACTTTTGCAGTTAGAGCAACATCAGTATCATAAGTGGAAAAGAAACCGAAGTCTCTACTGAAAGAGAGTTAGGTAAATTGATTATCTTTTACATAATGTTTTTTGCTTTTCTCTTATAGAAGAAGTACAGGAAAGGATCTGTGGATATTTCAAGGATTAAATGTGTAGAAGTTGTAAAAAGTGATGGTATTACTCCCTGTCAAAATAAATATCCATTTCAGGTATGTTCCTTTTATATAAAATATATAAATTACAGTGCTTTTCTCAACAACGTCAGGCCATTTGGATGTAACTTGCTTGAAGTTACTCTCACTTTTAAATACTAAGCCTGTTCTCTGGTTCTCCGGGGCTGTGTGGGAGATGGTTCAGGATCTACCAACAAGCTCTGCTCCCCCTGCAGTCCTCTCACTTGGGAGTTGTGCCTCATACACTTGGTCTTTCTTTCCCCCACCATCTCTGCTTGGGTTTTGACTGGAAAGTACAGTGTCCTGGTCTTCCTCCAAAACTGTTTGGCTGGCAGCCCATTTTCCCTGTCTTCATTCTTTCACATTAAATTCAATTTAATTACCATTAAATTATATAGGAATAAGAAAATAAAGATAAAACTTGCTACGTTTTCTTCCACTGTGAACTGAATGGAAATAAACACAGAAAACAAATGTGTTGTGGGGGGTGGGGGTGTGTGTGTGGGGGAAATGTGGTGTATCAGATATGCTGTGCCTGCTTGTGAGAGAGTGAATGGTTGGAGTGAGGGTGAATTCCAGTGCTGGAGAGGGAACTTTGGCCCCTTTCTCCCAGGGCAATACTTGCTTTCCACCAATACAAGCACTGAAGAAAAAGAAGGCAAGAATCAACCCAGAGCAGCACAGAATCACAAGGAGTTGTGAAATGGCTGAGAACAAAGGATGTCTGATTATGAAATTGCTTTAGGAATTAAATTGGACTGTTTTTAAAAGGCACACAATGAAGAATGAACAAGGCAAAGCATGAAGCAAACATTTTAAGGAATGCTCTCAAGATAATATAGCATTACAAAATCCTTCCTTATTCTACTGAGAACATCCTATATGAATAGTAAACCCTAATAACTTTTCCCAGTTTCTGCATTTTGTGCTTAAGTACACTAATTTTGCCAACTGTAACAGTGACTTGTTTTGTTCTGTTTCCTGAGGAATAAATTAATATTACCAGGTGAATGTATTTTGATGATTTCTTTTTTTCTCCTCTCCAGGTTGTATATGATGCTAATACGCTTTATATTTTTGCACCAAGTGCACAAAGCCGGGATCAGTGGGTGAGGAATCTGAAAGAAGGTAATGGAAATTGCTCATACCTAACATCTGTCATACAGACATACCTTTGAGCTGTCTGGATGGGCTGGAGTTAACCTGGTGCTGTGTTTTGGATTTGTGTCCAAAACAGTGTTGAGAAAACACTGGTGTTTTAGTTGCTGAACAGTGCTTGCACAGCATGGAGGCTTCGCCTTTTTTTCCTGCTTTGCCCCCACAGCAAATAAGTAGGCTGGGGCTGGGCAAGAGGCTGGGGGGTGGCACAGCCGGTACAGCGGACCTGGACTGACCCTCGGGGTATTCCAGGCCATATCATGTTGTACTTAGCAATAAAAACTGGGGCTGAGGAAGATGGTTGGGTTTTTTTGGCTTGCGTATTGGCCGTTGCTCAGAGACTGCCTTGGGTATTGGTCTGCTTGTGGAAGATGGTGAGCGATTGTCTTTGTCGCTTTTTTTTTTTTTTTTTTCCTTTCTTTTGGTTATTAAACTGTCTTTATCTCAAGCCACAAATTTTCTTGTCTTGCTCTTTCTATTCTCTCCTCATCCTGTTGGGTGGCAGAGAGTGGGAGAGTGGCTGTGTGGGTGTTTAGCTGCTAGCTGTGTCAACTCACAACAAGCTAGAAAAATAAAATGGTAGAACCTCTGTTGCATGTATCCACTGTTTTTTATTTTTTATTGGGCCAGCTCATCATTTGCATACACAGTGTGTGATAACTGGTACTGGGGGTATCTAACACCTGGACTGATTTAATTTGATTTGTGAAGTCCAGCTGCAATCAGAATTTGACTCTGTGCTTTTGCACAATGTGTGAACTATCAAAAAGCTTATCCGAGCTAGTTAGTGGCATTGATCAAATGTTTTGTTTGAATGTAGCTAGACAGCATTACGGGTCTTAAACTGATGTAAAATAACAGGAGGTGTCTCCACCGAGACTCATTCTGATTAATGCAATCATAGTGAGTTGGTTTTTTGTTTTTTGTTTTTTTGTTTGTTTGTTTGTTTTTTCAAGAGCCTCTTAATGCTTTCTGCCACCATCAAATACTCACATTAATTGCAGGTGCTCTGTAAAGTAATAAGAAATTTCTGGGCTGGGGATCACAGGGCAACAAATAACCTCTGATACTCAGCAAGCCTTTAGGATGGGGGTAAGGATCCTTTCCATCCAAACACAAGCATTGTGCCATGGAACAGTGATAAATGTCAGCTATCTTTCCCTCCAGAACCCTATTTGTAGAGGAAATGGAGTCACTTGCAGCAATAATAAAAAGAATAAGGGCAGGAAGAGTCCTCAGGGCCTTCACAGATGCCTGACTGAGTCGCAGGGTGCAGGTGGGCAGCTGGGTCTCCTTTCATGGATGCACCAAACCCCTGCTGGGGTGGCTGGTTTAGGCAGGGAGTAGAGCACTCTCTTCTGGAATGAAGTTATGTATTATCCTAAAAACATCCTCTCCTATCATCATATCATCTCCATGTAAACTTGAAGGAAGGTCCGTAAGAGAAGTAATGCTAAAGTAAGGAGGACAAGTGGAGATTATGCCTCATGTCAAACATATTGTAATAGTTATTAAAAATGGCCCTCTTGCAGATTTATTATGTCTCTTTCAATATATGCTTTTTCTTCTTCTAGAAATAAAGAAAAACAGCAATATAATGGTAAAATATCATCCTAAATTCTGGACAGAGGGAATTTATCAATGCTGCAGACAGACAGAAAAATTAGCACCTGGATGTGAAAAGTATAATCTTTATGAAAACAGTAAGTACATATGTTTTCATATTAAATTGTGTTGGCATATTTTTCTGCTTTTTTTATATGATCCTGCCATCACACCTGAATGCCCTAGATATTACGTAAAATTATAGAGCAGTCAATCATTGATACTATGCCTAAAGTAATGTTTGTTTAATTTCCAAACATTTTGTAAAAACCATAAAGACTAGTAAATTGTTCTAGCAAAAAATCTCGAGAGAAAGCAGAAAGGAATCATCAAGGTTGCTGATTTTCACTTGGTTTGGTTTTGCTATCTCAAACTTATTTGACCAAGTGTTTACCTCAGACTGAGGATAAAGTCTGATGGTGAAAAAGATTGAGCTAGAAATCCTTGCCAGCTCTTCAGTTTTAATAAATAATTTTTAACATACCACTGTAAAAGAAGATAACTGTGTTGCTTTCAATGTTATTACACCAGTCTAAAAATGATACAAGAAGGCTTAACGTATTTACAGACATGGGACTGAATTTGCTTAGAGATTTGCAAATGTCCATATGCTGAACCTGGATGAACCGTGACTTCTGTAGGCACGTGCATCTTCCAACATCTCCATCACAGGTTCCGCTTGTTCAGCAGTGGATGCTGAAGCATGCAAAGATGAGCAAGTGTGACCCTCACTGCAGTATTGTCCTACATAAGGATACAGTAATTATTTAGTACTCAATTTAAGGAAAATTCTGCAGTAGAAAGAGGAATTGAGCCCATTGCTTACCTCCCAGTGAAATTAGCAGTGCCTAGATGATTTCCAGTGTCAGTGCCTTAAATGGCAATGGTGGGGACCTGTGGATTTAGTTGCATTAAAAGACTTGAGGAATAAACAGGGGCTTATGGCCAGCCTTATTTGGCAAGATGTAAAACATGACATATAGCTCAACCTTTTAAGCGTGGGGGAGAAAAGCAGTGCAGGAGAAAAAATACTTTTGGATCTGAGAGAAGTAATAAAACATATATACAACTTTTATGCCTTATTTAGCGAAGCAAGGGTCTGGGGGAGTATTATTTTTTTAGAAGAGCAGATGTTAATAGGAACAGACCTTTAGATTATCATAAGAACATTGTTTCCTTTTTACATACCTTTCTTTTATCTCTGTCCCTTTTTTATTTCTCGTATATCTCTGCATCTGAGTGCTGGTTCAGGGATCTCTGGGTAGCATGCTCTGGTGTAGCACAGACATTGCCAAATCTGTAGTGAATGTAGCCTGCTGGCTGATTTAGGATGTTTTTGCAAAAATATTTAATCAGCATTTTCCTAATGCTTAATTGAATCTGTCTTTACTTTCTGACTTACTAAGCTATCCTGAAGGCTAGTTAAGATATTAAAGCATTTGAAATTTAAACCTTTTATTTCATTTTTAAATTTATAGCTAAACGGATAGACACAAATCCTTTCCTGTTTTTTGTATCTAGGTGTCATGAGATTGCCTTCTCCAATGCCAGAAAAAAGTGCAGTAAGTAAAGTCTTTAAAATACTGAATAGATAATTGCTGCTTTTTGAGATGGTGTTTAAATTTCCTGAGATTTTTTCCATATCCTGGAGCAAAGGTCTGTTTCTGTATGTGTCAATGGGAATCAAGCTCCATCTTGGGGTAGAAAAAAATCCCAGTGGAATTTAGCTGCACCTATGAGCCGTATCTGTACTGATGGTGGGAGAGGTGGTCGAACAGCAGACGCCAGTCAGCATTGCCCTGTGCTGGCGGCTGTGGGGCTGCAGCACGAGCAAAGCCCACGGACGGTACCTGGGTGATTGTCTGCTACGCAGCCCAGTTGCCTCCCTGGGCCACCACAGCTCACTCCTGGGGCAACCTGGAACTAGCTCAGCTTTTGCCTCTGGGATGCTCAGATGGTTTGCACTGGTGCAATGGTAAGGGTGGGTGGAGTGGAATAATGGAGCAGAGTGGGATGACAATATTGTTGGGTCGTTTTCAGCGAAGGCCTCCACCACCTGTTCCTCCAGTTGAAGAAAATGGCAATGAAGAGGAGGAGATAGTGGTAGCAATGTATGACTTTGAGCCTACAGAACATCATGATTTAAGATTAGAGAAAGGTGAAGAATATACAGTGATTGAGAAGAACGACATTCACTGGTGGAAAGCGAGAGATAAATATGGGTAAACATGAGTTCCTTATTTTTTATTATAAGGTTCATATGGATATTTCCATGTTGTAGTAGTTTATGTTGACTATGTGTCAACAAATAACTGTAATAGACCCCACTTTAGACCCCCGTCCTGGAATCTCATCTGTATCTTTATTCCTACATAGAAACCAATTTTAAAAAGTGCAGTTTTCCATAGGTAGTGGAGTCTGAGTGCAAAGGCTGTTGCAGAACTGGGAGCTTTTCCAGTTATATTTCCTGTCAGACTTCATGGTTTTCCAATTAAAGCATCAGCCAGCTTGCAAAACCTTGCTAGACTGGTACAGTACTCCTGCTTCCCTGGGGAATAGCTCATTAGGGAGCAATATGGTTAACACTCAGCTCAGCAGGCTCTGACTTCCAGACTTGAATAATCATCATATTTAATAGCTGGATCATTAGGAGCAATCTTTGAATGAGCTGAGAGTTGCAGTGAGATGCCTTAATGACTACAAATTTACTTTCCCTGGATTAAAATTTTTCCCTACGGTTTTAAAGGTGAAAGTTTCCATACTTCAATATTTATCAGGTCCCTGTTGCAATATGTTAGGGGTAATTGCAAGCTATCAGGCTGTGGCAGGCTCCAAAACTATTTCCAGTGACTGACTGGGACCTCCGAGTACAGAAGTGACAGAGCAGCAGAGGGTTTATTCTTCTTCACACTTCTGCTGCCTTCTCTTCTTCACTGTGCCTGTTATTTCTCTAGGCACGCTGAAAGTTAATGTGGAAATGCTGATGAGGAAAACTGGTTTCTGTATAATCAGCAGTAGAGTGGGTAGGTCAGTGATAAATAAATTACAGTGAGGGACCTCTGGTAATTAGCAGAATGAAACACAGTCACTGTCTTCTAGTCAGGCATTTTTACATGTTTTCACTCAAATGCCTTTTTTTTTTTTTTTTTTGTAGAAAACAGGGATATATTCCAAGTAACTATGTAACAGGAAAGAAGTCCAACAACCTTGATCAATATGAGTAAGTGAATATTTGAATTAAAATCTGGAAGATGATTAAATGAAACCTATGACTTAAGCACGACAATGTATTTTTAAAGTTTTATGAGCAATTATTTATGTATGGTAGCAATTATTTCAGAGACAAAACTTAAATATATGAAATAGGCACATATTTGTTCTGATTCTCCTCACTGATTCTGCTCTGATTTATAATGTAGAGTCAAGTTGGTGAGAGAGCCATCAGGCATATAGTTTTTAGGCTATCACTATTAAAGAAAAAAAAAAAGAAATCCTTCCAAGTTTCTGATAGACAAAGGGAAACTTTAAAGTAAATTTACCCATTATAAGTGTGCTGAATGTTTGTGTTGGTTTTTTTTTTTAATGTTAAAGTGACACGTCTATCCAAAGTGTGTGGCAGTAAGTAGAGTAGAAAACAGTGGAAATCATTCAAAGTAAACATAATGGATCAGAGATTTTTGGAGGGCCGTTCTAATTTTCAAGAAAATCCATCACTCCCTGCATTTTAAGTCTCAGTGTACGTGTATAATTTATCAGCTATAAAGTATAGCTTTTTTAAAAAATGCCTTTTCTAGTTGATGTTCAATTATGGACTAGCTATTTAAGAACATCAGGATAAAATTTAACATTGTAGTCTCCAAGCATGTTCTTAATGTTCAGATTTCACTCTAGTATAAACTGTTGTGCCTGAGAACTTAAGACGTATTTCATGGCTTTTAGATAAAATGGAGCTGTAAGGAAACAATGATTAAAACCAGTTTGTGAAACCACATTAGTAGCTCAAAAACTCTGCTCTCAGCCATGTATTGCTCCTACAGCTGTGTTTTGACAGAAGGTAGGATTTCATCTGGGATTTTGCCCTCAGCTTTACTAGAGGGAATTACTCGTTCTTTGTTGCCTTCTCATATTAGAGGCTCTTGCTGAGAGCCCTGCCCTGCTCTGGGCTGGGCTGCAGGGCTGGCAGAAAGGGAAGGAAGGAACTGGGCTGCCTTATCTGGTCCAGCCACTTTGTGCCTTACCAGGTTGGGGCTGTAATTCTGAGTCACTGCGCAGTTCAGGGAGGATTACTCCAGGTCATGTACCAACTGCAAGAAACCACTATCTCTCCGGAACAGCAGAACTTGATTAGAGGCTGCTGTGCTACTTCCCTGCTCAGTTACTGCTGTGACAGCATAGCTCAAAATGATTGCACCGTGCCATTTGCGAGCTGCGTCTTTTTCCTTTTTATATTATTCGCTGCAGTTGGTTGAAATGTCAGTGCTTCTGTGGCTGCTTTAACCTGCCCATGCAGCACTGAGGTTGGGGATGTGCAGCAGTGACATTTAATTCACTTTTGACCTCCTCTTTGGTAGGTGGGTCCTCCCTGGAAAATCAGAACCATGAAGTTATTGAATTAGCAGTTTAGTAGCTAGCTCCGCAGGTGGCTCAGCGGGTGTGCAGGCAGCTGCTTCCCTGGGGCTTCCAGCCTGCCCTCAGGCTGTTTTTTTGCCACAAAATTTGTTCAATTACCCGAACTTTATTGCCTTCTGTAGGGTCTCGCTGGAGGGAGACTGATTTTTGTACATTACCAAAGGTTCAGTTCTTGGCCTTCACTTAGCAGAAAATTATTCAATCTGTAGCTTTGTAATACTTTGTTTTAAGCATTTTATGTAAATCGTGCACCTTGGAGGAAATTTTGGTTACTGATGTTGTGTTGCAGGTGGTACAGCAGAAACCTGAACAGGAGCAAGGCAGAGCAGCTCCTCAGAAATGAGGTGAGCACAACAGCCTTGCAGTATTAACGAGCTACTTTACGTGAATTTTATAGTTTTATTAAAGCAAATGCTGTTTTGGCATGTGCAAATCACAGAATGAGTAGAAGAGACATGAAGTTTAAAACCACTGTACAAAGCTGTTCATGTGCTTGCATTGCAGGATAAAGAAGGTGGTTTTGTGGTGAGAGACTCAAGTCAGCCTGGCCTGTATACAGTTTCCCTTTATACAAAATTTGGAGGGTGAGTTTCTGTGGCTGCTCTGCGCACCTTGTCTCATCCAAATCCATTTGCATCTGTCTCCATTCCATAGGCTGGAGGAAAGCCCAGGAGAGCTCAACAAAGAAACAGGAACTGCTGTGACTAAAATGAACTTCCCGACTTCATGGTTAGGTCGTGTTTGGTTTAATTCACCACAGACCAGAATCTCCATGTGAAGGAGGAGGCCTTCGTCTCCCACCCCATTCAGTCTTTTCCCTCCTGCCAGTCCGAGTGTCTGTGTTGGTGTGTGGTGAGCTGGACTGAGGAACTTGCCAGGCTGAAAATTAACCTTTTATGGGTTAATCTTCAATTTGGTGTGAGCACTGAGATGAAGTTGAGTCGTGAGCGCTTGAGATCTTTGGTATTCAAGCTGCTCCTGAAGCATGTGACATTGGACACCTACACTGGCGCTTTTGGTTTCCTTTTCCTAGTCAATGTTGTCCACCTAAAAAATTCACAACAAATGATATTGTATTATTACTAATTGTTGTTATTGTCATTATTGTTATTCTTCCAGAGAAGGTTCATCAGGAATAAGACACTACCATATAAAAGAAACAGTGACATCACCAAAGCAGTACTACCTCGCAGAAAAACATCTCTTTAACTCCATTCCAGAAATAATTGAGTATCATAAACATAATGCAGCAGGTAGATGAATTGGATTTTTCCTGTTGCTTAGGTTGATTTGAAAAGGAGTATGGTGTAGTTTTAGGGGTTTTTATTGAAGGTTTTAATGCTTTTATAGATCCTTCTTGGGGAAGTCATGAGACACTACATTTTGTGGTTTTTTCAATATAGGCAATCATTTGAAAAGTTTTATGTAAAAAAAAAATAAAAATGTTACTGTCCTCAGAGTAACAGAACAACAGCTGTTTTGAATCAGGAAAAATCATTCCTTTAGCTCCACATTGCATCTCCAACATCTGCCCGTAACCCACAGCAGATGGATAGGGATGGTACTTCCCCAGAGTATTGTCCAGGCGGTATCTTATTTTACCTGCAGGTGACCATCACTTAAAATAATCTTACTTTTCCATATAGCAAACAGATGAGGAGAATAGTAATGTATTGTTCAGGAAATCCCTAAGGATGAGTCTTTGTAATGGTTAGACACTTCAGATCTATAGCTGATGGCTGATGCTGGTGTTCTCCCACTGTATGAACAGATGGGGAGAGTTTAAGAATCAGATTCAAGGCACAGATACTAATATAGTATATTTTTTTCAAGTCCAGTCTGTGCATAAATTTCCCTCATGAGCTATATTTTCCAGATGTTTATGTCAAGCTCAGATGACCCAGTATTTCCTGATGATATTCTGGAAAATGTGCTCCAAAAATGTAACGCTACTTTTCATTTATTGTAACTGATTTTACTAGTTATTTTTAATTGCTTCATTCCTTTTGACATATCAAGTTCTGACAAGATTTTAGGCGAATATTCAGCTAGCAAGCAGCATTTATTTTGTATATATAAAATCCTCATGTGAAACTGGTAGGATTTATATGTGTGAAACAAAAATGATCAAAAGTAATGTTGTGAGTTTTAGATAACCTTTCTGATCTGATTTATGAGAGGGGTGCTCAGCCTTTATTGGTGCCAACATAACTGTAAAGCCCAAATATGTAGGCATATGTCTATATCCATCTCTCACTAGTAAAGAATATTCAACAAGTTAGATGCAGTGAGTGCTCCCGTGTACTTCTTGTAGCCATTTTGAATAGTCAACACAATGCAATAGCAGAAAATATGGACAAAGCTGTATATAACAATAAGCGTATTGTTACTCGGCGTTGAAGTTTGCAGTGAACAAGTGGCTGATTTTCTTCCTGGCACTATTTCAGAAGTAAACTGTTTCTCTTGAATTATCATTGAACCCCAGGTCTCGTTACCAGGCTGCGTTACCCAGTGACCCCAAAGAAGACAACAGCACCAACAACAGCAGGATTCAGCTATGGTAACTGTGTGTTATATTCATCTGCACGTGTCTTTTCTAATAATTGTTTATATGTTTTCAATGTATGTTAAGATGCTACAGTGTTTTATAAAATTTTTCAAAAGACCTAATTTTGTACTGTGATTGGCTGTAGTAACTTATGTGGGTCTAGGTTGTACCTTAGAGACCCTTGCTCAGAGGATCAGTGTGCAAGGGCATCACGGCTGGTGGCAGACACGTGGTGCCAAGGGCAGCAGTGAGGAGAGGCAGAATATGTCACTGGTGCTCCTGGGGAATTTGGCATCTTCCTCCACGCTGTTGTGGACACCTTGAGCTCTGCCTGATTAAAGAGCTGTGGCTTTGGCTCCTCCATAAGCCTTCAGTCTTCTGACTCAACCTTGGCGCTTTGATCTTTGTGGAGAGGTTATATTTGTTATATAGATTTGAAATAACTTGTTTTAAGCGTGGCCCATCAGGTGATGTGAGCAGCTGCTACACATTGGCACAACTTTCTACAATGGCAGCTTGTTGAAACCAAGTCCAATAATATCAGTATGTAATTGCTGGCCTCAGGAAAGTTTGAGTTTTGCCTTCTGTGTCAGTCAGGAGCTGCTTAAAAGTCATGACTACCTAAAAGTAAGTTTGTTCTGTGAGGTGTGGAAGTGTTCAGTTTTCAAGTTAATTCTAAGATGTTTTCTCCCCAAATTCCCTAATTTGCTAGTTTCCTTTTTCCCTACCACCTACCAGTTCAGTAGGTTCCTTAATACAGGAGTCACGGGCTGTCGTTTGTTTTGTTTTATAGAGAAATGGGAAATCAACCCCTCAGAACTGACGTTCATGAGAGAACTGGGGAGTGGTCTGTTCGGCGTAGTGCGCCTTGGGAAATGGAGGGCACAATATAAAGTGGCCATCAAGGCAATTCGGGAAGGTGCAATGTACGAAGAGGATTTCATTGAAGAAGCTAAAGTAATGATGTGAGTTGTGTACTTGGCACTTTTATTGCCAGTTCTAGGCTTCTGATGCCATATATTGATTATAAATAAAAAAGACCTGAGGCAGGTTGTATTTTTGCAGTTTTGTGAGGTGGAGAGCTGGGACTGGGTGGAGGAAGTAATAACAACATGATCTCAATCTTTTCAGGAAGCTAACACATCCTAAATTAGTTCAGCTGTATGGTGTGTGCACACAACAGAGACCTATTTACATCGTGACGGAGTTCATGGAGCATGGCTGCCTTCTCAATTACCTGAGACAAAAACGGGGAGTTTTGAGTAAAGATGTCCTGCTCACTATGTGCCAAGACGTATGTGAGGGAATGGAGTACCTGGAGAGAAACAGCTTTATCCACAGAGACCTGGTAACATCCTATTAGGCAATATGCTCTTTTAAAAAATTGTTATTTTTGAACTTACCTATTCCTTTTTGAAACGGCCTGTTTGTAAGTGATTGCTTTTGTTCTTGCAGAAAATTATAAGTAGTTTAAGTTGGCTCTTTAGGTTCTAAGCAAGTCTATAAAGTTGCCCTATACAGAAAAACATGACAGGTTTCTCTCTCCTGAGAAAATGGAATAAAATCTCTCTGAAATTTTTATAGAGAGTTGATAGCTATTTGCACTGAAATAATAGTGTGTCTCTGTTCTCTACTGGTGTTGTTTTCACCACTCATAAATTCCTTGGGATATTTTTTTCTGGTGATTTTTTACAAAATGGTTTAGTTGTCAAAACAGTACTATCAAGAGCAAATGCACATGTACCTCTTAATCCAGAGCATAATGAGAATACACTACTGAACTTGGTAAATCAGTGAACTTGATAATAAGGACTTTGTCCTCATTACTTAAACTATTGTAATTTCCCTGCAAGAGCCAGCAAGTTTTTAATCCAATTTTAACTGTTCCTTTTGCAGGCTGCCAGGAACTGCTTGGTGAGTGACTCAGGAGTGGTCAAAGTATCGGATTTTGGAATGACAAGGTATGTCTGAGTATGCAAACACATTTGTGAGGATCTGGGAAAATTCACTTAACCCTTGTACTTAACTATAAGGCAACACAAGCCGAGCAAAATTACAGGCAAAAATTATCCTTTTTGACCTCTGTAGGGAACATCCTTTGGCTTATTTTTTCCCATGCCTTTAAAGCTTGTTTGTTCTGTGGTCATGCGTCGACTACCTTACTCATTTTAATTCTGGAAAATCAAAAGTAGGAAGTTTATTCTCTAGAGATGTAAGCGTGTCTAGTGTTTGCCATGAGAAGTTTGGCTTTGACTCTGATCTGACTAGTCTTCTGTTAGCAGCTTTCTGTAGCATCTGTGAAAATCTTACAAACTTCAATCTTGTAGAGATGCAGGAGGTGTATTAGAGTTTGTATCTTGGATGACAGAACTCATGCTGCAGAGTTAATAGTTGTTAATCTATATTTTGGTAAATAAGTGATAGAAAGAGGCTGTTCAGTGAGTTTGGGATCCTCTTGAGGTAGATAGTTCAGAGTAGCATCTCACTAGCCAAAGTGTTGGGAGATGCTCAGACCTGGAGAGGGGTTGATTTCCTGCCCTTGTTAGCACCCACGGGTGCTACTTCAGGTAGGAGATGTGTGGTGAGGAGCAGTGCTTATAAGGAAGGTGTTAACACCATGCTTTGACCATGCTGCTCTTGGCTTTTGCCACCTTTCTGTGCTACTGAGCTTGCATGTCCCCTGATACCTGAATTTAGACTGGTCAGTGAGAAACAGAGCAAGAAATCTATGCTTTTACATAATTTTCTCTTGTAATACAGACATTTAACTTGCAGGTGGCCTAGACCTGTGTTGTATAGATAATAATCACAAGAGATGACTTTAAGGTTCTAAGAAAAATTAACTGGGTGTTGACTGAAACCTTACTACTGCCCCAGAGAAGCTATTTTTATTGTGTGATGCTACCAATCATGGCCATTAGGTGGCAATATGAGCTTTTAATATTCAAATCGAAATCTAAGTTATAATTTTCAGGTTTAGAGGCTGACTGGAGGATATGATGTTTTTCATTTATTTTTTTTTTTTTTTTTAGGTATGTTCTTGATGATCAATACACAAGCTCCTCAGGGGCTAAATTTCCTGTGAAATGGTGCCCCCCAGAAGTTTTTAATTATAGTCGGTTCAGCAGCAAGTCGGATGTCTGGTCATTCGGTAAGATGTTCATCGTTGAAAGAAAGCACTATTTAAATATTATCAATAGTAGTTAAGCTCCAGTTATTGGGAAGGATTCAGACATCTGAGAAACAGCTCAGAGAAACCATTTGCCATGGTTTTACGTTTGTATAAAGTTGCAGACACACCTTTAGAACTGTTGTTAAAACCCATTCTACCAGAATAAGATGGTTTGAGCAATGACACAAGTGAACACTTTTTAGAATATGGATCTCAAACTATCTATCTATGAGAAATACTGAGCCCAGGGCTCAACATTAAACATATTTTTAACAAGTTATTTGGTTATTTTCATAATGTATGTTTGTTTGTTTGTTTGTTTTTAAAGGTGTTTTAATGTGGGAAGTATTTACAGAAGGAAAAATGCCCTTTGAAAAAAGCTCCAACTATGAAGTGGTAACAATGGTTAGCCAAGGACATCGTTTGTATCGGCCCAAACTAGCCTGTAAGCAGGTGTATGAAATGATGATGATGTGCTGGCAGGAGGTATATACTTTTTCATTTTTTTTAATTTAAATTGAAAAAAAAAAAAGTCAACCTGGCAACAGCAGTTAATCTCTATTGCAGCATTTTGACCGTATCCAGCGTTCTGCTATTCATGTCTTCGTAGCTAAGACAAAAATATCCCCCTGGTTTGCAACTGAATTAGAGCTGTGATAAGAAAAACCACTGAGGAAATTTCTATGAAATAAATAGACTGTTGGATTAAGTATTCAAAGGCATTCAGTAACAAAATTAAATAATTGCTAAATCTCTGCTGGTCGCGATTATACCTGCATACAAACACTGCTAGCCAAAAAAAAAAAAAAAAAAAAAAATTGGAATGGTCCAGAGGTGGAGAATCTGATTTTATATTGCCTCAGTGTATTAATCATTACAGAAACATGCCAGAATGATGGAAAATATTTTTAAAGAAATACTTCATTACCTGATTATTAAAATATATAGGAAATATAGATTAACTTGCAGTTGAACCTAAATACAAATCCCAAGGTTTGTAAAGAAAGATAAAAATACACTGTACTCTTAATCTGCCTAACCCAGATACTGACTTGTACAATTTTCAGAGGGCAAAGGGGCAGCAAACCCGAAATTGAGTACTTTATCAACTAAATCGGTATAAAGCAGTTTCTGTAGTATTAAAGCAGAATCTCTAAGAAGATAGGTGCATTTAATGAGCGCCTTTAATTTTGAGAGAGCAATAGAGGAAACCGAGAATGGAAAGAGCTGTATGTTTTATTTCTAGTCAGTCTTCACCACAGGAGGTGCTGGTGAAAAACTACTGTTTTCCAGTAATAAAGATGACATAGTGTCTGATCGTTGTCTTTGAGGAGAAGGTGCTGGAAAGAGAGCAATTTAGTCATCAAACCAACTGGTGGAGATCTAAAACTTACAAGCCAGTCAGTTTATGCAGCAAAAAATACATAAAGAACAACAGTGCCCTGGAGGGCTGCAGAATGACAAATATATCTGTAGTTCAAAAAGCTATTCACAGGAGCCAGGAAATTACAGATCATTAAATTTTGTTTGTACTTGGTAACCTCCTTGAAATGGTCATTAAAATGGAATAATAAATAACCTGGAAGATAATGATAAGTTATTTGTTAATGCTCTTTGAATATTAATATGTATTTATAGGATTTATATGAACATCAGTGCATTGATTAAAAATTTATTGATTTCATCAGGGGTTACTAACAATAAAATCTAAGCAGTTGTGAGAGAGAAAGAATCTTTGAGAAACACAGACAGGACACAAGTAATGGCAAGATACTCTCAATCTTTGTCATAAAATATAATTAACTGTAGGTACCTCAGTCCTCGTTTCATAAATTTATTAATGACTTGTAGAGGAAAGTGAATACTGAGGCTTCAAAATTCAGCAGGTGATACAAATCTGAGGCTGATAAATGGAGGAAAAGTGCAAATTGCTCAGACATTCAGAAGATGCTAAACTACCTGTGTCAGCAGGGTCAGTGAAGAGACTACCTCAGTGTATTGCTGTAATTAAACAAAACAAACAGGATGTTATGATAGATAAGGAACTGTATGGAAAAAAGGGTAGATGAAGGATGCAGTTGGGTAAATCTATGACACAGTCTCATTTTGTAATCCAGAAAATAACACTGAAGTAAGAGGCTTCAGCGTATGACACTAAAAATTCTTAGAAGCACGAACAACTTGTGTAAAGAAAGATTGGAGCAATTCACTGGGGGAGGTAGGGATGGGGAAGGTGTAGCACTATGCAAAATAAAGAATTATATGAAGTGTAGTCTAGCAACACCTATTTATGCTTTTTCAGAGCATAAAAAAAAAGTGATGCTTACTGAGATTGACATACCCAAATTCCACAGAAGGAGATATTTTTGCACGTCACATCTAATGTGAAACAGTAAATTCATTGCCACAGAATGATATCAAGACCATTATTGCTTTCTGATCACAGCTGTGCATGCTTTTTCTTTTTAGAAACCAGAGGGACGCCCAACTTTTGAAGACTTGCTTCACACAATCATTGACATTGCAGAGGGTGAAGATGCATTCTGAAAAAAAAAAACAGCAGCACAAGTACAGGAAGGAAGCCACTTTCCAGAGATGTGGCTTCACCATTTCTTTACAAAAGCTTGATCCTGTAAGCTGCTGGATGCTTCTGAACAACGTGGGGAACACGTAACATCTGATTCACTCCAGCACAAGGAGAGTTTTACATGATGGTGGGAAATGGGCACAGTATCTTCAGCAATACCAGCAGTCTCTATATTTTCTCTGAAAAGTCAGCACTGCATAGCTGGCAAGTTGAGCTCTTTATGGAGGAAGAGAGAGAATGTGGCCAAAGCCCAGCAGCCTAATTTGCATTTAATGGGCTAGGTTCATGTACATACAGTCCACATTTCTGAGTTTCTCTCTCTTTACACAGGCAATAGTATTAGTAGTGATTTGCATGCTTAAAAATTGAAGGTATCTATAAATGGCTATTTACTGACATTGAAATGTTTCCAGAGATCCTCCAGAAACATTGTTTTTCTCAGTTGATGGGTGTTTTATGACACATCAAAAAACACAAAAAGTGCCTCTCTCATTTGCACAGAGTAGGTTGTTAACAGCACAGTCGAACACTCACATACACAGCCATGGTAACACTCAAAAAGCTTTGCTTCAGAACTGAGTTGTGATATGCCCCAAGCCCTTCTAGGCTGTTTGGTCAACCAGAGACCTCATACTGTTAGTCTTGACATTACTCATGAAAAATAAGTCCAAGATTCATCACAACTGTCTGTCAGTGTACCATAGTACCTTGGTTTGGATTAATTATAAAATAATTTATATGTTGTATGTATTGTAAATATATAAATTCCATGCATTTATTTATATAAAGTGTGTTTTCCTCTTGAAATTTTCAAGCACAAGTTTGTCCTGCCTTTGCTTACTTACACAACTCAATACATGGGTTTGTAAATGAGTGAAAGTAAGCTCTCAAGTGTGTTTAAGGAGGGCTTCTCTTTCTGTCTGTTACTTATATGTACAGCAATCTAACCTTTCTGTTCTTAACAGAAAATGTCATAGTACACATGTATGTAAATAAGCTAAATGCTAACTGTTGTTTGGAACCGACTACTATGTTGCCAATAATTTGCTGTTAGTGCATTATAAGCCAAACTCATCATTCATGTGAATATGGTGTTATAATAGTCCGTGTGTGTGTATACATATATATCTGTGTATACACACTCTATACTAAATACGTATAGTAGTATGAATATAAGTTTAAATTAACTTGGCCATGAGGAAATGTTCATTGCAGAAACGCCTAAACTCTCTTCAGAAGTTACATGCCCTGTCCCCCATGCTAGAGGCTAATATCTCCACAGCCCTGCTGAAGCCTGTTTCAATTAATCTAACTGATACCAGTGAATATGAGTATTTGCACTTCAGCTTTGCTCTAGCCACCTCCTCAGTAACTCTATTATGTGGGGTTTTTTTTGTTACTTGTGCTGTTATGCCATGTGTAATAGAAAACAGACTGCACAAAAATGTACTTTTTAAAATTTTTTTTGCAGGTAGGCACAGAGGAGTATAGGGCTGTTTATTTCCAATCAAATTATTAAAGGTAACTATAGTTAGCTTACTTCAATGCAACAATGGAATGTATTATTTCTGTAATCAATTTTGGAGATGCTTAGATCCCTGCACTGCTTTGTCTAAACCTTTATGTTTAAAAGGAGGAAACCTCTTGTTTCTTGGAAGAAGTGCTTTCCTATTCTCATACTATTCCACTGAAAAATTACTGGTTGTCAGAAAAGGTTTAAATAGCTATTTCATTTTTCTTAATGGCAAAGTCTCAGAAGATTATCACAACTATGCAAACCACCCTGTCAAAGTGTTGAGTCCAAACCACTACCCAATCAATACCAGCAGCATGTATTATTAAAGGGGAAAATCTAGGGGTTTCTACCTGTAGTAGAACAAGGACTGTGGAAGATCTAAGGTAAGCCAACCTCATCTTTCCTTCCCTTATTGTTCCTTTGCACCCCAGTTTCTCAGTGGAGACCCTGCAAAGTATGGTGCTGCCAATACTTTTGACAATACAGCATGAAAAATTCTATAGTAATGCTTCCCTTAAAACACAAATAAAGCATGGGAAAATCAGGAGATTAATAGTTTTCAATGAACCTTAAGCCTGTTTCTTTACAATAATTATATATTTATCATTAATTTGTATGATAAAACACACCCTGACCATGTGGACTTTTGGCAGCAGTTTCCTCAGTGAAGTGGGTGCTTTGAATCCAACCCTTTCACCTGCTCCTTCTCAGTACCTGAAGATAATTTCTGCATACCTGCCATCGGGTTTGATTCTTACTTAGGATGTCAGGAACTGTGAGGTACCTAGTTTCTACATGAATGCATTTTTTCTGTTAAAGGTAGCCTTAGATGGTTAATTTTGGAAAGGATCAGAACAACTCTAGAGACAGCTGTCTTGCTGACTCTCCTGGTGTCTTCAAAGGCCAGTTGAAATGCTGCACCAGCCTTTCATCTGGATGAGCTTGCTCAAGCAACTTCAGTCCTTCTTCCTAGTTTTACTATAACTGAATTTTTTCTAATGTTGGGTTCAAAAATTCATCTGAGCAAAACCAAATGCTGTGATTTATGTCTGCTGTATTTTTTTTTTTAAGAAATACTTGGCCCTACTGATGACGTTTTAATATTTTTTTTTTCCCTGTACAGTGTGTGTTTGATACTAGAAAGCAGACACTTTTTTTCACCTTTATTTTTTTATTAACAGATGTGAGACTAGTATCTAGTCTGTTTGGGACTTTTTTTTTTTTTTTTTTTTTTTTTTTTTTTTTTTAAAAAAGGTAAGTAGGCGGGATCAAGCAGTATTTGTGGTTTATCATATTTCATATCAGTGAAGAGCTCAGCTAGGGCTGTTGTACTGGCACAACTGATGAAGAGAGGCTTACATGTTCATCTGAATGTAAGCAGAAAACCAGACATGATTCTTTCTACCTGTAAGTAAACTGGGCTGCGTATTTTGATCTTGCAGTTTTGTTTTGTGCAGCAGCAATGTATTTAGTAAATGAGCTATTTAAATATTGCCATAAAAATTTCAGCTAGCTTTCTCTTGCCCTGCTCAGGTGATGTCTGTTCAGACTGTTTGTCCTGACTTTCAAAATTACTGCACAGATATGAATCCATTGGATGGATTCAGCAAAGCAACTATTTTTGCATTCAGATAGGGAGATATTCCCGCATACTGCTCTTAAAAGCATGTACAGCACAGACATGACTAAAAAGTTTGGTAGAACTAGACTTGTCTTTTGTCCAGAGCTGAATTAACTCACAAGAAAGACAGAAATCCTTAGCTTGCACAAGTGAAAAGCTGAAAGTTTGTCTTTTAAGGTATTATTAGAAATTAATTGTACAGTGGTTTTCTCCTAGTTTATTGATTCTTCTAGTACTGTTGAAAACTGACAGATCAGGAAGCATACCATGTGTTACAGTAAAGATTTGGGTTTGATGGGTGAAGCTGAGTTTGTAGTGTTGAACACAGCTAACTTGCTGCCCCACTGCAAGAGCAAGAACTTCTTGCCAAACATGCTAAAAGAGGGCAAGTCTTAGATATGGACTACATGGTTTTCAAGTTAGTAGTGCCTTGAGAAACAGTGAATCAGTAAAAGAAACTTGAGCCAAGAAAGCTATGAAATAATAAAACTATAAAATGCAAATTATAAAAATTAATATCTAACTTACTGCTTTTTTTTTTGATACTACTTCCCCAAGGCTGCAAATTAGGGTTATAAATGAAGATAGGAGGAAGGTTACATATATGAGAGGTTGTGAACTGGCAACCTCTGCAGACAGTGTTACCAACCCAAAACATATTGCTGGATGTTGTGGGACTTCATCAGGCCAGTTATTGGCAACAGTGGACCATCTCAAAGGACTTGAGTGTTTTCACTATGCCTTCTCTGTTTTTGTAGGACTATCTGCTTCTTAAGTAAAAAGCTGTTCCTGACAGCTGACCAATCTTCTTTTTCTTCCTCTAGCATCCCATCTGCCCCATTGTGCACAGATAAATTTGTTTTCAGGCCTCTAAGTTGGTTATCAAAATGTCAGCTACAAATTTTGAGGTTATTTGCAAGTCTAGCTTCACACCAGTTTCCTAGTATTTCCATTTCATCTGCATGCTTCTCTTGCCACGGTATCTTCTCTTGTTTCAAAACTCTGCATGCTAAAAGGTCTGATGTGGGGCATTGTAATTCAGTAGGCTATCACGGCTCTGTGCTAGTGTTGGGATTCATATTTGTTAACCTGTCACCAGGGAGATAATATGACACTCTTTTAAAAACAAGTGTCTTCCTCCTAATATAGTCATTTCCAGAAAGAAGATGACATGAGTGGTGAAAAGGGCTATGTTTTTTGTTACTGTGTTAAATTATTTGTAGAATTGTCTGAGGTTGCAAGCTTTCATCAGAAATTGGAGAAATCAAATTCTCAACACAATTGAAGAGGGAAGATGCGGCATATTCTAGATTCAACAGCTCAAATACTGGTTTGATTTAAACCTAGGTTTTAAGCTACTAACTTTAATTGCTCCATGATGATTTACCGTGAGGATCAAAGCCAAATGTGTTTTGGGAACTTATGTCATGATAGAACTCTGGGAAATGTGGGCTGAAAGGTCTAGTGGGGCTGTGCATGCTGGAGAAACCTTCCTTCCTGTGGATTGAAAAGAAGCAAGATTTGACTACTTCTGGAATTTTGGGGAAAATTGTTGGTTAGGTAGGAAACAGAGAAGTGGGACTTGAAAATAATGAAAGGTTCATAAGTACTTTATTTTAACAGACTTCAGAAATGATTTACTGTTAAAAATTATGGAATAGTTCTTTCTGTTAGCCTTTTTTTTTTTTTTTTTTCAGTGTCCTATCAAAGCAGTCTGTTATTCTTAACATGGTGAATGTTATTGGTGTCTCTGTTCTCTTCAAAATATGGAATCCAAAATGTAATTTTCTTGCTGAAGCACAACTCCCACTGATACCATCACTGTCTAATTTTTAAGTTACGAACTCTTCAGTGTGGCTATTTGAGTTAGGGGCCATGGGGTCAAGGCTGTTTAATATGTGTGTGACTAACACCCTTTGACAAATCCAGAGTGTTTTGCTTAAGAAAAGATCCTTGGTCCAAAATTGAAGGAAATTGTATGGAATAGTGTCCTGGTTTGGTCTGGAATGTAGTTAATGTTTCTTCTTAGTAGCTAGACTAATGCTGTGGTTTGGATTCATTATGGGATTTGGTATGAGAAGAATGCTGATAACACACTGATGTTTTCAATCATTGCTGAGATTTCAAGGACTCTCCAACTCCTCATGTCCTGCCTGTGGTCAGGCGCACAAGAAGCAGGGAGGGAGCACGGACAGAGCACCAGACCCAAATTGGCCAATGAAATATTCCATGTCATGTAATGTCTTGCTCAGTATCTAGAGGAGGGGTGGCTGGGAAGGGGCTCTCTCTCTCTCTCTCTTCCAGTACTGTGATTGCAGGATCTTGGTATTTTGGGATCACTACCTGGGAACAGACTGGGTGTCAGTGGGTGGTGAGCAATCACGTTGTGCCTTGCCCATTTATACTTTCTATTATTGTTAATGTTTTATTTTATTACCATTATTAAATCTTTATTATCTCAACCTGAAAGTCTCCCTCTACCCCTTCAATTCACTCCCCCATTCCCAGGTGGGGGTGGCTGGGTGAGCAGCTGCATGGTGTTTGGTTGCCAACTGGGTTCACACCACAACTAGTTCCACTGATTTCAGTGATTTGTGTTAGGGCATAGCAGAAAGGAACATCAAGAAGAAGTACTTGAAACAAGTAAATTCTAAGAATCTGTTTTCAATTCCTTATGTGCATTTTAAAAGGTAACATTTTTTTCAGTTTGCATTAAAATGCAGAGTTTCAAGTATTTATTATTATTTCTTAGTTGGTCTGATGGCTGTTGAATAGAAGAGAAAGGAAGGAAGAGCCTGAGTCACAGGAAGGTGTGTGTAGTGATGAGGAGGTTCAGGCAGGAAATGCAGGCTTCCTGCAGCGCTGCGGCGAGCATTGCTGTGGCACCTGGAGCCACAGGGCAAACATCTTCCTCGGCTGCTAGCAGAAGTTCAAGATGCAAGCCAGTTTAATCAAATTATTCATTCAGTGTATCAAAGCTTTTGCCTTTTGCAGTGTTGGCCGAGCCTTTCTTAAAACAGCATCGCAGAGCAGCTTCGGGCCTTTCTGTAGTGAGTTATGAACACAAGAAATAAGATTTAAATCAAGAGGAGAAAAAGTGTTGTGCAAGAAACTTACCAGTGACTAGAGAGTATGTAAAATGCATAGATCAATACATAGATCTTTGCTTGAGATGCTGAAATTCCAATCCATCAGGTCAAAACTTCCTGACTTAAGTCATTTTACCTAAAGCAGGACTTAGCTCCCCAGAATTGAAGGCCTTTCTCTGCCTGTGTACCTTGATGCTTCCTGGCAGACTTGATAAATTTCCAAAAAGAAATTAACAGTTTGCACTGCATTGATTTATGCTCATATTAATTCCTACTGAATTAATTCCACAAGCGCTCTAGGACTAGCACATGGACAAAAGAATTTCAGATATGGTGAGGATGCTGAGAACAGGTAATGTAAAGACTTCACTTTCAAAGAGCTTGTAATGATCTTTTTTAGGATGATCAGTATCTGCTGGGTTGATAGGCTGTGATTTGACACTTAAAATAACCGGATAGGGAGAACTATGCAAAGTTTGTGCTGCTCCTCCAGAGCCAGCTATTCAGTTATAGGCTCGTAAAGAAAAGCAAGACGGAATTACATGTCCATAAGATCAGTCTGAACCCCTCACTTTTTGTGGTAACAGACAAATCTTTAAAATCTTATTCAAGATCATTCTAGCATTACACAGAAATGCCATAGTCCTGCTTCTAAATATTTCTGTTAAGTGTTCTGTAAGGAGAGCAAATTATCTAATGAGGAATAATGTATTTAATTAGACTAGATGGTTTAATCAGAAGAAACAGATGAGATTTCAAATATCATATTCTTTTTTGCACATCATTAAATACTTCATAAACATTGATTAAAGTTCATGGCACCCAAGAGTTTTTTCACCTGTGGTGTTCACTGTTTATGGAGCAGTTTTAAACAGCTGAGGGCCAGTTCAATGTACATGGGAGAATTATGCAGCAAATAAATTGTATTGCCCGTATCTTTTTAGCCTGGTTTCTTTAAAGAAGATTGTTGGTGCCATCTGGCTTGAGTATTTGTAATCACTGCATTTTGCACAGCTGTCAGTGGAAAATTTTATCAAACAGTTGATAGTGTCTTCTGATTAATGGAGACTCACCAGCTTCTCACATGATTGGTTCTTTACAGGATGAAACAGTCTAAGGGAAGTTGCCCCACAACTTTCAAGATAAACAGTCTAACAAAAATACTTGTGAGACAGGTCTCTTCCTCTTCCAACTAAGAACTAGTGTTAGTGCAAGATTTGTTAAATTATGTACCTTTCATAGAGAAAATAATTAAATTTTCATTGACTAGTAAGGTTGCTTAATGTTTTGAGTGCTAGGATGCATACCCTCAGTGAACTTGGCTCGCAGGACACCAGAAGGGACATCCTATTTATTTCGGACTGGATTAGGTCATTAGGATCAACAAGCTAAAAACCCCATGAGGGAAAAACAAATAAAGTGGAAGAAACTGGTGGGACTGTACAAAGAAATGTCATGTGAAATAGAAATCAGCAAAATACCAAGACTTTGGGAAGCCTGTTTCGAATAACCTTGAGGCCTCTTTTCATACTATGACCTCTGTGGCAGGGAAAAATAGGACACATGGGAGTGGGCTATAAAGTTTATTTTCTGTTAGTGCAGCTGAATATGAAGGGAGCCTTGCCTCTACATGCCTGGCTCTCATGCTTCCTAAGAGACTGTATATCACACCCAAGAGCTGAGCCCGTCCTGCTGGTGCTGCTGCCCTCCCATCGGCGATGCCTGATGGTGGGACAGTTCAGGGAGCTGACCTGGCAGAGAGCGAATCCCTGACAGCTTAGTATCCCATCTTGCTTGGTTGGAGATGAACCACGCTATAGAGGGGAAGGGGATGGGACCATAGCTGCTGCAGCTTGGCTCAAACTGCCCCAGAAACACAAGCTGGGAAAAGTAGGTCTCAGCCTGAGTAGAAGTGGACTATAGCAGGTGTCAACCATTTATTTAACATATTCAAAACTCCTTAATGTCTTCTGACCTATTTAATATCATATCTTCTCTGCTGCTCCTACAATTGACTTTTCTCTAAATGTACTATGTATGTGATGAAGTGTCCAATGTATTTTTCTCAGGATTATCAACCACTTGGAACATAAGTGTAAAGCACATCTTTTGTTAGCACTTTAAACCTGGGCTAATGCATATATTTATATATATGACTGCAACAGAAACAGGAAAATCAGTATTAATTCAAAGAACTGAATGTAGTCTGTCTCCTTTAATAAGCCTTACAATAAGAAAAAGCTTGTTATGCAAGTGTGGTTTTGTGTTTGGCTTGAATGATCTAAAAATTATGTCAGTTCTGAAGGGGATGGTTCTCCACCTCCTGTTCCTGATGATGTTCTCTTCTTTGCTGCACTGGTTAGAGCTTGTACAGGGTGGTGTGATCGGTCATATCAGTACTGATCTGGCTGACAAGGTCTCTTTTTAATTTTTTTCTGATTTAGTGAGCTGACTTAACTCATCACGTGGCTTCATAATTACAAAGACATTGTAAGGGAGACAGTGGGAACAAATAGTAGGGTGGGAGAAAAGATCTGCTGTGGTTGGTGGGTGCAAATTCAGTCTTAATGATTTTGCTAGATATCTCACGGCAAGATGGAGCTAATACTGGGGCTAAGCACATATGGTAGTCCTTAATTCTGTAAGTTTTATGAACAAACAGAAACACTGCAAATACGGAAAATGTTCTTGTTCGCAGATCACACCATCCAGTCTGTTTTCTGCTGCTGCTGCTGCTGCACAGTGCAAAAAAGGTACGTGAATTGCTTAAGCTTTTCATCAATTAGGATGATCAAAATATTTACATATAAAGGACTTCTTAAAGTCTCTCTATTTGCAGAAGTGCTAATTATACAGAAGTTTAAAGATATTCTACCCTGTATACCCCTAATAAAGGCAGGCATATATATCCATTAATATTTTTATGTGAATATTTATGGACATATATTCGCACAAATACTTCATGTTTTTCAAAATCAGAGCAACAAGAACAAAAATGAACCTGGACCCTGATGCTGACCTAGTGACCCAGTACTCGGCCTCACAACCAGATGTTTCCTATGCATCTACCTGGAAGTGCAGGGTAAGTAATGTTTTGGCAGGTGAACAGAGAGAATTGAGGTGATGTGCCATATGGTGGCTCAGTATCAGAACAAGCAGAGAAGTAACTAACTCTTGAGCGTGTAAGGTTCTTCACTGCATAAAGATTAGAGTAAAAGTATCTGAAGATTCCTACTGATGTAAAATCAGCATCACATTTCACAGTGCGGTCTCCTAAGCTCTCTGTCATGGACAAGGTGGTACCTTCTCCCACTTCTAGGTTTGAGTGATGGAGATAGGAAGGGTGGGACTGCCTTGCTGGGCAGTTGCAAGCTTACCTTGTTCAGCTGGCATGTGAAACGTCCACCTCAGTTTCACTAGATCTAAATTGAATTAATCTTAGTTTTCAATGCAAAACTAAGTGCAAAGCTAGAACCTAACCTGATGCAAAAGAAAATTATGTTTCCACCAATTTGCTAAGAAAGTCTGTAGCTCCCTCAGTATTGATTCCCCACATAAATGACTGAATTTCCAGAGATTGTTACTCCACTGATTTCAATGCTGCTCTGCTTTTACAACAGCTGAGGATTTGTCCCAGCATTCATACCATGTAGAAGTCACCCCGATTAGGTAGATGGTTTGTTTATTATTCACTGTACTTTCCAATGCTATTTTGGCTTCTACACCAAACTACTCAAATGTAAATCTTGCTGTTTTATAAGTGTTGAGGTGATAGTGCTTTACAAGGGGAAGTAATGACCACAATGAATTCCTCTTAGTTACTGAGATGGTATAATAGTAAGGGAATTAAGCAAGCAGTAGTAGGGAGAAAAGACCAATTATGAAATATACTTTTTGTTCCCCAGCATAAGAAGCAATTGCACTTAAAGAACAAGCCATTGCCTCCTCTACCTGCTGAGGCCTTGGAAGACCACACAAAACACCCCAGAGTTACTGCACTCTATGACTTTTTTGCTAGAGGACCCTTGGATTTACCGCTCAAGAAGTCAGAAGAATACATTATCCTCGAACAGTATGATCCCCACTGGTGGAAGGCAAGAGACCAACATGGGTAAGAGCGTGGGCATCTATTTCAATCTCCTCACACAGAAATAAAACCACTTAAAACAACCCCTGTGAAAGTGTGCAGATAGAATGAGACACATGCAACCATTTAGGGGCAGGTTTGAAAGTGTTCAGCTATGTATGAGGCACGCAGATTGACCAGGCAGACTTTCAGCTCTCTTTGGCACCCCAGAAATGCGGAGGGGATCTAGACTGTGTTGGGAATGTAGAGTTAAGTCCTAGACTCAGTAGTTTCCTGAGCAGCATAAGGGTGTTTGAGGACCATGTGAATCACTGGGCTCTGAGCCATGTGCAAATCCATCTTTCCATACTTCGGGTGCTTTACAATGCAGTGTGTATGTGTAAACACTTCATAAAGACCATAATGATTATTAAGACATGTGCCTGAAACAAAATCCCTGATCCAAAATTCCTGGATGTTTTAGAGAGCCAGATAACTTCATTTAGGTTTATATTTGTTTCACGTCGTTCCCTTCTCCTTTGCATTTTCTTCGTTGTATCCTGTACTCTGATGTTGGGAATGGTTATGTGTTATATAATAACTGTTTCTTTTTCATTCAGATTTCTCCTTTAAATACTTTGAAATGCTTTTTCTCAACTCATGTTTGCAGCAACAGTACACTGATTATTATTTTGTATATACACACAAGCACACACTTTATGCTTCTTCATATAAAGCTTTGTATAGGCCAGAAATGAAGAGGGTGGCTTCTGATTCAGAAGAAATATATTTTTTTTCTTAAATTTTCTTTAGATTTGACTTGAAAATTTTCATTAACATGCTGCTCTCAGCACTCTATAAATACCTGTATACCTATCCCAGCTGAATTTTCCATTTCAGTAGGTATCCACAGTTGTGGGGCAGAAAGGTTGTGCCTGGGATGAAAGGACTCAGACTTCTTTTCAATTCCCACATTGGGATTCAGTATCTAATGACATAGCCAATAGTATAAGGAACCTTTGTAATTCAATAAAAGGAAGATGTATATCTTAATCTTATTAATATTTTACACTATACTATAACATTATCCCAAATATATTGTTTCAGGAATGAAGGTCTAATTCCAAGCAACTATGTTACTGAGAACAAGAAAAGTGATTTAGAAACATATGAGTAAGTACCCTTGAAAATTATAATTGTGCTTTCTTTTCTAAAAATTGATTGCAGCAATACATTTTAGTGTTTGATCCTTCAGTCTTTACTAGGTGTGAACAGGTGTTTATTGAAAGATCTCTTTTTTGGTTACAAAACATTACTCTTAGAATGGAGTAACCATTTTGATTTGAAACTATTTGCTCAGAGTGTAACATGAAGTTACAAACACTGAGCACCTCAACAGCATTCATTTGCATAAATCATAATGTCAGAATCCAGATGTTTCCGATTTCTGTAGACTCACTACATAACCTTTCTATATTCTGATCTCTTCCTGTTGTGAACATGTAATTAATTGACTAGAAGCTAATTCCAGTTGCTTCAGCCTAATTTACTGGAGGGAAGATTAAAATTCTGCAGAATTCTAGAGAAGAGAGGCTTGATGCAGCATCTGGGATTGTAAATTTCATCATGGTTTGGCATAACTGTTTCTTGGGTTTTCTTTTGTTAGAGCTTATATTTAATCACAGTGAATGGGGACAAAAGTTGTCACATTTACAATGGTCTAATAAAGTAATTCCAAATTAAGAGATGTTTATATACAAGGATAGTTCTATTCAGGTTTCTGAACTGAGAATAGTGCAACTATTAAGATGGACCACTTTTTTGAAACAGAGCAAACATTAACTTTTACTGGCTGAAATTAAAGGATAGGTTATCTCCTTGTTGCAGGTGGTACTGTAAAAACATAAACAGAAGCCAGGCAGAACTTCTTTTGCGCCAGAAGGTAACTCAGCTTAAACATAGAGCTAACGATATCTAGGAAAAAATATTAGTAGAGGCATCAAGAACATTATCACAGTCAAATTGGTATGCAGTAAGAGAGAAAGTACTTTAAAATCAAAAGGTTTCCTGGGGTAAGCGTACAGACCAGACTATCCAGACCTCACAGAGTATTAAGTTGTAGCTCCAGCAAATTCTGTGTAGAATTTCCATAATATATAAATCAAATTACATGTGGTTTTACTGTGCTTGTCTTTTGTATGAAGCATTGAAGACTGAAATCCATCTAGTAAGTAAATTAGTGAGGTTAGCAGAGTTTAACAAAACCCCTGTGTCTTCCTTACATATAGAGGAAACATACCATATTGCATTCTACCCCCTATCAGTTAACAAAGTGCCTAACTTGATTAAACTCATTACGTCTTTGCTCAAGGACTAACACAAGGACTGTACAAGACAGACCAGAGAAGAACATCTCAGAACTGTGTTACAGTATTTTTTTCTAGTGATTTGTACAATTTGATTTTTTAATAAATCAAAGAATTTTCACTACTTCACACTGAAGAGTATAATTCACCTAAATTATTTAACTCCAAGAAATTGCCTGGCACTTAGTATTTTCCCTTGGTTAATTTTACTCTGCTGTATACCTGACTATCAATTCCCATTCTCCTCTACTTTATTCCCCTCCCAAATAGTCATAGGCATTCCACAGAATTTGGTAACCAGCTGCAAATCCTAGCTCAAGGGAGGATTATTCAAGCTCAAAAGCAGAAAATAACTGAACTTTGATTTCTTTTCAGTCCAAAGAAGGTGCATTTGTTGTCAGAGATTCAAGCCAACAGGGACTTCTTACTCTGTCCATGTATTCACGGGCTAAAGGGTGAGTTGCTCTTAACGGTTAGGGTTTGAGGTGATGGAAGAGCTTTCTCTAGACACCTCAGGGTAAGTGGGTAGGTTGGACATGCGGTGCACAAGAGCAGAGAACCACTGGGGTGCTGTTCATGCAGAGTTAATTACCCTGCTTGCAGGAAAGATGACCGTGGGCAGTGGATCTGGGAGTCAGGGTGCAAATGCCCTGGTGAAACAAGATTAGCAGCACTCATTGAAATCTTCAAATAATCTGCTGTGAAAGCTGTGCATCCCACCCATGTAATGCAGGCAATAAGACTTTACATTCACATTTTACCTCTCATTCTACACGAAGTGCCATGGCTACCACACCATGCTGCCACAGCCTTTAGCCACTGCACTGAACTGCTTCCCTTCTCCACAGGCTCTGTGCACTGCAAATTCATCCCAGACTCTGCTGTCCCCAAAACTTCTCCTGTTTTTCTCCTAAAATCACCTCACCTCACCTCACTGTGCAGTCCTCTTTTGCTGGATGACTGCCACAGGACTTGTGTTTTCTCCACATCAGTAGCAGTCAGCTACAGCACTGACTTATCCCATCCCACACTGCCTTATACCCCCTCCCTCAGCCCTCCTACATCTTCCTGCATCAGCAGCATCTGCTTTCCTTCTCTCCCTTTTAGACCAAGTCAGATGTGAGAGGAGGAAGGCAAAGGCATTGCTGCTACCACCATCCTCTTCTTCCTCCCCTCCTCAGAAAGGTGGGGTGAGCCCTCCCCACCATGCCTGTGCTGGGCACAGGCTCACGATTGCAGTGGGGTACCACCTTTCAGCAGCCACCTCCAGCCTGAAATGCAAATTTAACTTTTTTATTTTGAGTCTCACAGAAAGCAGGGGTAGATGGGCAGCAAAATATACAGAAAGCAATAAAGACAGATAATGTGGAGAAATCCAGGAAAGAAAATGTACCAAACAAAAGCTCCAGGGGGGGGAGCCTTTGGAAAAGCAGAACAGAAAATTTAATCTCACACTATGCATGAATGTTTTTGCCTGAGATTCCCCCCAAAAGTTAATGAGGATCATTGTAATTTTAAAAGCTTAGTTCCAAATAAATGCTGAATTAGGAGGAATATCTGTTAAAACACTATGGCTATTTCTTATGGATGCAATGATACAGGGGTAAGTACTTGTGCAATAAAAGCCATTGTGCATTATCTCCCAAAGTCAGGAGTGAGATCCATTCAAGGTGTCCTTTTCCACACTCCCCCCCTCCCACCCCAAAACAGTATCCCAGCTACACACAGCCATTTTAAGTTGAGAATTCTACACCAAGTTTTCAGATTTTTCTGTGCTTTCTTTCAAGGTGAAATTTAATCAGATTTATAGCAGAAATTACTTTTACTGAAAATTATAATCCTTTGTTGATTTCAGAAGTCATAGTGGAGATATTCGACATTATCAAATTAAGAAAAACCACTTGGGACAATATTATGTAGCAGAAAAATATCTCTTTCCATCTGTTCCTGAACTTATTGAATATCATCAACACAATGCTGCAGGTAATGCATGCAAGCTGATAAAGTTTTACAACTGATGGTTTGAAGCTCCTGAGGACTTTGAGAGATTGGAAATCACTCTTCCTCTAATACTTTCCTTATAGAAGGAGACACAAGTTTTTCTGTTGCTAATGAATTCAAATGTGCCATGATCCTTTCTGCCAGTCATAGCTGTGGTGTGCATGTACCATGGGGGAAGTGAAACTACCAAATTCATTTATGTGTATTAAATGAATTTACAAAGCTGGAAGGCTAATGTATTAACTTCCTCTGTATTCTCTTGGTTCATATTTGACTGAATGGGACTTGTATGAAATTCGATCATGATTCTTTCCTTGTCTACAATAAGGACTTGCATGCATGCAATTTAATAAAAGCAGGAGCTATGCTGTGCATCAGCAGTCAGCATTCTACTGATTTTGGCAAAAAAAAAAACACCACTCCGTGAACAATCAAAGGCAGAATTAGGGAGCACAAGGATTCTCTAACACTGGTTTGCAGCCTGCCATAATTAATCACCTCTAATTGTTGGCTGACCGCAGCCGTTTATGGTTTTTAGCATTAAAAAATACCCTTCAAAATACCCTTAGTTCTGCCCATCATTTTAATACAATATAAAATGTTTTTACCCTGAATGAGTGGAGATGGGAAAACACACAGACATCCCTCACACTAGTGAGGAAGGAAGATATGGGAATGGACAGAGCCTTTTGATGGAGGGAAGAGGATTGTAGGAAACACATGAAACAGAAAAGGATCTGAAAGTAACAGTGGGAAAAATGAATGAACACAGGGAGTCCTTGGTGGAGGGATGTACTCACTGGTACTGTAGACTCATGAATTTGAAGAAAATGAATGACGCAAACAAAAATATTTCTTGCAATGGGAAGCAATCCTGAGAAATCACCCACTTAAGTGGGTGATACAGTATTGTAGCACTCATTTATTTAAGAGCACTAACATTGTATAAACAAGCAAGAGTATCACTTTTGATGGTATGACAGTACAAATACTTTTGTAGTCAGGGCCCTATTGAGTAGTCTTCCTCCATTTCTTTGTACTTGAGTGTTTTATCCAAACAAGCTGTAAGCAAAAGTAACCTCAAGAAATAAGAAATGTACATCAGATATTTTTGTTTGAGAAGACATATGATATAACATGCTTTAAAAAGGAGTAACTGGTCAACAGAACATTGTTGCTTTGTCCCCTACAGGTCTTGTCACTCGTCTCCGACATCCAGTTGGATTAACTGGAAGTTCTTCACCAGCAACAGCAGAACTGAGTTATGGTAAAGTTTTTATCTTCTTTTGGTGGAGATTTAGGTATCTGCCTAGGCAAGAATTTAGATCACATTCACCCAGTTGATAATTAAGTTGTATCTGTGAAATTTCCAAGAAATAAGAAATACGTAAACAACCACATATTCACCAGAAACAGACACTCATTTCCTTGTAAGGTGTCAGTGTCTAATGAGACACCTGACTCAATTCCTTCTGTTCAGGGACTGTTGTTCTTCTGTTACAGAGCTATCTGGACTTCTCTAAGTGGGCCTAAGACTCAAATATACATTTAACAGCTTTTCAAAGGCTGTTTGATTTATTTAAATGCATAGGAAATAGTTATTATTAATATTTATGGGGAAGATTTTCTTTGTCAGTTCTGCAAGTTGTAGAAATAAGAGTGAAATCTTATATAGTATTATAGAAAACAAGCACAAAATACCAGTTTTGTGTATACAGATCAGGAATTTCATCCCATCTGGCTGATAATACAAACCTCCAAACTTGCGTATCTTTCATGTTCCCGTGAATCTCAAGGTTTCATATTTGTGAAGGGTAGAACTATTGTGGTTATTACAATAGAGGCAGCTAGTAACTATTTCTGTAGTATCCATCCAAAACTGGTCCCTAATCAAAACTAAACACCTTATCTTCAAGCTTCAGATACTCCTACATTAAGGAATTAAATATTAATCACATTCTATAAACTCTAAAATAGCATTCACATATAAACATATATAAGCATGTGGAAATTTTCAGATATTGAAAACTCATGCTATAGCTGATGAACAATTGTGATGTTTCATTGCGTACATTAACTGCAAATAGCAAGGCCTGTCTCCTGGAGCATGGTTCAGGAAAACTGATCTGACTATTTTAACACATTGGGTTGCTTTTATAGAGGAGTGGGAATTAAACCCATCTGAACTGATGTTCATGAAAGAACTCGGGCGTGGGCAGTTTGGAGTCGTTCAGCTTGGTAAATGGAAAGCAACCGTCAAGGTTGCCATCAAAACAATCAATGAAGGGGCAATGTCTGAAGATGATTTCATTGAGGAGGCCAAAGTGATGATGTAAGTACAAAAGCTATTATATCTGGCAGTTGATATTGAGGTGACCAAGAAATAAATATAACCTAATTCCATTTAATACAGACAAACCAGTTTGATGGGAATGGTGGATGTGCAGGACAGAAAGGCTGATATAAAGAACTGAAATGGACTGATGCAGGTGCTTGCTGCACCCACTGCCAGACTTTTTCTTTAGAGTGTACAATGCTTTGTGCTGTGGAGCTCAATGGGGAGTAAATGTGCTGATAAAGAAGCGTGCTCTTACAACTGTCCTTTCATCCATAATTCAGTGTCTTTGGACCATTGGCAAAGCTCACACCTAACTAAAGGTTTTGAGAAACTACATAACCATTTCTGCTAATTTTGAAAATTAGGGAGGTATCCAGACCAGGTCTTGGTGCAGTGCAGAAGAGAAGAATCCTTGCAGGGTCATGTCCCTTGCCTGACAGCCAGGCATAACTAGACCTTTCCCTTCCACATCATCCAAATCAAGCTTTGCATTCACTGCATTTATATAACCGATGAACAATTATGAATTCAGAGTGAACTTTTTGGAGGAAATTGTAAGCAGAAATGTGTTAGGTAGTGGGACAACTATAAGGCCACTTGATCTGAATACGATTTATCAAGTACTGAAAGTATTTTTCAAAACCATCGTGAGAATCAAAGCTCTAGTTACCTGCCAAAGACAAGTGCTAGCCTCTCTAAAATGTGATTTTAAACAGGAAACTCTCCCACCCGAAGCTGGTCCAGCTTTATGGAGTGTGCACACATCAGAAGCCTCTCTATGTTGTGACTGAATTCATGGAAAATGGCTGCTTGCTCAATTACCTTCAGCGAAGGCGAGGGAAACTCAGCAGAGATGTGTTGCTGAGCATGTGCCAGGATGTGTGCGAAGGGATGGAATACCTGGAAAGAAATAGCTTTATTCACCGTGATTTAGTAAGTACAATAGGTTTTCTGAAATTCTCGACAAATATTGGCAGTATAGAATCTGCCACTGCACTTTATTGGACACCATGTGTCCTTTTAGACTTCAGACCCACAGGATCTAATAGGACATCAGTGTTTTCCTGGCTGTAAACCAAAACTTTTCAGCTGTTCTTTTGTCTATGGACAGCCAGAAAAAAACACGGGAGAAGTTTTTCCAGCTGGAAAAACCACTTGAGAGGTCAGAGAAAAGTGGAATATTAGCACGGGGTAGGCTGGTGTTAGGACATCCTGATACAAGAGTATTATGCAACGATAACAACACAACCAAAATCACAGGAATAAAAAAGGTCAGAAACAATGAGGATTTTTTTTTTTAAAAAACAAAATCTTTCTCTATCTACATTTTTTTCTGCTCCCTACTGCCCTACCTTGATGCTGAGATATATGCGTGGCTTTTCTGCCCTACCTCCCATAGACAGGGAATCATAGGAGAGGAGATAGTTTCTTCACTCTGCTTCTTTTTCAATGATCACATTTGGATGCAGAGAGGAAATCTTCCTGCTCTCCTCCCTAGCCACCTGAAGAGATGTAAAATTTTAAAAATTTACAAGATGTTCCTGAATTCTTGGCAACCAACCACCACAAAACATTTTTAAAAATTCACATTGAGTGCCCTAATGTTAGCGTTCAGGAAAATATCTGCTTGGATAACTAGACTCTGCAACCTAATATTTCTTTCATCACACAGGAATGCGTAAAAATATTTCAAATCGTACTGCAAGCATTGAAGCTGATATATGCTATGCATGTGTAACTATACAGTAGAGAAATATGTTCACCGACTCAGATCCAGAAATTCATTTACATTTTTGATCAAGACACTCATCTCCTTTTAGAATATAAACAGTATGAACTGAAACAATAATAATCAACTGTTGTATTTTTCTTAAAATACTCTAGCACATATTTTAGATATGTTTCTCTCATTCTCCCCAGGCTGCAAGAAACTGTTTAGTCAACGCAGAGCACATTGTTAAAGTTTCCGACTTTGGCATGGCAAGGTACGGGGCCATTGGCGCTGGTTTCGTGAGTACCTGTTCTCAGTCAGCTGTAGCATGACCTTGAGTTAACCTCATTCTTGCTTCGCTGGTTTGGGGAATCCCACTGCAGTCAATTTTTGAATTCTGATGGAAACTATAACGTTGTTTATCTGTTGTACCATGAACTGGATGTTGCGTCCTCCTCTTGCTAATGGCGAGTGTAAGACGGGTAAACAAAGTGCCAGGTAAAATTCAGAAGTGTTGATGGACAGAGAAATGCCCAGGGTGCACAGAAGCTTGAAAAAACAAGTTCCCCAACTTTTCTGAGCAGTGGGGAGGCCAGGAAGCCCCTAGGGACAGATCCAGACACTGGTGCTGACCTTTATAGGTAGCAGCGGCTGAATAGGCCAGGCTGGAGGCAGAGAGGGAGGGCAGGAAGCGTGAGGTGTGCTGCCCTAGCAGGGAAGTGGTTTTTCTGCTTAAGGAGAGTGTTGACGAAGCGGGGTCGTTTACCCGGTGTGCAAGGTGCCATTATACACACAGAGCAGAGGCATTTTATTTATTTCATGTTTGCGCAAAGATGGGCGCCAGGTGGTAATTCCACAAAGCTAGCACACCACACAAAAGGACTTCAGTGTATTTATACACTTCGGACTGCACAAATACACATTTACTGTAATGACCATTGGTTATTTTCTTATCACTTTGTCCCTCATTTTTAGTTATATTTAAATTAGCCTCGCTTGCTATGTAAATTATCGCACATGCTCCTTACCAGCATGGGGAGGCAAGTCTTTTTGGTCTTGAATTGAGTTGGTGGTCATGGTCTCCCCTGCTGCCTTTACCTTTCCCCCAGTTACCGTAGATTTTTGCTGACTTTCTGCTTCTTTGGCAATTACTCAACTTTCAGCACCTTCTGGGCAGGTTGTTCCCTTTTTTATTAGTCTTTTAGTTTCTCTTCAAGGGTATAGTTGTTAGGAAGGCCTGCACCGCTTATACAAAGTAACCAGGCTCACACAATAAAGCCTTGATTCCTTGTCCTCCTTAGAGGGTTTAAATGCAGTTTATCTAATTCTAACCTGAAGTGTGTCACTATAACCTAGGCATTTATTCAAACATAGAGTTTTATAGAGGTACGGGAGGACCAGCCAAAGATTGGGAAAGACAGAACAACACACTCTGACAAGCACAGGCCATAGAAAGGTGGCTCTGCCCTCACAGGTTTCCCCCAGAGGACGTGCTCTATTTTATAGCTGAGCTGACTAATTGATCGACTGCGACCCAAAAGGGTTGTCTCATTCCTTCCTCCTTTCCCCTTGCAAGCCCCGCACAAAGCTCTCCACTTCGGCGTTTTACTGGCTGTTTTTTCTGTTGGATTAGTAGACTGAATTGGCTTACTATGGAGGCAGACAAGCTTGAAAGGCAGTGTGTGGCTCTGAGCAGGAGGTAGTAGGGATATTTACCATGTGTCTGCTAGTCATTAGATCAACCCAGCTATGCTGCTTACCTTTCCCTTTGGTTTTGCCTTCTATTTCTAACCTAAAGATTACAATACTCTAGCAGTTCATAACTAAATACTTACTTTTCAAAAGGCTGACCTATACCAGGGCAGTGCCCACTGGCTGCACTGCTCCCCAAAAGGGGAAGGTCACTTTCAGGGGTCTGGGTTCATTCAAATGCACCAGAAAACACAGTGAGAGACCAAGGGGCTGACAGAGTCCAGTCTGAGAATAATGGACCTAAATGGCTCACTGCTGCCAAAAAATGGGACCACTGGTGTGGCTCTAGGACAGGACCTCACTTTCCTGGGGAGACCATGGAGAGATGACGTGAACACAGTCTAATTATTCAGAGCTCACACAACTGCCACTACTGGTTATTTTGTGCTGTTATTTCATATGTTCCTTAGCCAATAACCTCTCATCTTTCTGTGCCTGCACTAAAATAAGAAAGGGAGGCAAAGGAATGATTTCTCTCAACGTGACCTCCTTTAAAAGGTGCCAATGCATTATGCCTTCCGTGAGAACAAATGTTGTCTAGTGAACATCTGTTGTTTGCTCAGGAATGTTAATACTGGGAAAATGTTCACAGAGCTTGTATGCATGTAGTGGTCAGCCTAGTAGCCTTTAAAATGTTGCCTTATAAATGCCTGCACTGGGCACATAATTTTGTCTTATATGGGAGGTCAGCTCCTATAAGCTTGCGCAAAAAGAAAACTAATTTTCCAATGTATCTGTAAGAACTGTTACCTTATACGTGATGGACATTTCTTTCTGTGTTGCTTCTGTAAGAATGTGCCAGATATTACATCTGTGAAGTTGGGCAGTTACAAAGTGTGGCCCTCTACCAGTAGTGTCCAGGCACAAGAAGTGGTTGAAAAAGTGGAGTCTGTTACAAAGAGACAATAATTATTTATTGTTGCTGATTTTCCTGCCCATGGTGAAGGGATGTGTCCTATCAATATATACCCATAAGATGACAGTAACAACCATCCTGCCAGTCTTATATATGGTATTAAGATGTTTTATTCTGACATACTTCTCATGAACAACTCAAATAATTCATTTAAACAGAAACATCTTTAAATGCTCACCTTCCAGTGTGGATATCTGTGTGAATTTTACACTAAATTAGTGATACCATTTCCTTGTTTCTCAATTGACACTGTATATTTATGGAATTATAAACCATCTGTGGAAAGGTCACCAGAACTGCTTGCACTTAACCATTCAGATATGTGTCTTTTCCTGTTATTCTTTAGGTATGTCATTGATGATGAGTATATCAGCTCTTCGGGTGCCAAGTTTCCAGTCAAATGGTCATCTCCTGAAGTCTTTCATTTCAAAAAATATAGCAGCAAATCAGACATCTGGTCATTTGGTGAGTTGATCAGGTGCATGTGCAACATACCATGCTTCCCTAAAACTACTGATGTGATTCAGGAAAGTGCAACTTTTTACTCACACTGCCTATCTTAAGCTTTAGTCCTTCCCATTTTTCAAATCTTTACTATATTGGACGAGTATAATTTTCAGTAGAAAGACTTTGTGCCTAAAAATTATATTTCAACTGAAATGTGCATTCTTGGTAAATCCCCATTAGCCAAATGTATATTCATCTCAGTTTCATGGACCACCACCTTAGCTGACTTAAAAGAGAGCAGAATTATATTAGTTGAAAATGTTTTTGGTTGTCTCTTCATTCAGTTCAGGTTACCCCTATTTTCATGCATTTTTCAAAACACAAAAAATCAAGAGTGGTTTTTGTTCTTCTAATGTTGTTAAATAGCTTGTGGATTTGGGGTTTTTGGTTTGTCCTAAATATTTTGCTTCACTTCTAGGTGTACTGATGTGGGAAGTTTTCACAGAAGGCAAAATGCCTTTTGAAAGTAAGTCAAATTCTGAAGTTGTACGTGAGATTTCTCAGGGTAACCGACTTTATCGACCACATTTGGCATCACATGCTGTGTACAAAGTCATGTACAGCTGCTGGCATGAGGTTTGTTGCCCTTTTTCCCCATGATATTACTTTAATTTGTAATATAGAACCAAAAGCTTTCTTAAACTGAAATATTAAATCCTTATTTCACATCTGCGGCATCCTCTGTATCTCTCACTATGCTTTTCATAAATCACACCTAGGTTTACAAGCCTCTGTTTCTTTTAACTGTTGCATCTAACAAATATAAAGCTCCTCATCAATACAGTAGGTCCAGACCACCCCTGGTTTTGAATATGCCACTGTTGTCTCACTTCTCTACTGTGTCAAATGTAGTATATTTTTCACACCTCTGTATTATGCGTAGCTTTCTCTAGCTCTGCTCTGAATGATAACCTTAACACATTCATATGCAAAGTGGGTATGCTCACTAAATGTGGATTTTTAAACCCCATTTTTCAGGTGTACATCACTACAGCTCCTAGGCTGCACCCTTTTCACCCTCTTCAGTCTCATTTAATAGATGTTCTTTCTCCATTTCTCCGGCACTTATTTCTTTCTATATTCGTATCTAAACACTGATTTTATCAACCTCTCCATCTGAGTAATCCCTTAAGGTCCCTCCTTCTCTACATTTCCTGTGTCTACAGGAAATGAATCTTTCATTTTAGATAAAAAGTACTTTCAGAAGAGCTTTGTGTGCAATGCTTTCATGTAAATAGGCAGACATACACTGAGAGTAGCTGGGGAACCTTATTGCTACCATTGCCTCCTGTATCCTACCTTCCCTTTCTTGCCCATCTCTTAACTCTATACAAAATTTTCATACTCTGAGTAAAAAAAGGCTGAAATCTAAACTGCATCTAGCTTGCTTCCTTACTGCAACCTTCCACGGGGATGCCAGCCAGCAGAGGATGGGGAAGTTCTCTTTTCTGTCTACTATCAGCCAGGAGTTTGTTCCATACTGAGCTGCAGTACATCAAATGATACAGCAGGGAAGATCCTTCTTCAACAACCTAGGAAACACCCCTGAGTATCATGGTTTCCTGAGAGGTAGGGCTTTCCAGTAACCCATTTCAGGAGAGAAATCCTCTAGGAATTCTGGCCCAGAATTGAAATACATATAAAGAAATTTTAGCAATGCTTGGAAAAGTGGCTGTGCTCATGCTGCTGTTGTCATGAAGAACAGATGATTTTTTTCCCCTCAAATAAAGAACTTGATCATTTCTTTTGTATTAATAAAATAAAGTGTAATTTCAAAGTGGTAACTCATATGTACTTGTAACCATCTTCTGAAGTCTGGTACTATAACTGGTACCAATCCACTAATATAAATTTATCCTCTGCTTTTTTTTTTTTTTCAGAAACCTGAAGGACGTCCTACTTTTGCAGAGTTAATAGAGACCCTCACAGATATAACAGAGATGGGATAATCAGAGATTTTACCAAAAGGTTAGCATTAAGCATGTCAATCATGTAGTTGGTACAGAAAACCTCGGCCTTTTACAGCAGTCTCTACTTAAATCACAGTACCAGCATCCTGCATACTGAAGCAGCTGTTCGGGCTTGGCCTAATTTTTGCTCATTTGAGAAAGAAACCTCAGGAGACTTGTTCAGGACTCTCAAGGCTTTGTTTTCATGATTAGGAAGAAAAATCTCCTGTCTGGAAAGAAGTAACCAAGTTTTCTCAGCTTATAGGCCTTCTTATTTATTCTTTTGGTCAGAACGACACTAATTCATGTAACGATATTAAACTATTTGGTACTTAATATGACTCAAGCACTGGGGAATACTTGGCAGCAGCAAAAATGGTAGAAGAGCCTCTGATAAAGATCTAGCTAGATCATGTTTAAAGACAAGTCCTTTTGCACTGCAAAGCATCCAACATTGAGAAACGGAGCAGTGTTTCAGAAGGGATGGCAAGCTAACTCATCAAGTGCCGGAGCGGCATGGTGCCCACGTGTGTGCCCATTCCCACGGCTGTGGGTAAAGGCAGGCGAGGGGAGCAAAGGGAGCAGTCATCATTTAGCAGCTCCCAAGTCACATCTGAGCAGCTGGAAAGACTGAGCATACCTGAAGCACTTCAAACCTGCACTGCAAGTCAAGGCGTCTCCTCTGCCAATTCTGTATGAAAGGAGAGTAAAGATTATTTTATCCAAACCTCTCCTATGATTTTCCAGTATTGTCTTCCATTCCTCACCTGCTGCTTGCAAGTGCCTACAATGGTTTATGGGCAAGTTAAAGCTGAAACCTGACAGTAAAACAAAGTGCTTTGAGTTACTCTAGTTCATATGGATCCTGCGATACCTCACATGGACAATGTCTGTAACCTTACTTCTTATGTTATTTTTTACTTTTGTTTTTAAATTTTAACTGTCATTCATACAAATATAGAGAAGAAACGGCAGATGAAGTTCATAATTGTTTAATATAAAATAGACTACTACAAATAAGTTCTTTAAAACATGTGAATGCATTGTGAATTATTTATTGGTAAATACATCATATTTAGTTTTATAGCACATTGTAGACAAAATATGTAAAACATACTAGCTAAAGAATGATTGAGTTCTGCACAATTTAATTTTTCATTTCCAAATTAAATAACTGTAACAATAAATTGAAATATATCAAACATCCCAAATTTTGCATTTCCAGAAGATGATGGCATCTCTGAGTCAAATTCACCCCTGGCATTAATCATTCATCTTTACTGCAGTAGTATTTTGATAGTTACCATCCCTTTTGAAAATAACTTATTAGTCCTATTGTTTGAATATTTGGGAGTACCTTCAAATACACTTCTAAGGCACTTCTGTTTCAAGAGAAGCATGATATCCATATGGTTTCATATAATCTGCTAGAATTGCCACCAACGGATGTCATTGTTTACTTTTATAATTTACTTATTTATGATCATTCAATTACTTATCAGACCTACGACTAAATACAGATCTATACAACACAGTACACACATTGAGGTCACCACAATTTATGCCCATGCCACAGAAGTAGAAGGCTTTTCAGCAGATGATGTGCTACAAATGCGAAATTCAAACTGTCTCTGCAATATAAAAGTACCTGGGGACTTTGAATAATGTATGAGGCATAATTTCTAATAGCTCTTGTAAAACTGGTTTTGCCACATTTATTACTGCAAGTTAATATGTAATAAAGTACAGTACCATGCAGAAAACAGCAGCTCCATTAGGTTTATGTACTCAAAGCACCCTGATCACACCTGTTTCACTGAGTTGTCCCATGGTGAATATGCATCCAGCCTTGAAACGTGCTGGTCTAATACACAGAACCAATAATGCTTGCCTACCAGGCTTCAACTTCCCAATATAATCTCTGTCGACTGCTTTGGGAAAATTGTGAGTAGGCTGTCACTAACGCTTTGGTGTAGATAAACTTAACAGCTGCTTGCACCAGGCTGACAGTAAATACATGAAAAAGCACTAAAACGTGCTTCAGAGTCAGTGAAACCAGTGCTTAATCAGCAATGAGAAAGGTCTACGGGACAAAGGTCAGGTATCTACAGTGTATTTACTTACCGGAACAGCTACGCCTATAAATAAAGCCTAAGTAGGCCACCTTAGTCCTCATGCCGTCTCTGAGCTTAGCTGAAACTCTAACCATATTCAATCAGGCAAAAATTCAAGTATTTCTATGAGTGAACAGTGAATGCCACCCATGTTACTGACCATAAAGAGGCACATGTGGGCAAATGGATGGCTTAGCTGTTTTTTATAAAACCTTTGTGTGATACAAGAGAGAGCTGGAAGAGCTCACATTCCACACAGAATTTCTGTTCCAAGGCTGTATGAGTGGTCAGCATTTGTAAAATTTCAGCTGATATTTCCTGCTCAAACATCAGAAAATTTACAGCAAGTCAGTATTATGAATGGGAGGATAAAAGGCAGAATTTCCAACTTCTGTGCACCAGATGCTTAGGATAGATCTCTTTTCTACAAAAATCCACATTGATGATGAACTGGAATGTATTTTCAGAAAGTGAAATGACTTCCCTCAGTCAAAAGTACTCCTGATGAGCAATGCAGATCAATTACTGTGCATACAGCTCTCATGACATTTGGCTCCAGTGCCTTTTGCTTTTCAAACCAACATTTCCCCCCCTGCCTCTATGAGGTTTCACAAACAGGGGGCCCTGCAGACACACTAAGGCACATCATCAACACCTCCCCACCCCACCTCCTGCTCAGCTTCCCTGTACCGTTCTGAACCTCAGCACCATTTAAAAACTGACAGAAAGGAGTCAGCTATGCCAAACCTGCTCTGCTAAAAGAGTGTTTTGTAACAAACACACTTGCCAGTTTTGTTTTCCTGGAATTTAAACAGCAAGACAAGGGCGTTTGCTAGAATTATATAATTCCCCATAGACCTCCAGGATGCAACCATGATGAATAAAGAGGTTGAAGTTCTGAACCAGTACTCTTTGGGATGAAAATTTTTTATAGCATGGCTGTTTTAGGTGTGGCTGGGAAGGCAGGTAAAGGAAGATGGTAGAACAAGTTTCTGTAGAAACTAATAACCCATGTACTTCCTTCCAAACTCCCTGCAGGTTATTTAACCTATCCAAGTCTTATTGACCTACCTGCATTTAGTGCGTGCAGCTATGTAATGAATTTAATTGCCCATTAATTTGTCCTGAGGTATGCTAGTAATGAGAAGCTGCCAAGATTTGCTTTGTATCAGCATTTAAAAGCCATAATTTGGTTAGTAATGTATTGCCTCTGAGATTGTCTTTGTTCTGGTTCTTAACCATTCATGCTATTTTCCAAAACACTTCAAATTACTTTAGATAGTATCCTTCATTTCACTGCCTGGAAAACCTGACAACTCACTGAAATATTCTCAATTGAGACTGGCCATGAGAGAGGGATCCCTAATACAACAGCTTTGAGTTTTCTTCCCTAGTTTCGAAGGAAAGGCATTTCCATTTGCCCAGTATTTTTGACCCTCAAAATCCATGTCTGTTGACTACTAATCATCAGCATTAAATGTCTTTTGCTCATGTCTTCTACAGAACACCAGGATAAAAACAACACATCTGGACAAACCAAGTAATTTCTAAGAGAAGCTAAAACCTCTTGATCTGCCCCTACTCTTCCCTCCAGTTCCATCATAACATTAGAGACATTTTAGCTCAAGGTGAATATATAGTAGTTTCACATATGGCTTTTCTAGGGGAGTGAAAAAATTTCTTTCCTATCAGAAAAACTAGTAAAACTCAAAGTTATTAAAAGAGGTCCATGATCAGGTCAGATGCACATGAACTGCAAGGACATCAGCCAGACCTTCTTCATCTAGAATCCACTTATGTGTGCATAAGACCAGCTGCTATCACGCAGATTATTCTCTTTGGATCTATCAGATAGTGATTAAATGCTTACTAGAAATATGAATTACGCTTCTTTTTATCCCTTGTTTAAAACGCATTGAGTACATAATCCATGAATAATTTATTACAAGGGAAATATTAGCATAATTTCACTAAAAATAAAATTTTTCCAAATTAATAACTAAATATAAACATTTTCAAAAATAACATCTCTTATAGTAAATGGGTTTTTTATACAAAAAGATGATCAATAATTTACTACTTAACATGATAAACTTTCTGTACCCCATGAAAATAAGCATTAACTTGGTTTTCTGACATTGCAATAAAATAACATTACCTTCCTAGTAGAAGTTATTTATTTATAAAAGCAGATATGTAGGTCCAGTAGAAAACACAGATTTTTTGCTTGGTACAAGTTAATTGACTGCCAGGAGTTGGAATTTAGAAATAACTTTAATCTAGTATCCCTAGCATTATTTTCTAATTTTTGATAGCTTCTAAAGCATCATTAAAAACAATTGTGAGATGTTTCATGAATGTCTTTCAAAAAGGAAGTACTGAAACTGTGCACAACACAAATGTGCATGAAATATCAGCAGCAACCCTTCTGTTCTTACAAATTATGAGCTTTCTTTCACAGAACAATCTGCTATCCATCTGAAGTGTCTACTTTTACTACACTCTTTGAAGGTGAGAGAATGCACAGTCTACTTCATGAGGAGGTTCTACTTGGCATATAAATCTCAGCTGATTAAAATCAGTTTTTAATTGCTGAAATGTTAGCATCCTCTGGCAAAGGTTCTGGACTCACACTTAAAACCCCAAGAATTGGAAATCCTACTTTTCTGATGACCTCGTTGTGACCCACACATCTGATTGCTAAGGCTACTTTCTTGCTCACAAAATGTCAAGAAAGGGGATTGTAATGAGTAAACCATTGACTGTGCAAACTGATTTTGTCAGATAAAGATCAGTGACCACAACGGAGGAGCATACTGTGGTACAGATACCAATCTTCAAGGCCTACTGTAGATTAACAGCTAAAACATCTAATAGAGGTGATTATTCATTTTTAGAAAAGATGAAAAGGCCAAACTAAAACAAAAAATGTTTTGATGTTTCTCAAGCCTTGTTCACAACCATTCGTTTACCTAGCATTTGTGGAAATAACACACAGGTTGGAAATGGATTTTGCTTTTTATAACAGAAAATAAAATAACAGGACTATTTTGCTATTAAGAAACACTGATAACTTTCTGGAAATGAGAAAAAATTTTGAAAAGCTTAAATGGGTTTTGATTAATAAACAGCAATACTAGGAAGAAGCATGAAAATAAGTCCCTTCTTAAGCCTCAAAGTAGTATAAAACAGAGGAAATTCTTAAATGCACATTCTGGTTTTCATCTGTGTCCTGGTTTGGGCTGAAATAGAGTTAATATTCCTTTTCAGGGACTAGATGAGTGCTGTGTTTTAGATTTAGCTTTGGGTTTGGTATGAGAAGAATGCTGATAGCACACTGATGTTTTCAGCTGCTACCGAGACTTCAAGGACTCTCCGACTCCTCATGTTCTGCCCGTGCGCCAGGGCACAGGGAGCAGGGAGGGAGCATGGACAGAGCACCTGACCCTAACTGGCCAGTGAAATATTCCATATCATGGAACGTCATGCTCACTATATAGAGGAGGGGCAGTTGGGAAGGGTCTCTCTCGCTTCCGGGATTGTGATTGTGGGATCTTGGTATCTCAGGGTCGCCAGCCGGGAACGGGCTGGGTATCGGTCAGCGGGTGGTGAGCAATTATGTTGTGCATTGCCTGTTTATATTTTTTTTTTCCTATCATCATCATTGTTCTCGTTTTATTGCCATTATTAAACTGTTCCTATTTCAGCCTGCGAGTCTCCCTTCACCCCTCTAATTCCCTCCCCCATTCCCAGGTGGGGAGGGGGAAGGGAGGGTGACCAGCTGCGGGGGTTGGTTGCCAACCAGGCTCAAACCACGACAATCTGCCTTTGAATACTTTATTCTTTCATTTTATGTTATTTTTTTAAGCCAATAGCAATTGTTTTCAGGCCTCTAATGAATTTGTTTTTTCTTAAAATGTAACTTGGTCATAGTTTTGAATTAAAAGTTACATGCACATTCAGGGATTTGCAATCCATTCAGGATGCCTTGGGTAGAAGAGCTAAGACTTTGCTGTCAAAAAATGGATTCTGAAGTAGACTGGTTACCAAGAACCGTATTTCATAAATTGTTTTGGTGATATCTATTCAAGGTTCATTGGTAGATGGTCACAGGTGAAAAAGTCTTGCATAAAATTTTATATTAAAAGCTAAAAGGGTTAAGCACTGTTTTCTTCGTATTGTATCTCCAATTAATATCCTTCACGTAGAATATCTACAAGTTTGCCTGGCAAGAAATTATAAAAAAATAAAGAGAGCCTGAAATATCAAGGCCATCACTAAGATAATAGCAGAGTATTCATCACTTCAGCAAGGATTATCTTTTACCATGATGAGAAAATTGTTCTTTGTAAGCATAGCTTACAAAGCATAGCTTACAAGCATAGTTTACAAAGGCCATTCTTTTCTGCTAAAATTCTCCAATAGAAGATGCTGCATAAAAAAAGGACAAGGTTTTCCCATTGCCTAACTTACAGTCACCATCAGGTTTCTGCCTGTCATGTTAATTATTGAACATTTTCATTCATTACTACCAACAGCTGGCACAGAGGGGAGTGGCCCATACTTAACCGGCCTTACAGATGGTTTTCCAGAGGATTGCAGAAAAGAAGAGCATTCTGGTAGACACAGGTGGACTGAGTCTGCAATTCATGACACTTCAGTGATGGAACATCACTTGACAGTTTCATTGACTGAATAAAACATTGTCCTCCTCATATGCCAAAGCTGGGTTTTCCATGCTCTCTAGTAAAGTGTGACAGGTTTCGTATTCACGATGTGGTAATGATGGTTCTTTGGCAACAGTGGACATCAACTGACTCCAGGTGATGTTAGTATTTTTGAAAGCATGCAACAGAAAAATGCCAATGATGATACTGCAGAATCCACTCAGGGTTCCAATGATATCACCCGGGTCCATACTACTCCACTCCTTGAACAGGATGATGGAGCATGTCACAACCGTCGTGGTAAAACACACATAATATATAGGTGTCACCAGAGATGTATTGAACACGTCCAACGCTTTGTTCAGATAGCTGATCTGAGTGCTGACTGAGAGCACCAAAATGCCCACCAAAATGTATACCAATGGATGTCGATAAACTGGCTTCTGCTCCAGCATTTGTTTAATGGCAATGCCTAGGCCTTTCACAGATGAGACAGAGAAGGCACCAATGAGTGAGCAAATTAAAATGTAGATCAGTATATTTGTCTGACCTCTTCTTGGAGCCACTATAAAAATCAGCACGAGGGCAACAACTGTTAGGAGAACAGCAAACGTGACAAACACTGTAAGATAGAGGAAAGGGAAGAGTAATGCACATGAGAGAAAATACCATACAACATCCAAGTACATGCTAAAAGTTACTCCGTGTCCTGAACACTTCTCTATGAACTGTAGCACAAATTCATTGCGACTACATACAGACCTGGATCTTGCAGCTTTCTTTCCATCTCATCTAGTGAGGTGACCTCCTCCTCCTCAGGGGCATGAATAACCATAACTGTTGATCCCAAAATGCTCAGTACACAGCCCAGCTTTCCATGAATATTCAGTTTCTCATTTAAAAAATAGGATGACAATATAGCACTGTTTGGCAAAATAGAAATAAAATGTTCAGTTCCACCAGCCATGCGAGACATTCTAAATCTGTCTGTAACATGACAGTAATTCAAAACCTCTTTTGAATTTGAATATAAGGGAAACCAGCCTGAAATAATTAAATCTTAAGGAGTTTTGCAAGAAGGTTGGTCAGGACCAAGAAGGTCAGGTCAGGTTTATAGTGGGGGTTAGGAACTCTGATGGCTCCCCTCCAGGTTGTAAAGGGTCCAAATTGCTCAATGAACTTCTCAATTGCCTGGTCCAAGGGTATGCACTCACACACACGTGTAGACCGACTACACGAGCTGTTTTTTTTTCTTCCAAAAATGGTTTAAACCATTTAATTCCCCATTAGAACCAATGCACACAAGTTTTGGAAACTGTTCCTCATCGCTCAATAGCCTTTCCCACCCAGGCACAGGTTCTGCCTGACTTGCCAGGACTCCCCCAAAAACACAGAAAAGGCATGTCTTCGCCTTCTAAGAGGAACCCCAGGCTCTCCAGGGAGTTAAAGATTTAACCTAAAGGATAATAACATGGCCCAAATGAGGCCATCTCAGGGGGCACACAATCACCAGCCAGAGCACAACGGTAGGCACAGACACAGGCTTAATGGTGTGTGGACACGCTCACAAATAGTTTTTCAGCCCACTGATCACATTGCAGCTATATTTTTGCACAAGGGTAATGAGCTCACTGACATGAAGTTCTCATGACCTCTCTGTTTTGGGAAAATTGGAAAGATTGCTATCCACATCAAAGAAAGCGGCATTCAAATTCAGGCTGTTTTGCGAAGCAGCAGCCAAGCAGCCAGTAAGTCTGCATCTACCTACACGCTGATCCCAGCACATCCGTAGGTGACAGACTTACACTGGTTTTGCTATGACAGAACACTTGTAAGTGTAATTCATGTCTTTTCTGCTTCTGTGGTAGCTGTATTAACATATGTGCTTAAGTATTTGGAAATTGTTTCTCCATACATTGGAAATAATGAGTGTTTGAAGGGCATTCATATTTCAGAAGAGCCACAAATTTTAACTATGGATTTTAAATAAGCTAAATTTTCTTTGCCTTTTTTCCAAAAGGACTTGGAAAAGACCAAACCAACCCCAAATGCTTACTAAGTGTAACTGAATATGAAGTCATGCTCCTATAAAAAATAAATGCTCTTGAAAACATTTTAATAGGGAAATACTGTATTGCCTTTTGAAGTTTTTTCACAACTGGAGAACAGGATAAGACTTTTTAAGAAAGCTTCAGTTCCCAGGAAGAGATAAATTACAGCCTTCTAGCACTGTGCATCATCTGTATACCTGGTATGTATTGATAACAAATACTTTATGTTATATGTGGAAGGGTGCTGGCAACACATATATTAGTCTTTGGAAGAAGACTTCTCATTCCCTCTACCCAGAAGATTCAATACCAAATAAGAAAGGGATCTTTCCACTGAGGAACAAAAAGCATTTTTTCTCCATATACTGCTTTTCAGCTTTCTTAAAATTCTCTACTTTCAGACAAAGATAGTTCTTTTCCCTCATGTAGTGAATGGTTCATTTGTCAAGGTTTGCTCCCAGTTTGTACTAACCTTATGAGAACACTCAGTGCACCCAAGGGGGTAACTAAGGTTGCAGGTGCAAAGGCATAGGCAGCAAAATTTGCAGCTTCTCCCAATCCCACTGCAGAAGAAAGAACATTGGGATCAGGTTGAGTGGGGGGGGGCAGAAATAAAAGGAATATCAATATGAATATTCTGTATGATAGCAGATATAAACAAAAATGTTTTTTCTATGCTAAAAATACATTTTTTCCTTTCAAAATTATCTAATCTCCTCCAGACACAATAAAGGCTGAAGAAAGTTAAATATTTTTCCCCTAAGTACTCCTAGAAGCTGGACAGATTCAATCCCATTGCTTTTGACTGGATATTAAAGAAAAGGTTGTTACTCTGTAAAGACCAAACACAATACTTGAGAGATGGAATATCAGAATGGCTTCTGTCATAAAGGTGATTGCAAAGCCATTTCTTTTAAGTGAGGGGTGTGAAAAATCAGGGAATAAACCTATTTTTTTAAAAAATCTGCTTTATGTAGCATTTATATATAGGTTGAGAGGAAAGACGTGACTTACTTGAAAGCAATCCAGCCCACCAAAGCCATTCCTTCAGATAAGAATATCCACCCTGTCCTAAAAATGGAAAAAATAATCTCATCTTAGAAGAAAGAGATCACCTTATTTTAACAAACTAAACTACAGCTTCACATTTGCCTCTAGTCATATAAAGTACTGAAAGAGCATGTTATCTCGATGTGATGTGAAGAATATTTTGTTTGATTTTGACTGACATTTTTATTAATCACTCTACTGCTTTGTGGCTTGGAATTCTGAAAAATGGTATTTGACCAAAGGGAAAGTTCCAAGCAAAAGTAAAATGTCCATGAAGATTGTTGGTGAGCTTAAGAAATGCTTCACAGTGCTTTCCGAAGTCAGATCCAATATATTCATACACAGTCAGCTGCATTTTGACTCTGCTTATAATTTAAATTGAGAGAAATTAGAAATAAAAATGCCACTGCATGTATTATTATTTTTTTTTGCCATAAAATAGAAATACATTGAACATTCAGTAACACATTTATTTCAAATAACCCAATCCTCTGGAACAATATATTCCAATAAACACAGCAAACAAAAGAAAACCTGATAATGCTATATATTTAAATCCATGCAAAGGGAGTTATGAGATTAGTCCAATGGGTCTTTTTCTAGCTCTTCATCTGATGACTTTGATGAAAGAATTGTTGTACTAACTGTAGCAACTTTCACAAGAAGTACCCTTTCTACAGCTCATTGTACTACCTTTCTTTAAAAAAAAAAACAAAACAAAACAACAAAAACCTTAAACCTAGCTATCATCTTAAGACTTTCCATCTCAAATGAGGGTGAAAAAGATGGAAGAAAGAGAGAGAAAGGCATTTTGAAGGGTAAGATGAATGAAGAATTTTATTTGGTATCTAACTGCTGTCAGGGAGGAAATACCACCAATTTATTAGATTTAATACCCACTGCTGCCCCCATAACCCTAGGAATTCTGAAGCCCCAGTTCCTGTAATCACACAGAGAAATAACACCATATTTGTATCCCTAGCCAAGACAGGACTTCTGATCACTGTTAAAGTACGACAGTTTTGAACTACAATGGTTTTAAATGTGTGATCTGTGTCTTGAACATTGATTTTGCCACATTGTAAGAGGCATTTCTGTCCCCAGCAGGAGCAAGGCAGGCACCATCACTTACCAGCTCGGGGGACCCCTTTGTCTGCCAGTTTCAAAAGTCCTTTCTTCTTCAGTATGAAACTAGAACCAATAAAGATACTGGAACCTATCGCCAAAGCCAAGCCAATGTAGAGCCGGTATTTGCTTCCACCAGGTATTGAAATGCTTTGGTTCATTTCATTGAGATACCCGTCCACAGAGGCAAGGAGAGAAGAGGGTGATTCAGACACGTTGATGATCTGGCACCATGCTTGGCAGGAGTCGTGGCAAGGAAAAGAGAGCACAGCACCTGGGAGGAGGAAAAGGAGGGCAAGTAATTCACAAACCAGGCACAGCTCTGAAGGAGCCCCATCCTTGCTCTCTCACTCCTTTCCATGTCTTCTGAGAGCACTTATTTCTGACCATGTAAATAACTCACAAAACCCACCTATCATACACAATGCTGCCCCAGGTCATTACCCACCCCCGTAACTCACAGGTGTGTGCCTTATTTTATATAAATATATATTTTTTGCACTACATTGACTCAGTCAAGAGATTAGGGCAATACCAAGGAATGAAACAGCAAAATATTATCTTGGATGTAAAATTCAACTTGAAATCATAAAAGCTAACCTAAAATCTCAAGAAAGGGTTCTTTTGTGTTGTGCAGAGACCACATACCCAAAACACAAACATAGTCAAATCCACGATTTCAGGCTTTGTCTGCTAAAGTAAGTCTGCTACTATTCCAGGCTTCTGCTTTTATATTTGATGCTGAGAGTTGGAAACAACAGGTAAAAAAGAGAAGGAAAAGAAAATCTACATAGGAAGCAAACTCTTGCTGCACATGGGCACTAATATGTTTTGTTAAAATTGTTCAGTGACTATGTGAGCCAGATCTTCATCCGCTCGTAAAATTTTGAGGTGGAGGCCTCATTACACCTCATAGCAATTTTCATCTAACCTCCACAAGCCCCAGCTGAAGGAAGAGCACAGACTGCAAGGGACAGTCCCTCCGGCCATCCCTGCGACACAGCTGCAGAGCCACCTCAGCCTGAGCTAAGACTGCAGCTTCACACTCTCCACCAGCCAAGCCTTATCAACATCAGTACAATGACAGCCTGTGGGAATGGCATCATGGCCATCAGCCTGGACGTGCTTTTTAAAGGAAGAAGAGGCGTTGCATTTCCAAGAACAAAAAAGGGTTTTTATTTCGCATGGGGAAGCAGGGGGCAGGCAGCAATGCTGCACCAGGGCTTATGGTAACCTAGGCAGACGTTTCACAGTTTCTCATGGTAGGCTGCATCACACAAATGGTGTGGATCAGAGAATCTAGGCTGGAATACCTTTTAAGGCCAACTTTTTTGGAAAGAAAGGTTTTATTGTGAAGACATTAAAATATGAAACAGCTGATGACAAAGTACAAAAGCTCAATCCATTGTGATTCATAAAGCACTGGATGCAACAAATCATTTTGGTTTTCATATTTCCCCTGTAATTAAAATGACACATGAATGATTCATCCCGCTGAGTGGCACCATCAGTAATGCACTCACTTTTTTTTTTTTTCCCCAGCTGAAAAAAACACTTGGGAGACTTGGTAGAAAAGGATGTGCCTCTGTTCACACCTAAGCTCTGGAAATATTAATGTTCAGTCAAAAGTACTTCACCGCACAATCAACAATAAGCAGCCTTGGAGAATTCACCTAATGCTGTTTAGGAAGGAATATTTAAAATATCAAAAGTACTAAAAATGGAATGAGATTTGACAGCATATCTTCATTTGCAGCTGACAATAATAACACTGGGAGATACCAACCTTTACAAGTAAGGAACTAGAATTAATATCTGCTAGCAGTTTTCCTGTGTCATACTGTACAACAAACATACTACAGGAAGTTTTATTTGATTTTCAGGCTGTGCAATCACATGTCCTGGTTTGCCAAGAGAGTTTCTATATAACAGGAGTTGTTTTGTATTGCTAAGCCAGGCTTTGTAAAAATTGTCCCACAAGATGGGTATGCCCATACCCTGCAGCTGAAGATTAAGATCTTAAAGAGCCTACATCTACACAAAACTACTTTTGCATAGTATGCAGGATAGACAGTATTCTGCCATCTTATCATTACTAGAAGTTGCAATCTGAGAATTTAAAAGAAATGGAATTTGCATCTGTATCTGAAAGTATTTAAAAATCTGAATTATTAGCATAGTCTTAGAAAAAGAAAACTTTGCATATACTTCAGTTTTGGCAGAATTATTAAATTACAAAAGAAAATTACAGAGAAGTCCTTTAAGCGTAAATGTTTCTCTTAACTAACATGTATCAGGGCAAGGCAAAAAAGTGGAGAGGTTGCTAGAGAATGAAATCCCTTAGCTCTCAATACCTTATAATGATGCTAAACTGGACTGGTGATGGTTGTACCACCACCACTCAGCTACTCTGGGCTTTATTTGAGAAGCAGCATTTCTTGCCTTTAATTAAAAGAAAGCATGACAATAAAAACTGCTGATAAGTGTGGTCTTTTAGCTACCTGCAATGGTAAGGGCAGCTTTCTATCAGCATGTTGGGTTTCTACAGTGAAGAAGATAGCACTCTTCTCCCCCTTTTTGTGAATGGTGTACTTCCATTTAGCTGGAGATGAATGGCAGACTTACTCCCTTCCATATGACACCACTACCACTTTTTCTACCAATTCTTAAGTTTTCCATTCCCCAGCAGATTTTACAATATCAAATAATGAAAATTTAATCATGCCATCTGTAGTAAGTCACTCAGTAACTGCCACAGGATGTTTCTCTCCTTTGTGAAATGCAATCTTTGCTCACATTTATGAAGAGATGTTGGCTTATTCACCTGTTTTGTCTGCCAGCTGAGGAGAGTAATTTTGAATGGTTGTGATCTCTGTTTATTGTGCTGAGTTTTTTCTAGTTTAAAAAACCTGTGTCATTTGTTCCACTTGCATGTAAAGTGCTATATCACTCCAGTGATCAAAGAACCACCTGAGAGCTGGAAAGAGGAGGCTGATCCAGAAATTACTACTACTTTATTGCCCACTGTGACCAGTCTGAAGATTACCTGGAAGGACTGAGGAAGATGACAAATCTCTGAGGCCGCCTGGCTTGCTCAGCACCCAGTTTCTGTAGCTAAGCTAGTTTCACCTCCGACTTCCAAATGTCAACAAACACGAACCTTTTAGCAGAACCCTTGGTTGCAGAAAAAAACTCTCTCAGCTCTGACTCAAGGCTGATAGCAACAGGAAACCAGTCTGAGTTCAGGTGGCCACTATTGTAACTTCTGAAGTGTTTTTACAATTCAGCTAAATCCAAAAATGTTTTCTCAAACACCTAAATATTCTCAGCACAAGTCGGGTAGATCAGCCAGCCCAGGACTACACGCTTCATGCAGCAAGTTTAACTTGCTGTCATTTTGCAGTCCTGCAAAAGCCTGGGACTAATGTACCCTGCGGTTCGTTAGTGACAGCCAGCTTAGCTTTGATCCTGCTACTGAAGATGCTGGTCCTAACTCACCGGGAAAACTGTTTGCTTTAATTAGACACATAATTTGACCATTATTATTGTGCTCAAGAGCCAGCTCACATCTGGCAGGAACATGAAATGCCCTCCTCCGTCACCCGGGAAATACCGAGCCCGCTTTTGCCAGGGCCGGGCTACCGGGGCCAAAAGTGGATGTAGGAAGAGGCAGCAAGGATTCGGTCCCCGCTCCGGCCCCATTCATAAAACCGCACAAAAGATGCTGAAAAGAGGGTTTAGACTCGAGCCAGCCATGGGACAAGAGGCGCGGAGCCGCCCCGCCGCCGCTATCGCCCCGCTCCTCAGGAAACAACTGCATGACGTCACGACGGAGCAAAGTCTTACGCACGCCGGAGTCGCGACAGCCGCTGTCGCGGGGCGGGCGCGGGGGGGCTCCAGCAGCGGCGCCCAGCGCCGCGCACACCCCGCGCCCCCCCCCTCCGCCCATTGCCGCGCATCCCCCCCCCCCCCCCCCACCTCTCCCCCCACACCCGCCCACTGCGCGCAGCTCCGCGCCCCCCCGGATCCCCCTCCGCGCCCGCGCAGGCACTGACAGCCACTGACCCGTGCTGCAGGGCGGGCGGGCGGGCAGCGGCGCTCGGTGCCCCATGGCTGCGGGGGTCCCCCTCTCTCCCTCCTCCGCGGGGCTCCCCCTCCCTCCTCCGCGGGGCTCCGCAGCAGCGCGGGTGGCGGCGGCGGCGGCTCCGCCCGCCCGGGCGCGGCCCGGCTCACCTGGGCGCGCCCGCGGCCCCGGCCGGGCAGCCGGAGCCGGAGGTGGCATCCCCGCCGCACCTCTGGGCACGTCCTGATGGGGAAGGGGCTTGCAGGACTCCGGGAGTGACCCCGAAAGGGTTTTACTTCGGATAAACCGTTATAAAGCGCTAGCTCTCTCTCCCCTGAGGACTTCAGCAGCCCCACCCGAACGCTGAATCCGAAGGAAAGAGCTCTCTCCTGGGGTACCTCGCCAGTATTTGCATCTACTGGAAGTTTCTATCGATTTCATTTTCCCTCCTCCTTCACACCTGGAAGGAGAACTGAGCAGCCTGACTGTGGGACCACGCGAAGCGCGGGGCGGGCTGCCTGCGCTGGCTTCGGCCGCTGGCTCTGCGGGCAGGCGGGCAGCCCCCGGCCAGGCCACCCCCCGCCACGCAAAACCAGGGCAGCGCCTGGCGATACTTGCCCAGAGATGACTCCCTGTAGTTGAACAGGCTCCGGGGTGTCATAAAAGAAACAATTATCGTTATTGCCCAATCAGTAGTTTCAAGGTAGAAGTCTAAGCCCTTGTTTTTAACATGGGTAAGTGGAATACATTTTAAAAAACATATGGCTTAATGAACCATTACCTGCTAACCTAGGGTTGCCCAGCAAACTTCCCAGGATAGTCTGAGAACCTTTAGCACGCACAAGAACTTCCCAAACTGGAGCCAAACTGAGCTGCAAATTTAACACACCTCCACAGGGACATGCTGGCTTGAGACGAGCAGAGTTTTAACCATGCTTTGGAGCACAGCACCTTAATTAATCATCTTTGGTTTTGAAGTTTTAGCTCTAGTGCAGGCTGGTGAAATATGGTGGCAGTGACAGCAAAAGAACTTGTTTTTCCCTGACTTAGGCGTCCTTGACTTTGCAGCCCTGGGGTTAAACCAAGAGATCAGTTTCAATGTCTTAGTCTCATATTTTATTTCTGTATTTATATTTTAACATAATCACTACTCTGTATGTTAGGAGAACAGGAGCATTGCATTTGTTTTTGTGCATTTAATTACCTACCCACTTCATATTTACAATGTCTACATTATAAGAACTTCTATGGAAGGTGGCCTGAACCGAGCCCAGTCTGCTTTATAAAAAGAATTTGACTTCTCTGCTTCAGTGTTTCTGAAACACCAGTTACTGCTACAAAAGAACAACAATCTAAAATAGCATTTAAAGCAGTTAAATTAAAATCTTAAAGCATAATCTGAAAATCTGGGAGCAAACTTCCATTTTGTACAACATAAGCATGTCTATGGGATAAAACCACGCATATGGACAGATACAGATCTGCAATCTGCTCCCAACTCCTATTTTTGCTCTGTGCCCCCTCAGATCAGCTCTGCATGTTCACACCTGTGTTTCTGTCAAAATGTGTCAATTTTTCCAGCTTCCTGCAATATGACCGAAGCGCACGAAGTGTCAGTATTGCAAGTGACTCAGTTGGGAGATCGGCAGAGAAGGGAAGTGGTAACATCCTCAAGGGCCTGTGGAAGCAGCAGAGAAGGTGGGAGAGGGTGAGCTACCAAAGATCACCTCTTCCCCTGGCACAACTGCTCAGGGCTTCACTGCGGTGTGGAACCCAGAACAAGGATTCTGAGAAACAATGTGGTTAACAGCTCTGCAGCTCTGCCTCTGTACAGGCCAGCTCCTTTAGCATACCATGGACATCAAAGACTCTTTAATTAAGGAATAAAATATTTAATATGGGATACAGGTTGGTTGACAGCTAGCTGAGTATGAGCCAGCAGTGTGCCCAGGTGGCCAAGGTGGCCGAGAACATCCTGGCTTGTATCAGAAATAGTGTGGCCAGCAGGACCAGGGAAGAGATCGTCCCCTTGTACTCATCACTGGGGAGGCCGCAACTCAAATCCCGTGTCCAGTTTTGGGCCCTTCACTGCAAGAAAGACACTGAGGTGCTGGAGTATGCCCAAAGAAGGGCAATGAAGCTGGTGAAGGGTCTAGAGCACAGGTCTTACGAGGAGCAGCTGAGGGAACTGGGGTTGTTTAGTCTGGAGAAGAGGAGGCTCAGGGAAGACCTTATCGCTCTCTACAGCTACCTGAAAGGAGGTTGCAGCGAGGTGGGTGTCTCAGTATCTTCTCCCAGGTAACAAGTGACAAGACAGGAGGAATTAGCCTCAAGTTGCACCAGGGGAGGATTAGACTGGATATTATGAATAATTTATTCACTGAAAGGGTTATCAAGCATTGGAACAGGCCGCCTAGGGAAGTGGTGGAGTCACCATCCTTTGAGGTATTTAAAAAATGTGTAGATGTGGTGCTTAGGGACATGGTTTACTGATGGACTTGGCAATGTCAGGTTTACAGTTGGACTGAATGATCTTAAGGGACTTTTCCAACCAAAATGATTCCATGCATTTACTTGTTTCTTGCTTGAAAATCTCTATATAGATCATGCTTCATGTTTTTAATTCTGCAATAAACTGTGAAAACACTATGAAACTTTTTTTTTTTTTTTTTTCTGAGAAAAAATAAGGAGTCACAAAACCCTTGTAGCTAACACTACACATCAACAGACAGACTGAAGAATGTGAAATCTATAATTACGGAAGGGAGTGGTTATACTTCATGTGTGTATACTTCATTGATGATTTATAGTCCTTTGCATACACAACTAGTTTCAAAGAACTTTGAGACAATGCCAGGCAGAAAAACTACATAAAAGTAATTTATCAACATTGATATATTTTTCTTTATTTTGGATGACATGTTAATGTCAAGCAGGAAAGAAAATAGTCTTTATATATGATCTTATCATTTGACATAAAGAGGAAAAAAATGCTAGTTCACCATTCGAAATGGCACCTATGACTAGTTTAGAGAAATGCCTGGATAACATCGGCTAATGCAAATCAGCACAGCTCCACTTATTTCAGTGGAGTTATGCCAGCTACGGCTAAGCACAGATCAGCCTTTTTGTGTATGAAGTAACAATATGCATGTACTAAAAATCAAATCAATTTTGTGGCAGTTCCCATTTCTCCAAAAGAGAAATAAGGATGTTATGAAACTGTGCTATACCTTTCTGGGTTATTGTACTTACTTTTTTCATTAAATACATGGAAAATGCAAGAGATAAGTTATGTTAAAATTCTGTTACTTATGCAATGAATGAAAGATTTGCTGAAACTGACTGTTAAGCAAGCACTGACTTTAACTGTTGCTTTTCAATAAAAATGGAAGCACTGAATATCTAGCCAACTTTATACTTTTACATTTATAAATAAAATAGTCATTGGAAACTGCATTTTTGTGCCTTTATAAAACCCATCTTGCCTCCATGTCAACCATGAATGACATTAATTAAAGTTTGTGTGACATCTGGGTTTTGTTATAAATTCTTTAATTTTGTTGAGGATTTTTTATACATCAGGTTCTTTATATGTGTTATTATGAAGCATTTAATTATATTATTGTAAATACTGAAGATGATGACAACAGGTTTCACCACAATGAGAAAAACTGTTCACTGTGAAGCTAGTCCAGGTGCAGACATGAAGCAAGATCTATCCTTTTTTCATTATTATTTAGGAAAGCTGCCTATGGCATTTTGAAGTCCTGTCATCATTGCTCAGCTTCCCTGTTCTGCATTACCCTTCTCTGCCTGCAGTCACTGCTAGCCGACAGGGTCCAAACATGAGCTCTGTTCTATACGGCACCTACAGACAGGTTTATTACCTGGTTCTGGCATGCAGCCACACAAAAACTACTGAGCTAGATTTGAGAGTGAAACTCTGCCCATGGGAACTCCACCTGCCCCAGACACTGGTGATTTAGTGTAGACCTGCAGGTACAACATGTAAGGGAATTATCAAGCGAGACAAAAAATGGTGACTCTAGATTGCAGTTCAATATGATTAGATTACTGTACTTGCTGTGAAGAGTTTGATCCTATACATGTTGCCTTAAAAATGCCCAGATAGTGCTGCCTTAACTCCTGCTTTACTACAATGAATGAAAGGCAAACAAGGCTAGATATATCAAACCTATTTTAACTACAGTGCATTTTCTATCACTCTTACCAGTGACAGTATCATATATTGATAATTTTCATTTAAGTAGAATTAATCTCAGATGAATCACCTTTGTACATGCAAACATTTTACCATCATTATTCTGTGCAGCCTACCAAGATTTTCTGATATTTTAGCTTGAAATAAAATTCTGCTAAACAGAAATCTTAACTGACTGTTCAGGGCTACTGGCACTCCTGTGGCACCACCACACTTATTCTTTATCCCAATGGTATTATTGAATGACGTTCTAGTTTCTTCCAGAGGGTTTTCTGGTGGTCCAGTCCCTCTGTTCCTTACAGGTTCCAGGTTGGGAGGAGAAGAGACCTCTCAAGCCACCCCAACCTGGGTGGCACGAGGGTAGCCTCATTGCAGGTTTCGCTCAGGGCACACAAATAACTACTGGGCATGGCCAGACACAGCGCTTGCCATGCCCAGTGGTGTTTCAGAAGTGCTAATCCTTGCTCAGAGTAGACATGAAAAAACTAGGATCTGGACCTGGAAGATACTGGTAAAAGGCTTTGACATGGTCTTTTAGAACACTGTGTGGTGCTGTCCTGTGTGCTTGAAAACGCTCATGTCCACAGAAGGCTGGCAGTCTGTCCAGTACTTTCCAATTCCAGCCTCATGTGCATATGGCAATATAACACACCGACATACATCTTAAATTGCTTCTATTTCTTCCCTGTCCATCAAGCACCCATTTAATGCTAAAGTAAAAATACACTACCACCTGCTGGTGGAGACACTGTTTGCGCTGATGGTTTTACGGTCACCAAGCCTCGTTGGGGTCAACTGTGTTTCATGATACCGAATTCCCTGTAACACCAGTCTACGCAAGAGTATTAAATAAGCCAGAAGACCTGAAGCTTTTCAGCTGCAGCACTTCCGACATGACATTCATTGCTGAAATCGCATCAGCACTAGAAAAGACAGAACAGTATTTGCAGAAAAAAAGACTGCCAAAACTGTCGTCTCAATCCAAACACTCATCTGTGTAGACAGCTACAACACAGTAAGCTGAAAGGCAATGTTGTGTCATTAAAACCTGCTTATTTATGAATAAATACATATGTATAATGTATCTAGTGTTTTGATTATGGGTGTCTGAAATTAGAGGCAGCTTTAATAGGATTGAGAAGAATTACTGATGATGACAAAGTAAGATACAAAAATAGATTAAAGTTGGCCTACTAAATAATCCATTAGTGAGGTCATTCTCCCATCAGTCAAGGTTACTTTGCTGGAATACAGAATGAAAGAAAAAACATCCGTGAAAAAATATTGACACTAAACTAATGTAATTGTCAGTGAAGTTAATGACAACTATGTAATTGGCTTTTAAAGGAAGGCAAAATTGAGACCACTGTGTTGAGCTCACACAGAATTTGTCCTACAAACTTCTTTGCAGGTAAGGGAGTTCCTGGCCACTGTCAGGCAAGGAGTTGGTCTGGCCCAATAGGACCCATCTTCCTTTATTTGAGAACTTCTTTGAAAAACTCTGTGGTAAAACATAAAAAAAAAAAAAAGTTGCTTTACAGGACTGATTATTTTAAAAGAAAACTGACTGTTCTCCACTGGAGTAAAAAGATGTATCTCCTTTGTAGTTCGTACTGGCTTGAGAGACACAACATAAACTCACCTTCTTCAGTTGGTCATCTAAACCTTTTGGACAAAGATATGCACCAAATGCAGGAGTTCACAGTTAGTTTGATGTTCATATGATGTGCAACAAGGCATATGTCCCAGATTGTGCCACCACATATTCACAAAATCGCTGCTCAGCTTTGAACACTGAGATCTTTCAGACTGCAAACCAAGCAAGAACCCGTGAAAATGACAGAGATAAAACTGATCCTGATTCAATACTAGCTGGATGCAGTGACCTTCTGGGATTTCTTTCGTATCTGTGATTTTAGGACAGGAGTTTTATTTCAGCCCTTTGAAAACAACAGTGAAACATATGCCAGATTTTAGAAGATTATTCATTTCTTCATCCATTTGTTATGTTGGATACCTTACTGCAGATTTGTATATCTGGCTTCCACTGGGCATAATGTTATGCATTTCCTTGTTGCCCATTACTTTTTTACTTAAAAATGTATTTATTCTTTAAATTTCAAATGTATATTCTCTTTCCTAGAAAATGGACTGACTGTCTTCAGAGTTGGAAAGTCATAGCAGCAGATGTGTTTAATTTGTTTCTGTGGTCAGGAGGCTGACCTATGATATTGAGCATCATTTTGGGTTTGTGATTCAATCTACAACATGTCAATCCACTTACGAATAACCACTCAATCACCTGGGCTGCAAGATTTAAGTTGGTTCATATGAATGCCGGTGGCATTGCTTCCTCCTGCTCTTGGTTAAGGAAAAAAATGTGTCTTAATCCTGGGGCCCTAGAGGCTGGACTGCTTTCCTGCATTCCGCTTGTTGCGAAGCAAAGTTAAAAAGTAATTCAGTAACTTTATTGGTGTCTCAATTGTGACAAAGATGCCATTTCAAATTTGAACATTCATCTTTTTTTGCTGCTTGGAAGATTTTCTGCACTGGATTTCATGCTCAAGCAATGCCTTTTTTTTTTTTTTTTTTTTCCCCCCAAAATGGGCCATGTAAAATGTGCCAGATTAAAAAAATCAATCACTCAAGCTCCTGAGACCTTACTTTTCCTCATTGTTGTGGAACCCAGCAATGAAATGAGAAAGCTGAGGTATGCAAATACATTAACATCTTCTCTTTCAAAGTACACTAAGATGCTCCTGGGGTTTTCTTGATTGAGTGGCCTCTACAGAGGAACCCTTGGATATTTCTAATGAAGGACTGCAGCTACTTTATAAAACATTTTGCAAACTCATAATGCATACCAGACTTGAAGATTAGTTCAGTGTCTTAAAATTTCATCATCATGGTATTTTCCACTAAATACATATTCACAATTCATGGGCTTTTTTAAGCGTCAAAATAGGAATGTAAAAGTTATGTTAGATAAGAACTTTCAGCGGTCTAAGATGGTATTTCCTATTATTCAGCCATATAATAAACACATTAAAATAAAAAGGAAATAACCATTTATGGTGATTTATCTATTCTAGTAAAGACCTGTTACTACAGTAAATATTAAGAAAACAGGCCAGCATAGAATACTGAATATATAGTCATTTACAGTAATATATTTTTTAGTTTCAAGGCAGAGTACACTTCAATATTTGTCTCTTCTTGTGCGTGTTGATAGGGCTAGTAAGCTTCTGCTCAGGTGAGGGATAATAGTGACTGCCACTGTCACTTTCGTATCTCTCTAAATCTCAAAATCCATCACTAGGTCAAGGAAATCCTCCTCTAATATCCATGTCCTTCCCTGGGAATAATTCAGAGAACTGCACATGGGACTGGCTGGTTGAGAAATTGATCAATAAGGGATTTATATGAAATGTTTATTATATTTAGCTTTTCATGGTGGATCTGCTTAAGTAGTAAGGAAACGTCGCTGCTGTAAAGGACTGAAATCATTATTAGAAGCAGCAGATTATATTCCCAAGGTAAGCATGCACACTGATGAAATGGCTTATTGCAGAGCTGCTAAGGACTCTTTTTGCATCTTAGAAAAGAAAGATTTTGCTGTAAAATACTGCAGATTTTAATGTTAATGAAGATTTTTTTACTGCTTTTTATAAAGAAAAAAATTAGATCTTTATATGATGCCAAATTCTGTTTCAGGATATCCTTATTTGAAGCATTTTCTCTCTGAAAATAATGATTAGAGAACTGAATATTGTGGGCCAGTAAGAAAGTGAGAAATATGTAAAATAAAAGAGCAGAACAGATGGAAGCTGAACTTCACTACAATCCTGTAAAAGGATAATACTGCCTTATTTTCTTGCAGCCCTGAAGATTTTGATGTATAGTAATTATTATAATTAGGTTTTAGGTCATAATGTGTGAAAACTCAGTTGTTTATAATAGTAGTCACATTTCAAAATCCAAGATAGTGAAAGTAAACTATTTGTGATGATACAGTAAAAATAATATGGTAAAAATCTAAAACATCTCTAAAGCAAGCATGTATCTGTATTACATTTCAAACTTACTACCTAAATATGATAATGTGAAAATGAGCACTGGACTACTAAAATAAAAGTAGTGTAACAGTTTGTGACAGTGTATCAGTTTAAGAAAAATATATATGACTACAGAATAGGAAACGCAGCAGTGATATAATTTAGTAAAAACCATCTGAAATATCATTTGAAAAACCTCTACAGTATAATTTGAAAATGCATTAAGGTGAGTTCTGGACCCACTGAGTTTAATGGGTCACTTTTCTACTGTTCCCAGTGTTGGGGTTTTGTCACACAAATGCTGTAACGAGGTAACCACAGTCCCCAAAACAGGAGCAATTACCGTGTCTGTTCAACTTGCATTCTGTGTCTTAGACTCAAGAATTTCAAAACTCCCCACAATTTTCTTTAAGACTAATGAAATTTGAAGATATTCTTGTGCTACATATCTTGACCCATGGACAAGGGAAACAACCTGGTGTAGCAGTCACCTGAGCCTGACATTCAGATTTAGTATTTTGAGACTACAGAGTACTAAATACTTCCAATTTGTATGCCACTTAATGCTTCCAGTGCCTCAATAAGATGAAATTTCCAGTCCTGCCCCAAATGGCAGCTTCTCTTTCCCAGCAAGTCCTGTGCACAGCTGCCACGGCTCCTTCAGCAGAACACAAAACACCCCACTGTGCTTCCACTTACATTAGACACTGACAGAGCCAGAGGGGTCTGTTTATTTGCAAAAATGCACAGTAGATTTTCTTTACCTGAAGAACAGGGGAATGTGGAGGATACAAATTTTCCCCCAACCTCCAAGCTACATATTCTGGATGGATGTGGATTTTTGGATATGTCCCATTTTGCCACACTTATCATCATCTTTAACCTCTAGTACATTGGCAAATCAGTACATCTGGATAGCACAAGGTCAAAGATGTTTTGGGTTTTTTTCTCTAGAAACTCAAGAAGTTTCAAAGAGCAAAGATAAACATGAAAAATGAGTACTTATGTAGAAATGCTGGTACTGGGAGTCCTAGTGTGAACTGTGGTTTAGAGCCCACTCTGTTGGAGGAGTGATTTCCCTTGAGATGAATGTATTTGCATTTGTCTGGTGTTGAGTGAGTGGAAGTGGTTGGACACAGCTTTATTTTGCACTCCAGTGGGCTCTGTGGAGGATACAGATTAAATCAGGATGGAATTTTGTGTGTCAGCATTAGCAGAGCTTTCAGAGCACCTGTAAGCAGACATAAAGCTGCTTAATTCAACCTGGCATACTTTCAATCTCTACACTTTCAAACACAGTTTATCCTTGGAGTAAGTCAGTGGAAACCCTGCTACAGCTTTGAGGCTCCTGGTGAATCTAACCTAATGTTTACTATTTCTTAGAAATTTCTAATCTTTTTTAGGCAATATCTTAGATCTGATCCTTGCTCTTAATCATTTAAAGACTGACCAGCAATGTTGGACTACATTTAGGACTACTCATGGAAGAACACATCTTAATCTACAAGCTTTATCTTTCTGTTTTTTTTTTTTTTTTTTTTTAGAATGTTGTATATTGCTGTATTATTTTTTGCACTATGTGTCATTCGTGTCTGATGACTGCTGGAAACATGGGTTTCCTCTCCTTTTTCCTGTATAGGAATATTTTCAGTTTCATTGACTAATAAGGAAAGTCAGCTAAGTCTGGCAGTAATGTGGAATCTGTATCATCCTACTACTCTTTTGCAGTGCTCTTGAGTACAGAATGGAAGTGCTTTCTTTAAGACTGATTCATTCCATGGCATTTGACTTTACTTGTCAGTGGTACAACCACTCATTTGTCAGTTTGTGGCTTACAGACATCTCTATACTCTGATTTCACATGCGCAGGGATATTGTTACTGCAGAGGATTGCATCTGTTTCATAATCTTATCTAAATGGCTCTGTCAAGAGCAGACCACATGTAGACACAATTCATGCCCAAAGTATAGGCAGTGTCTTTGATGCTAAGATATAACTGACAAAATTGTAATAATAGTGTTAAAAAGGGAAAGTAGAACTTAATTACTGCGATGATGGGAAGATTGTGCACTGGAATGCACTATATTAGTTATGTACTCTGCAACATTTTCAGTTTTTAAATATTGAGATAAACATAACAGACATGAACAGCCACTAACATTTCTATTTAGGTGTTTATATACTACCTGCTATATGAGTAAGGAGACTCTACTACACCAGACTTAACTTCCTAGTTACAGAATGTACTCTTTGCTCTCAACAGAGTATAACTCTCAAGTATCAGACATACTGATATTTCTTTGGACATACAACCAGTGGATGCTTCCTAGTCTGGTTTTCAGGATGTCACCTGTGCATGAATCTGTTTATCTATCTTGTTACAGTAAGTTTTGAGCCTTTGGTTCAAAACCAAATGAAACAGTGCTAGATGTTTCAACACAATTGTCTAAATATTTTCAAAGTATGTGATTAGGCTCAGGAGGAAGACCTAAATTAGTGCTTCCTCTAAGAGAAAGATGTGTTGAACATTTTGTTTATCAACAGTTGCCTGCGCATTCAGCATATTGAAGCACCCACAGTACCCCTTCTTGTCTGGTGGGAATGTCATGGGAGAGGGAAAACTGAAAATACTGTTGTTGGTTTTTGGGGAAGCAAGGATATAAAGGATTCATCTTTAGAAAAAAATAATTGCTCATTACTGCTGCTAGTTGTGAAATTACTTGATTCTTTTTTAAATCAGTCTTCCTCAATTACCCAAGGTAAGACAAACTTCACCATGAAGGTAGGAGTGATTGAAACCCACCACTCCCATACAGTTGTTCCCAGCGTAGTAGTGCAAGACACCAGTGAGGACCCTGGGCTGATGGACAAAGGGGATAATAGGTATGTCAAATTTACCATTTGTGTCTGTTTTGTTTTTTGTTTTTTGGTTTTTGGTTTGGTTTTGTTTTTTTTTTTTTTATATAATTTTCATAGGATTAACCAAGCACAGATATTTGCCATCATCTAATTTTCTTCACCCTCTTAATAAATAAAGATTTTAAGATTGTGATATACTGCTTATTTTAAATATTTAGGAGACTAAAATCTGTGCTCTTTCAATTTCCTTAGATAACCTAGCCCATGATTAAAATGGTGAGAAACAGCCTATGACAATTTAGATTTTTTTTTTTTTTGTATTTGTATCATATAACTGTGTTGTTTTGCTGTTCCCCAGGCAACGGTATCTACCTGGTGCACTTGCACGCTACAATATTAACAACAATAGTAATAAAGATGAGTAAGTATCTTTGCCATTTCATAAAATGAGAGTACTGCAATGTTGGTTGTTAAAGCAGCAATGAAGAAGAATGACATATATCTAATATTTTTTTACATAAACAGTTATGTCATTCCAGTAATCCCAAAAGAGACTGCACATACATTTTATGCATTTTAGGTATGCACATCAATTATGATGACCATTCCCAACACTGAAGTTACTGGAATTATATCTATTAATTTAAAATAAAAGTAGTTCTATGTGAATACAATAAGCAAAACAGTTTTTGAAGGCCAAACACCTAAGTATAATGTTATCCTTACTAATTCAAATGTTTCTAATAAATAAATGTGGAAGCAAGGGCTATATGCATCTCATGAGCCGATCATATTTTTCTTTTCCTTAGAGAGAAGAAAAAGAAAAAAGAAAAGAAGAGGTAAGACAAAGAATAACAATACTACTATTTCTAAGACATTTAATTTACTTCCAACTATGCTTTAACTTAGTCTGTAACAACTGAAAATGTAAATCTATTTCTTAGCAAGTCAGAAAAACAAAAGGATGGAGAAACACAAAAGAACAAGGAAAAAAAGGAGAAAAACAAAAATAAAGATAAAGATAAGTCGAAGAAAGAAAATAAAGAGGAGTAAGTATTTTTCATTTAGGTCCTTCTATGTTAGCCTAGTAAAATTGTTTTTGATGTAAAAATGAATCCATTCATGGGAATCCTGTAAACAAGGTGTTTATGCTCTAGTGAATGAGTGTACAGACTGCTGTTGTTCTCCCTAGAGTAGAATTGTTTTGATTTAACTTCATATGTGGACAACAGAAATATGCATACATGGAATTGATCTGAAAAAAATAATCAAGAAGAATCTCCTTTGGATTTAGATTATCCAATATTTTTTGGATAACACCCTGCAGCAAAAGATATGCCAGCGTAAAGCAATCTTTTCCATACATATGGGCACCTACAAGCAAGTAAACTCTTATATGATCTGAAAGTTCTTGATTTACCTTTTGCTTGCTAAATTCATAATTTGCTGTCCAAGGAAGAGAAACTTAATATAGTGCAGTAGGAACTTGTGCTGTATGATTTCGCATTCTTTGGTTTCTTTATGTAAACTATGCCAAATGTTTCATCTTTCTCAGAGCTAGACTTTTCACAGTGAGAAAGGCATGATTTATCTCATTTATTCAAACATTATTAGTTGCATAATAATTTTATTTTTTTGAAAGATGATGAAATAAATTATAAGACAAGACAGTTAATTGGGTAGGGAACAAATCAATTTAAAATGGTTGAAATTGTATGTGCCACTATAGACTGAAACGTGACTGCCAAGCTGATTCTGCTCAGCAAAATTTAGATTCTAAAGTTTGCATCCCAAGTCACACCTAACAAGCAGCTTCAGGTTCTCCATGCATTCAAGCAAGGAAGCTTAACTTTATTAAAGACCATTTGTTTTACAAGAACAATTTCTGGAATGCTTCATTCCTCAAAAATTGTTATGTGTATTTTAAGTCTGTCATTAAATCTCCTTTTTTTCCTGCCTATCACTTAGGAAGAAGAATGATATTTTCATTATTGATCCAGCAGGAAATATGTATTACAACTGGTTGTTTTGCATCACAATGCCTGTCATGTACAACTGGACCATGATTATTGCTAGGTGATGTACTCCTTTAATGACTGTATAAAACTTCAGGAAAATAATAATATCCCTAAATAGATAAAAAATCATTTTATTCATCATCAATTTCATGCAAAATTTTAATTTTAATTTAATGGTAATTTACTTTTGTCTTTGCCTATTCAGAGCCTGTTTTGATGAGCTTCAGCATGACTACTTAACAGTATGGTTTGTTATTGATTATGTTTCTGATGCCGTCTACATTGCTGACATGTTTGTACGGACAAGAACAGGTAAGTATACTCAATGATTGATTATTCCTCTTCATATATTTGGGTCAGGTGGTTTAGAATATTCAGAATATTACTACTCTTATTATCTGGGTACCATTGATAAGGTGCAGTAATGAAAAAGACATTGAGATAAATCTCTGAATGACTGTAGTCTGACCTGTAAAAACAGGAGAAACTCTGATGTATTACTCAATGGTACATAAAGACTGAAGTAAGCTAGACATGAAGTTAGCTAGATACAAGCTGTTCTGCCTGCAGCTGACTCAACAAGACAAAGCAAACATGCAACACAGCCAAGAGAGGATAAGGGTTTCTTAAAAATTAGCACCAAAACCTGGATTTTGTATTTAAGGAGATTCAAGTATTTGCTTGATTTTCAAGACCTTGAGCAAGCAAGACATCCAATTAACTTCAGCTGCAACTGTTCCTTTTAAAATCTTACCCTACATCCAGAGCTATTGAGCAGATGCATTCGATATGGAACTGAAATTCCCATGCTCAAATTCTTTCCCTTATTAACCACCCTTCCTACAGCCTGTGGAGTTCTTGGTGGGTTTGGGTTTTTTTTCAGATGTCCACCATAGTGGAAAAGTGGATGGAAAGAATCAGAACTAGAAATGTGTAATTTTCAAAGCTGTATAGTTTAGCTCAAGCTGAACCATACAGTACTAAGATGAATATTTGGAAATAAGAAATTGCTTATTAAAAAGTAAGAGAAGTTATGCACCATCTGGAATTTGCACCCAAAGTATTTTTCAAAATAGATTTGGATTGACATTAAACATGACACAGCTGAAGTCATAATGTTTTTTATTATTTACAATTTGATTTTAGGTTACCTGGAGCAAGGTCTTCTGGTGAAAGATGAACAAAAGCTTCGAGAGAAATATAAGGCATCTTTTCAATTCAAATTAGATTTTCTGTCAATCATACCAACTGATCTCTTATACCTTAAGGTAGGACTGAATTACCCAGAATTAAGAATAAACAGACTATTCAGAGTAGCTCGGATGTTTGAATTCTTCCAGCGAACAGAAACAAGGACAAACTACCCAAATATCTTCAGGATCTCTAACCTTGTCATGTACATCGTGATTATTATTCACTGGAATGCCTGTGTGTACTACTCGATTTCGAAAGCCATTGGATTTGGGGCTGACACATGGGTCTACCCCAACACCTCTGATCCTGAATTTGCCCGTCTGATTAGAAAGTATGTCTACAGTCTCTACTGGTCAACACTGACCCTGACTACTATCGGTGAAACACCCCCTCCTGTAAGAGATTCTGAGTATTTCTTTGTGGTCGTTGACTTCTTGGTTGGAGTATTGATTTTCGCTACCATTGTTGGTAACGTGGGCTCTATGATCTCCAACATGAATGCTGCCAGGGCAGAGTTTCAAGCAAGGATTGATGCTATCAAGCAGTATATGCACTTTCGGAATGTGAGTAAAGACATGGAAAAAAGAGTTATAAAGTGGTTTGACTACCTGTGGACAAACAAAAAGGCTGTGGATGAAAGGGAAGTATTGAAGTATTTGCCAGATAAATTAAGAGCAGAAATTGCAATCAATGTTCACCTGGAAACGCTCAAAAAAGTTCGGATTTTTGCAGACTGTGAAGCTGGTCTGTTGGTTGAACTGGTCTTGAAACTCCGGCCACAAGTATACAGTCCTGGAGATTACATTTGCAGAAAAGGAGATATTGGACGAGAGATGTATATTATCAAAGAAGGCAAGCTGGCAGTAGTCGCTGATGATGGAATTACCCAATTTGTGGTCCTAAGTGATGGCAGCTATTTTGGAGAAATCAGCATTCTTAACATCAAAGGTAGCAAAGCTGGCAATCGAAGAACAGCCAATATTAAAAGTATTGGATACTCGGACTTGTTTTGTCTGTCTAAAGATGATCTCATGGAGGCTTTAACAGAGTATCCAGATGCAAAGGCTATGCTGGAAGAAAAGGGCAAGCAAATCCTAATGAAAGATGGGTTGCTGGACATTGAAGTTGCAAATTTAGGAAGTGATCCTAAAGATCTGGAAGAGAAGGTCAGCTATATGGAAGGAGCGATGGACAGATTACAAACAAGGTTTGCCAGATTGTTGGCTGAGTATGAAGCCGCACAACAGAAACTGAAAAAAAGACTTACGCAAGTCGAGAAAATATTGAAGCCAGTTATAGAGCAAGAATTTGCAGACTTAGAAGCAGCAGAAGCATCCACAGATAAACCTGGAGAGTCAAAAGCAGAATAAACCACTGGAGGTTGCCAATAAGACTTGGGGTCGAATCCTGCATGGGGCTTAATACATTCATTTCTAATCTTTGTAGGACTTGACTATTGATTATGAAAAATTATTTGTTGAGGTAATGTCACAATTTCCTACAAGCAGCACATACTTGGCTGGTTTCAGGAAAAAAAGAATCAAGAATGAGGATGGAAGGTAACACCTTGCTCTCGCACAAAGATGGTATTATTTGCTAATGCATTATGTACTCTTTATGTAACACTGCTCTACAGCAAATGCAATCTCTATACAGTCACATACTGGCAACTATTGAGAATTTTGCTGACTTAAAATAATTTCTTCACGTCTACCTATGGAAAAAACGAAAAGTTTGATAACAATTACATTATTTGAAATCAATACAGGCATGAGCCATGATATTAAATTTGTGTATAAACAAGCACATTTTAATATCTATTGATTGACATAAGACTAATTAAGTATGAGATACTGTATAAATAATTAGGTATCTTTACAATGCAATTGTCAGTACTGAAGACTGTAAGATTTGGGTAATGTTATTACTTCATTGGGTCCACCTTCGCTGATTTCTTGAAATGTAAGTGGGCAGTTCTAAACGGTCCTTTTTTTTGGATATTACATACAAAGGCTGCAATAGAGAGAGGAGAAAATACAACTTTTTGCAAGCATCAGTACGGATGGCTCAAAATTTAGCTGTTCTTTCCATAGTAATAAGAAATACATAATAGTGAAGACTGTTCTGCTCCATGTAATCATATGGCTGCTGAACATGGACTATCAAGTTTTTAAGATCTGTGCTTAAAAATTTTAATGTCACTAATGTAACAGTTGTGGATGCTGTCAGAGTGCAAGGGGCAGACACGACAGAAAGAGGCCAAACTCTCCCTACAGTGTCTTCTGTAGCTGCTGTTGGGAAAATAATACAATGACTAAACAGGTTAGTTTTTTCATGGATAGGGTATTTATTTCTTCTATTTGTAACTAGTACTAAGGTAGAAAAAACTACTGTTTCATATGTCAGATATGTTTTCAACTACTTTAAGAAGTATTCTCTTCTTGGATTTTTTCCCTAATTTATGTCTTTTTCTATCGGCAAAAATTGATTTTATTACAGTTGTGGTCTCAGCTGGGTATATTCAAGCTGGATATTTTCAGTGGACTTTGACCACAGCCACTTCACATTGGAAAAGTTTGATGACAGGAAGTGAAGAAAGAGACTGCAAGGAGAGAATGGATAATTTTGGTTTAAGGGCAATTTGATTATCCCGGGCAACTGGACTGCCACTCTTAAAAAGTATATGTGTAAATGTTACTATCACTTGATAATATCTCTATACTTTCATTCTTCTCCTTAATAAGATAGAGATATTATAAACTGGATCTTTTGTAAAGTGCATTCATTACTGTTTGTTTTATTTTTTGTAATGTTAACAGATTTCCAGAATGTCAGAGATCTATAAATAACTCCTGATTTCACTGCAAGGATTAAATGTTATGAAGTAATTAATGCATAGGATATATATGGAACAAGAGCAACAAATGTAAATATGAAACGGCTGTTAATACACTGTTGATCCTGTGCTTCGAATGACAAATGGCATAATGTGCTGGTGAGGGGAAAGGCTATGTCATCGTTTCATTAAAGACTCTGTCTGTGCACACAAGAACAAGCATTACTCTGACATTTAACCATATTGTGAATGTTGGATTTTGCAATCAGCATTCTTCCTATTCAGGTCTTGAATATAATTTGCAATCTGTATGGCAGCAGCATACTATAGGGCTGCGTCATATTTCAGTAGGCACTTAGGAAGCACTTTCTCCTTTGTTGAAGAGTTTAAGACTTTGTATTAGATAAATGTGTGATATGATAAAGAGTTTTAATAAAGGCAGAGATCTACTGTTCACATTTTTTCTTTTATTGATCCTTCAGACTATGATATGAGTTGTTGTCACTAGCTGCCTCTTTCGTGAGACTAAAAATTCATTGATCTAAACCATTTCAAAATAAAACAGAAAACCAGAATTGATCCCCAGTAGTTTACTTACTATTTTCAGACTCTTTGTGATTGGAAAACTTGTATTACTTAAATTCTATAGGCATGTATTTTCAAAAAAAAAACCCACTAAATGCAGTTTCCTCCTGGCACAAGACAGAAAGTAAGTACTATAAAGAAAAGTCAATCAAATGAAAACTATTTCAATTTGCACTTATTTGTCAGAACTTTTCAGGAGGCACAGAGTTTCATCAGTATGTATTTCTGTGGAGTAAAACCTTCTAGATATACTTTGGTAAAATCTCTGAACGTGCTTTGTGGCCAATTTTTAACTCATACTCTGAAGAGGAACTGTGAAGAAAACCCACGTAAGAGCCACAGTGCTGCAGGAACGGCGGCCAGAAATTTACTCTGGAGGAAAGGAGGCTGAGGGGGGACCTTATTGCTCTCTACAACTAGCTGAAAGGAGGCTGTAGAGAGGTGGGTGTTGGTTTCTTCTTCTAAGTAACAAGAAATAGGGCAAGAGGAAACAGCCTCAAGATACACCAGGGGAGGTTTAGATGGGATATGGGGAAAAAATTCTTTACTGAAAGGGTTGTCAGGCATTGGAACAGGCTGACCAGGGAAGTGGCGGAGTCCCCATCCCTGGAGGTATTTAAAGGACGTGCAGACACGGCGCTTAGGGACATGGTTTAGTGGTGGTAGCACTGGGCAGTGCTTGGTTAACGGTTGGACTCCATCTTACAGGTCTTTTCCCACCAAATCGATTCTGCGATTGACAGAAGCAATTGCTTCTGCGTCCAGAGCGACAGGTGAAAAGAACTTAAAGAGTGAAGTGACAGACTGCAGCCTGGGTATTAGCACGCACTTTCCTGATCACCAAGCGCGGGACCTCTTCCCGCTTGGGCGGCGCCGCGGTGCACGCCGGGCGTTGGAGTCCTCAGCCGCCGCTTCCGCCCCGTCCGCGCGGGGGGCGCTGGGGGCTGTAGTCGCGCCGCCGCGGTGTCCCGCCACCGCCGCCTCCGCTTCCGGGCGTGAGGGGCGGGACGCCTCGCCTCGCCTCGCCTCGGGGCGGCCGCAGCCGGGGCTGTGGGCAGGGAGTCGGGCTTCCCTTCGCCGGCCATTCCTTCTCTGGCGGGGGAGAAATGGAGGCGGCCTGGCGCCAGGGCGGCCGGGGCCGGGGCCGCGCCAGGCCCGGGGACGGGCTCGCTGCCCGCGCTGGGGCGGCCGCCCGGCCGCCGGCCCCGAGGGCCCGCGGCGGTGCCTGCGTTGCGGCCGCGGGGACGAGCGGCGAGGGGAACAGGGGTGAGTGTCGTTGTCCTCCCCGCTACCCGAGCCCGGCCGGGGGGTGGCTGGCCGGGGAGGCGGCTGCGGCCCGGAGCCCAGCCGGGCCTCGGGGAGCCCCTCCGAGCGGCCGGGGATGGGCTCCCCCCAGGAAGGAAGGTGAGCGGCGGGCGTTGGTGCGACCGGCGGCGCCCGGCTCCGCTGCCTTGGTGCCGGGCGGTCGCGAGCCGGCGTTTCGCCCTGTGCCGTCTCCCGCCTGCAGGTGCCCGCTGAGGGGGGAAGGCGGGGGCCGGGGGCTGCGGCCTCCCCGGGGGGCCCAGGCAGCGCCCTGCGAGCAGAAAAGTGTGAAGCGATGGATGGAGCAGCTGGTTGGAAATACTCAGGGGAGTGCTGCCCGCGGGGGGCAAGCGGCAGGCGCTCTGGTCAGTGTGCCACATTGCCCCGGCCTGGGAAGGGTGCGGGCTGCCCGGCGCACGGGCTTGCTGCGAGTGAAACATAGTACTCTTTGAAATACTTTAGAGGTGCGGAAGAGCCAAATACTGAGCGTGGTTTTTTAAGGAAAACCCTAAAATTAACTTGATGGAACCCCAGTAAATGTATTGGGTGCAACAGTCTAATATGGAAAACTAGGAGGTACTTAAGACCTGTGATCTGCTGAAGACCCTTATATCTCTGTGGTATATTATCTTAAAAGCACTTTGGTTTGTTATGAGCTCTGTTAAGTTATATAGTTTTTTTTTTTCCCTCAGTGTGAGAATCTTACTCTATTTCACATGCAATAACTTCAAAAAACCCTTATATTAAAATACCCTGTCACTTCTAATGTTGCCAGCTGTGAAATGAAACAGCATGAACCCACTATTGCAATGAGAACTTGTTGGATTGAGGGAGATCAATAAAAGTCATAATTTAAAAAATACCAAATGCTGGGAGATGTAGGGTACCAGCAAATTATAACAATTGCTCTTGTCAGGAATTGACTGTTTTTTGGTTTTGTGTTTTTTGTTTTGTTTTTTTTTCTAAAAAGTATTCTTTTCATAAAGCAGCATTACAGATGCATATATTTAGTATGCTTGGTTGGATTTGTCAGCAGTAATTGACAGATAATAATTCCTATCTGTTACAGATAACGCACAGTAAAGAATCACAGAATGTTTTGGGTTGGAAGGGACCTTAAAGATCATCTAGTTCCAGCCCCCCTGCCATGGGCAGGGACACCTTCCACCAGACCAGGTTGCTCAAAGCCCCGTCCAGCCTGGCCTTGAGCCCTGCCAGGGAGGGGGCAGCCACAGCTGCTCTGGGAAACCTGTGCCAGTGCCTCACCACCCTCACAGGAAAGAATTTCTTCCTTATGTCTAATCTAAATCTACCCTCTTTCAGTTTAAAGGTATTACCTCTTGTCCTGTCACCAGCTCCCTCACCATCTTTGTGGCCTTCTCTGAACCCACTCGAGCAGGTCCCTGTCCTTCTTCTGTTGGGGGCCCCAGAGCTGGACACAGCACTGCAGGTGGGGTCTCACCAGAGTGGAGAAGAGGGGCAGAATCACCTTCCTCAGCCTGCTGGCCACAATCCTCTTGATGCAGCCCAGGATACGGTTGGCTTTCTGGGCTGTAAGTGCACATTGCTGGCTCATGTTGAGCTTCTCATCAACCAACACCCACAAGTCCTTCTTCACAGAAAGAAAAAATACAATTTATTTCTTCTTGTGTGGTATTGAAAATGTAGCAACATACTGCCCTTGAAAACATAAAATCATCAAGCTCTTTAAAAGGAAAGGGCAGTTGAAAGTATGTAGGACTGAATATGGTGTTATGGTTAACTATCATGGTGTTAATCTGTTCTCTTAATAGAATTATTTTCACAGAAGAAATTTGATGAAATTAAGAAGGCTAACCAGGCTGCAGCAAAAAAGCTAATTGAAGACCAATTTAGCTCCTCATCTGAAGATGATGATGAAGATGCTGAAATAAAACAAGGAAAGATTTTGGCCAAAACATTTACCATTTACACTAGTCAAACTGGTAAATTTTTTTCATTTATTGGCTTTTATTCTGGTATGAAAGCATAAAAAATGCTGTGTTATTGTCTGTGTATTAGAATTCTTCCATAATTGGAGGTAAAGCCCTTTATTCTGATGTCTTGTATTAAAAAATATTTGTAATTAAAATACTAAAAATACTGCATGCTGGCAGTACTTCTTGCCTTTTTATGCAGAATCAGTGGTATAGTTTTGAAACCGTCTAAAGTACTTGTAATAATGTGGTTATATAACAATATATGAATGGCCTCTGTTCAGAAAAAAAAAATACTTTTACAGCAGTCTCAATATGTACAGAATAACAGATCAAACATTACTGATTGCTTTAAAAATCTTTATACGTTAAAGATGGAGACGCAAGTGAACTGGAACGTACAAGACAGTACATGAACGAAGCTTTTCAGTCAGGGGCTATGACATGTCTGATCTGCATTGCTTCAGTTAAAAGGAACCAAGCGGTAAGTATTTTTCCAGTAGTCTTTTAGAATAAGGCAAATATAACTGTCTGAATAACTTGTGTTTAATAATATCACTAAGGTAATTATTGGGATTGATAGCTTTAAAATTATAGAGTACTAAATGCAACATTTGGCATGTTTGGACTTTTCACACACTTGAAGAAATAAGTGCTTATATGTACACATAGTTTGTAATCAGAATATGTATTTTTTGACATATGTTTGTTATTGTAATGTAGAATAATTATTTTTAAATTTTAGAGAGTAGCTGATGAAAAAATTAAGTGCTTGAAGGCCAGTGCTTGCAATGGTGTGTTCAGTAAGTCATGTGATAACAAACACCAGAGCAGGAAATACTAGGAAGCTAGGAGATACTATTGTTAAATTTATAGCAGGGGAACTGAGATAAACTGTGCTTCTCCAGCTGCTGATCGGGTGAAAGAGAAGGATAACATGTCTGAGAAGATCATCTTATTACATATAGGTATATTCCTCATGGGAGAGATTTCAGGACAAATCTTTTTCACTTTATTTGTTATGTATCAACTTTCCTTTGGCACTGACAATTATTTGAATCTAATACATGCTTGCAACTCTATGTTTAACATTAAAAGAAAAAAGTGCAGAAAATCTTTAACTTCTTAAACTGAGTGTACATGGACTACAAGTATCCAATGAAACTGTGGTCATTAGCTTTTTTTAGACAGAAATGCAATATGTTTTTTATGAATTCTTAACATATTTAATCCATATTTTTTCAGACCTTAATATATATAGCTTGATTTTAAAGTTTGGTGTCTCTTGATAGAATTAATCTCATCTCAGCAGAAGTGAGATGATTTGGCACCTTGGAAGTCTTCTTGTATAACTCAGTGGTTTGTTAGTTATCTTGAATCTATAACGTTTCAGCCAAGTGACTGTGTTTACTTAATGTCTCCTGTTTAATTTTGGGAAGTTAGTTAGTCCTTTTAGAAAGTTGCATCACTGATTTTGTCCTCTATACATTAATGGGGAAAGTCTCCTTGTTTTTATAGTATAATTTTATAACAATGTCATAAATTATTAAAAAAAAATAAAATAAAATTTAAGCTTTCTGCTGCATATCTCTTAACAAATTGTCATAGTCATTCTAAGCTGACAGTTTAAGACATGAGTTTGTGGAAAGTACCAAAGTCGTAAAACTGCATTTCTGTTACTCAAATTGCTTTTCGGCAGCAGGCTGATATTCTAAGCGAAGGATTGTGATTTCACCCCAGAACTGATAGAGAAGTGCACTGGGAACAAGAACATAAAGGTTTAGGGATGGAGACAGGATACTGGCAAAATCAACTCTCTCTTAAGCACACGTCCTTTTAATTCTGTCCTGCCTTATACCTCTCTTGCTCTTTGAACAAAAGGCATGTAGTTGAAAGCCACACTTCTAATCAAATCTTTTTCTTACTGGAATTATATGTAAATCCTAAAGTTTGGAAGGGGGAAAAAGTCTTTTTAATACTAGATACCTAGAGTATGGGATGGGGAGAGCTGGGCTTTTTTAATCTGGCAGAGAGGAGGCAGAGGGATGATAAGATTGCAGCCTCTGTCTGCTTGAAGTTGTGGAGGTGGCTAAAGCCCAAGTCATTTTTGTGGTGACAGGTGGTGTAATAAGGGGCAATGGCACCAACTGGGGCTTGCTTGGGAATGCAGATTGGGTACTAGGAAGGTAGTATGACTCTTGGAGTAGGTTGCCCAGGATGGGTGTGAAGTCCTCATCCCTTCAGGATTTTCCAGCTTTGTCAGGCAGAGCTGTCACCAAACTGAGCTAAATTGGCAATAGTCCTACTTTGGGCATAAGGTTGTGCTACATGACCTCCAACAGTGTGTTTAAATCAATATATCTATGATTATAGGAGTATTTTGGGCTTCATAAGCCTTGGCAAAAACTTCCCACATAAGCAGGAAAAAAGATTATAAGTATGAATCTGCAAAACTGCCTGTATTGATCTAACAATAGGTATAATCTATCTTTGGAAACCCATTTTTTAAATGGAAAAATAGCAAGCTTGTATTTTTTTTACCTATTGTGGATGTTCATCAATGGAAAGAGAAAGAAACCTAATATAAAGAAATTGGCACTTATATCTGCTCTTTAGGTGTGGAGCTGTTGTGGATGCTTTTGTATATTCCACCTGGTGTGCATCCAAAAGTGGGCCAAGGACAGCCTTTTCCTTGTGTCTTCTCCTTTGACGGATGATGATTTTGGGAAGAAAGATTATCCCTGGCCATGGTGAGCTCTTCATGGTACATTTACAAAGATACTTTTATTGTGAAACATATATGAACTGGAGTTAGCTTAGAAAGAAATGGTACTTGTAAATGACATGCACATGCTTTTTTTTTGAATTATTTTTAAGTTTTCATTGACATAATTCAGGAATATTCCACAGTGATATTAAGCTGCTGCATAAAACTTATTTTAACTTCTCAGAAGGTTTATCTGTCATGTGTTGCAGCTTCTAGTAGTTATTTCTGAATGGCTTTACATATTTGTCACTTAAAATTGGCACCGTGAAGTAAAGAAATTAAAACAAACAGCTCTAAAATAGCAAGATTTAGGGAATTTTTTTAAATTTTTTTTTTAGTCTCTGTATAACTCAAGCCTTAAAGCCAGTCTTGCAGTTTTACGTGAGATTGTTTAAAGAAAGTGGTAATATTGTGGCTGCAGGAATAATAAAGCTTGCTTTTTTAGGAGGTTTATGTCTGAAAGTTCAGTCAAGGTTTCTCTGTGCATGTTCAGTGCTTTATTTGCCCACCTGCTTTCATGTGTAAACTTGTACCTAATATCTTTGAGACACAGTCCTCTGTCAAATTTGTTTGAAAGTGCCTGGTAGATTCAAAAGCTCTATTAATGTGGCATCTCGGAGAGCAGGTTAGCTTAGGAAATAAGGTATAAAATTTTTGGATGGCAGTGTCTCAAGTTGATAATGCCCATTCTACTACAAACCCCAGTTTTGTGTTTAGGTGTAATGTTTATAATGTAAAAATTTCAAGGTGAATGGTATTTTAGCATTTAAACAGATGATAAGACTGTGCAGTCACTATGGATAAATGGATTATGTCCTGCAATGTATTATATAGGTGCAAATTGGCATTTTATTTCATAACAATGAGTGAACAGGTGTTTCAAAGCCTCTGTTCTTCTCTGAGGAGGAGCTCCTTATCTATCTTTCTTTTCCCAGTGTAGCCAGAAATGAGAGCTGCTTTGTTTCTACTTTCTTGTGTCGCCTCTCTCATCCATGGCTTGCACCTGAAAGCCTTTAGGGCCTGTGGCACCAACAAGTTCCAGACCTTTGGTGCCTATCTACCTTCAGGAATAATGTATTTTTTAATATCTGACACTATGAAGAATAGCAAAGAAAGATGTGCATCTTATAATATCTAAGATGCTGAACTGATATAATCTAAAATCTTTCCTATGGAATTTTAAGTATGTATAGTTTTAATAGCATTGCTGAATCTTGTTTTACATAATTTATAAATTGCTACTGGTAAACCCCTGGGTTTTAATCTATTTTTTTGATTGGTTCTATTTAAATAGGTTAACTCTTTGTTGCAAACATTCCTTTGGTATTACTTGACATAAAAATTGGTCTGTATGCTTGCTATGCTGATTTTTTTTTTTTGTATCTATTCTTACAGAAAAAGATTGCATGATAGGACAATTCTGTAGACATTCTAATTAATGTATTGTGAAAATCTAACATACAGCAAGACCTTTATTGTATATTACAAATTTAATTATGTTGTGACTGGTTACAGTAGTTGTAAAAATGTTAATTGGTAGCCTGGTAACAGTCTTGGGAAACTGAAATGATAAAAACTGCTTTTCTTTTCAAAAAAATCCTAAAAAATGTGCATTTTTTTTTCACTCACCTTTTCCCTTGTTGTAGTCCAAAATGTAGGTTTGAATACAAACGGTCTGAAACTCCCAGTAGGTATTACTGTTACTGTGGAAAAGTGGAGAATCCAACACTGGACCCGTGGCTGGTACCTCACTCCTGTGGTCAGATATGTGAGAGGGAATTCAAACCTTCCTGTGGTCATAAATGTTTGCTGCTTTGTCATCCAGGTAAATCCATTGTGTCTCCTGGTTGTATGACCTGTATTTATGTAGCTGTTACATTTTACTTAAAATCTGGTAACTGTATTTAAAATTTTCAGAGTAAAAAGGATGTAGTCAGGGCTGCATTTGCTGCATGGCCATTAGCGAGGTATTCTTTTTCCTGTATTTAGGACCATGCCCCCCATGCCCAAAGATGGTCACAACAACCTGTCACTGTAAGAAAGCTAAACCAGTGCCCCGAAGGTGCAGTGCCAAGGAGTGGTCATGTCGCCTGCCGTGTGGACGAATGCTGCTGTGTGGACAGCACACTTGTGAGAATTCCTGTCATGCAGGTAGACTTGCCTTCTTAAACTTCAGAGGAGTAGTTGTTTTAATTGTTAAGATACATCATTCTTTTGCAATTCCTACTCTCAATGTCACTTTGCAATTGCATACAGGAGATTGTCAGCCTTGTCCACGAGTCAGTAAACAGCGGTGCATCTGTGGAAGACAGATGGCAGAAAGACTTTGTGCAAGTCCTCAGTGGCAGTGTGATCAGGTATGTTGAAACTGTCCTTTTTAGGTTATTTCTCATCTTTATAAAATTTGATTACTCAGTGTATTAAGGATTGGAAAAAATCAGTAAGAAAATAATTTTATTTTTTAGTTTTGAAAGTGCAGTCAAAAATATAAACAGCAATGTTTGAGATTGGATCTACTTGGCGGCCCAGTTAATTTCTGACAGTAGTTAAAGTGTCACCGTTCTGGAATTGTGCTCGGGTTAAGCTAGCAGTGAATTTGACTTTTGTATATTCTGTTTTCTTGTACTTGAGGTTGAAATTTCAACTGCTGTCTTCAAAAATAATCATGAAACCACAGCTTAATATATGAGTTTCATGCATATTTACTTGTAGTGTCTGTAACAGAATGAAAGCTTTGTGATTCATTCTTTGAAGTATATTTGCAGCTTATTCTTAGGACCAAGATATGGATTGACAGACTGTAAAAAATAAGAATAATTTTTAAAACTAAGTAGTAGGCGGGAGGTTGCACCAGGAGATACTTGGTCATTGTGATCCCAGTAAGAAATGTTCTCAGCCTCTGTGAAGTATCAATTAAAATGCAATTTATTTCAGCTAACACTATAGAGAAAGGGAGGATAGTATAAATAATAGCATGGCCCTGCAGAAGCTGGGAAACCCAAGCTGTGCAGCATTGAATGGGCCTCTGATCCACGTGCAGCATGCAGTGCAGACCCCATCTGTAGGAAGGGTTACCCCATTTTGGTCATGGAAGCTGTTGTAGGATTTTGTTACAAGAAAGCAACCCTGTGTACCGTTTCTACTGTTGAACAGAAAGGGTGTTCAGATGAGAACTTCTTGCTGCACTTCTAGATAAAGGCAAGGACATGCAGGTGGCATAGTCACTGGTACCAAGTGGGAGCTGCCTCTGATCTCCTCTGTTACAACATGTTTATCCTGTGGCCAAGGGATATGTGCAGCACAAGACAGGGCTGAGGGTCAAGCTGTATGTGCAGCACAGCCCAGGGACTGCTCAGGGTCACTGTTATGTGAACCACTAACTCCTCAGTATACACCGGTCTTTCTGTCAGAATCACTGCAGGGGTGATCAGTTTTATGTGGTGAACTCAGCAAATAAAAGATATGTTAACAAAATTCAGAAAAAGTTAAATCCAGATGTCTCTGACCTCTCATTTTTCCCCTTGGGTTGCTTCGTCTTGGTATGTAGTTCTGTTACATCACATTCACTTCGTTTCTCTGAGTTTTCCAGGTGTGTGGGAAACATTTGTCTTGTGGTAATCACACATGTGAACGAGTTTGTCATGCTGGTCCCTGTGGAGACTGTCCTCGTTCTGGGAAAAGGTCTTGTCCGTGTGAAAAATCAAGTAAGCCTTTTTTTTTTTTTTTTTTTTTTAATAATATAAACTTAAAAGTCATCTAGACTTTGACAGTCAGTACTTTAAGTTAATTCTGCAGGGCAAGGTCCGTAAAAAGTTCTTACAGTGAACTGTGACAGTTTATATTAACTTTTTTGCTTAATTCTTTCAAACCTTTACTTAGTATCAGGGACTTAATTGTTGATGTGAATAATTAATAATTCTAGAGAAGCTTTTAAAAAAATGAGAGAGAATTGACATTTGAACTCATATTACACATTGCATTTTTTTTCCTAAGTGTTTGCTTGTATTTTTCTCTTTTCATCTAGAGTTTACATTGCCATGTACAGAAGATGTGCCCACCTGTGGTGATAGTTGTGACAAAGTTCTGGAATGTGGCATCCATAAATGTTCACAGCGCTGTCATCGAGGTCCCTGTGAAATATGCAGACAGGTTAGTCTTACTGTAGCAGGTTCACATTTTAAGAGTTTTTAAACACTATATGCCTGGAACAGTGGAAGTCTCCTAAGGAAAATGAAGTTATATCTATCACAAAATCTGTGACTTCCTGCTCGTTAAAACCAATGCATTTTCTCCCTATTCCCTTCCTGCCCCAACACAATTCTGAACTAATATTTGAGCACTGTGTATCTGAATTGAGGCATGGATGAGGGCTTTATTGTTTTGGCTTGGTTTTTTAATTAAGTATGCCCTAAAAGACACTTAATTTTCCCCCAGCTCTTCTAGCTTTCTTGCTGCTTTTTCTTACTACATTACTTCTTTATTAGTGAAACGGAAGATGCTGTAACGTAACATTATTTCATTGTTAGTAAGAAAATAGTATTTTGCTCTGCTCTAAATTATCTGTGGAGCTTCTGTGCTCTGACCTATAAAGCTGTTGCTCTGCCTGCTCTGGGTAGTCTCCTCCTGAACCAGCTTTGGCTACAAAGTCTGTGCTGAAAGTAGTTACCACATGATAGCTGGGATGAAGGCCATGTAAACCTGCTTGCCTACTTCTCAGATCATCTGTATCCACCATGAATGAACCGAGCTTACTATGCAGGGGAGCTGCTTTTCTGTATGAATTTGTTTTGCGTTTACGCTTGATGTCTTGCACTACATGCTTGAGCGGCTCCTTTGAAGTGGCTTTGCTCTCAGTGAGACCAAGGCTACAGTGAGGTGCCATCTGGAGCACAGTGTGTGCAATACCGACACAAGGTCCCCAAGCAATTATTGCACAGATAGGTAATCTGCTCAGAGCATGTGATATGCTTCATGTTGTGATAGAGCACTGTAATGTTACTCTCCCGTGAACTTTTTGTTATAGCTAGTAGTAGAACATTTTATTTTCCACTGTTTTGATTTTTTGGGGTATTAAAAATACCCTACTCTTCTTCCTATCTTGCTGCCCAGGAAGTTGAAAAACAGTGTCGCTGTGGAAAGCACACTAAACGCATGCCATGTCATAAGCCATATCTGTGTGAAACGAAGTGTACTAAAATTCGTGATTGCCAAAAGCACCAATGTAAGAGAAAAGTAAGTGTCCAGAGATATTTCTCAAATGTATTGTTTAGATAACTCTTTTTTAAAATTGGGTATAATATTTTATATTAGATATAAATCACATCAATCTGTTGTTCCACTTTGTTATTGTATAGAAAGAGGAGTTTTCTTCAGTGTCATTCAAACTAGTTTGCAGTGTACCATAGTTCTCTGAATGGCGTTTCACCAAGAAAAACTCAGTAGCCTTAAACTGTGAGGGGGTTTTGACAGGTTTCCACTTCTGGAAGGCAGTTTTGCTTTCAGGTACTCGGGCAGTTACTGATGCTTTATGCTTTCTGGAGTAGTTAAATCCATTTATTTCCTTACTTTGTAGGAAGACCTGGAAACCCCTCATAACTTTGTAAGGGACATACACTTATTTTTGACAACACATTGCATTTTACTCCACCTTCTAATAAGCATCACTGCAAAGAACAGTGGTTTAGCAATTAGGAATTTGAGTTTTGTCTCCCTTCTCATTTGAAGTCAGAGGAATGATTGTTAGCTCAGACCTATCTTTTTCAGTTTGTTGATTCAAGAAGGCCTAAAAGTTGCCTGTGATGTGTGAATTAAGACATAATGAAATTTTGACTTCTTACCACAGAGGCATGAAAAGTATAGTTTCATTCTTAGGTATTTTTTTTGAGTATTATTATTGCAACTGTGAATTTACTTTGTGTGAAAAGATGGCAAAACAAGTAAATGCAATCTTGACATCTTTATGCTAAAAAATCCAGGATTCCTAATTGCTATCCTTCCTTATACAGTTTGAAGGAAGGTACCTTTCAAGTCAATAGAAAAGATGGGGTTTTCTCCTGACCTGACATCCACCCGTGTGGTGGTGGTGTGATGTGTTCTGATTCTTCCACATTACTGCTTTATATAAGAACAGAAAGTAGATAACTAGGATTATTTATCTGACCTATACGACAAAGTTAAAAGGTATTAAAAAAAAAAAAAGTGGTTAGCAACATTTTTGTGCCCGGGACAATATAGTATAAAAGTGGAAGAAATTGCAGGGTAATGGGGCAAACTGTTGGATATCCTACATGTAATCTTTTGAAATTATTTCAGATTAAAAGTTCATATTTTTATATTTTAAAATGTTTTTGTGCTTTTTGGAAGCCCTCTGCTTTTTTAGTGTGTTGAAATGATTCTTTCAAATGTGTGTTTTCTTGTTATTTTACAATTTGAATTTTTTAAAAACAGTTTTACAGATGGTCTCCTTTCTATACTTGGCATGAATTTGAGGAAATTTGACTAAATTGCATGAAAATATTTTTAAGAAGTATTGAAAAAATGAGAAAGTAGAGGAGGGCAAATTTATACCAGAAATGTCTACATTTTCAGTTATATAGAGTATGGATTTTTTTAATAGTGCTGTTCTGGAAACTGTCCACCTTGTGATCAAGTCTGTGGGCGGACTCTAGGCTGCAGAAATCACAAATGCCCTTCAGGCTGCCACAGAGGTAAGAACAGGTGAAGGATCCCCGTAGTGATGGAATATTGTTTATCTTTGCTAAACTTTGTGCTTGCATGACTCTGTGTGGTGCTTAATGAATGCCCTTGTTGCATGTGGGCTTTTTGTGGGGGCAGTGTGTCTGAAAGGTTTTTAGTGCTGGTTAGAGCTCAAGGACTTACATAATGACAACCTGAGTTTTTTACTTGCTAATTTTGCTTAGCATTGTTCCTCTGAAAATGCTCTGTCCACTTTCCAACTGATTAATTAAAAATCTGTAGCTTGACTTTTTTTTCCCAAATAATTCTGTTCACTGAATGTAACTACGAAAAAGTCAAACTACATATAGAAATGGCTGTGCTGGTTGAGTCTGGATGGTTTTTAAAAATCCTAGAATACAGTGTATGATACAAGTGGGCTTAAAAAAAAAAGTTGTTGGAATTTGCATGCATATTCATATCTTACTGGTAAGAGAAAATAAGAACTTGTTACTGACTATGAAGAATAACAGAAAAGCTTACTTCTGCATTCAGTGACCTTGGTTAGAAAGATGTTGAAAATGGCCAAAATTACCTGGCAGCTTTTATCCCGACCAATTGTTTTGACATTAGCTTGGTAGGGAATTAAATTGGAATGACTGAAAAAGCGTCTGCACTCTCAGCAATTTTCCCTACAGAAGCTGCTGCCCTGCTGAAGCAGCAGCTGAGTAGCCTGTGTAATTTCTCTTAGTATTCTGGACTATAAATTGCAACAACTCAGGAAATAATTCTCAACTTGTTCAGCCAGTCTTGCTTATGAGGCAGTGATTCTTAAGAGGACAGGACAGGTAAATGTGGTAGTTGTCCCAGTTAAACTGCTGTTAAATCTGTCACCACAAATGAGTCGTTTGTTTTTCTCTGTTAACTGTGCCCCTTCTTTCCCTCCCTTTCTTCCCCTTCCCCTGTACCCCTCCAAAATCCTGAAAATACTTTTCGGGGGGGCTTTTTGTACTGTTGGAAGAACACTGGTAATATTGTTTTTCTGCATTGGTTTGGTTGATAACTAAATCATAGAATAAAATTCTGGTTGGAAAACTAAGGATCTAATGCTGCATTATAGGATAAACTTTTACATTGAATAGCTGTTTATATTTGATTCTGCTTGCATCATACAGCCTGGCTAAAAGTGACAATGATATCTAATAACTAACAGCAGTATAAAAATAATAAACCAATGCCTATTAGAAAACAAAGGTGAACTTTGAGAATATAAATATCAAATATATACACTTTAAAGTGTAACTTATTGAAACAGTACAATTGTTAATATTTAAGTGATAACTCTTGCCAGGAATTGTATCCAATGAAGCTGATAACTGTGATACCAGACAATAAATTTAGAAAAGAAACTACCTTGTGTACTTTAACAAATTACAATCTAGTACAATTTGTAGTACCTTGTCAGAATGATTGAAAATATTCCTAATAAAGGCAATTATTTTTATTTCAGAATATTTATATTAATTTGTTTTTCCTTATACACCAATATTTTAATAGCTGCTGAAAGTTATGATTAATTATTTTATCTTTAGTATGTAATACCAGGTCAAGTTGATTTTACAGTGAGCTGCCAGATCTAGGTGAGCACTGATTTTAAAGGAAGTAGCATGCCTCCTAGAAAATAACTTGCCAGATCAGGTCCTTTAAAAGCTACCTGATCTCAGAATTATTAAAGGTTGCTGATAATAAGCACTTGGCTTTTAGCAGAGGTCCCTAAAAAAAGGTAACTTAATCTATTCTGTTTGTGCTTTGATTTTTACATGCCTTTTTTTCTTAAGTGTTTAATCGTGCTTGCTGAAATTTAGAATGTATGGCCAGGGAATACGAATGTTTCCTACTGTAGTATATTGTAACACTTGATTTTGAGAACAGTGTGCTCTCACCTTAACTTCAGGCTTATATGTGATTTCTGCCCTTTCATCTTTTTGAGAACGGAGGCAGTTGTCTTCATTAATAGAATATTTAAGTAAATTGTACACATATTAGGCACTCTAGGCTGCATAGTTTTAGACTTTCAGTGTATTTTGTAAAAGCAGCTGTTTATGTGTGCTGGTAACATAATTTCATTTACTTTGCAGTATAAAGTTTTAGAAGATACATATTCTTACTGTTAATTACTCAATAATAAAACTTAGCAGTTGGCACTTGATGAAGAAATAGTGTGGGAAAGCTATAAAATAAAACAGATATTTTATGGATCTCTTTTTTAAAAAAATATACCAGGTTAGTAGCGTAAGTGACTCTATAGAGGTGGAGGGTCTTTTCATAGAAACATTAATTAGACATAGGCTGAACATTCCTTTAATATTGTACAAAATCGGTAAAAATTTATTATACCAGTTTTTCAATGTATCTTTAGTTTTTTTGAATATAGATGGAAGATGGTATCTCTTCATATGTATTTAAGACTGAATAGTGAATATTTAAATGTTGTGTGATCCAGATGACCGGGCTTTATTAATGCTGACTTCTTTTTAAAATGTGAGAGAGGGATTGTTTCTAACTTGATACCAGTTAACAACTGTAGAATAACCAAGATAGCTGTTACTATTCTTTAAGAGTGGTGAAATTCTCTTTTCCAAGAGGGATTTTAAACTAAGCAGAAATAAAAAATTAACAGCCATCTATTATTTAGATCAAACAAAATAGGACAACTACACCACATACATATTCAGAGTTACATTAGTTACCATTTTTTTATAATCAATAGCTTATTCAGATTATCGTATTGTTGCTATATTTATTTTTAGGTAGTTGTAATCCATGTCCAGAGACTGTAGATGTGAAATGCAATTGTGGAAAAACTGTCATTAAAGTGCCCTGTGGCAGAGAGCGCACCATCAAACCTCCCAAATGCAAACAGCTGTGCAGGTCAGTATAGACTGTGTGTGTGTTTCTAGTTCTGCAGTGGAATTTAAGGTGTCCTTAAAATAGCAAAATATAACTTTAAGAGGCAAAAATTATTCCTTTAATATGATTATAAATACTACTTCTCAGTTTTCTGTATTCTTGACTATGCAGATGGAGATTAGCAATAATCCTTCTTATCAGACACCTTTTAGGTGCTGTGGTTTCATGAGCAGCTTGCTGCTGTCACGGGGCGGTTCTATCCCACTGAGCCCTTCTATTAGTGTAGTCTCACTCACTTCTCAAAGTCATCTCTAGTACATTTTGAAGTACCTCTATGAGGCAGTTTACCTAGAAATCTTGACTAGAAAAAGGAAAAAGAGTATTTTCTGCTGGGGTGTAGCAAGATTACTTAGTGCAGAGTAGAATTAGGATTGAAGTAACTGTTTGAATATGCAAACTCAACTTTGATTTTAATTTCATTTAGAACTCCTGTATAATTTTACCGTAATATTAACCACTGCTGCAGGTGACAAGTAAACACATTTAAAAAAAAAAACCTTGTTCATCTCAATTCTTTGTATTTTGAGCATAATTGTCCAGTAACTGTAACTTCATGTTTCTTGGTGTCTTAAGTCTTGGATTTTTTCTTCAGTCGACCACCTACCTGTCACCACTCTACCCAGGAGAAACACTATTGTCACTTTGGTCGGTGTCCTCCGTGTCGTCAGTCCTGCCAGAAAAAGTTAACGTGTGGTCATTTGTGTCCTGTTTCCTGCCACGATGAAGCACTTGTGAAGCAAACTGGCTCAGTAAGTAAATAGTGAAAATGGTGTATTATTTGTGTTCTGAAGAATGAGTAACAGTAGTTTGACCTTAAACTTATGTTGGTGGCTTTTGGAGTTCGGAGTAAATAAATAATCAAACACAGAGGTACACATACTGCTTAACTGAGAAACTAAGTGGTTCTAGCTCCTTTGTTGCAATCTGATTAATTTTGTAATATATATAATTTAATGTCAGTTTTCAGCAGTTAAGATTACTCAGGAGATAAGATTGTTGTTAGAGTTCTATTACAAATGTTTAATTTCAAATGTAAATAATTACTTTTAACATAAGAGCAAAAAGAAATTTTAACTGTACTAAATAGTAACTGATATTTACTAAACCATCAAAATCTGTACAAGTTAAAAGTGAGAAATTGTTTGGCATCTTTAATGCATGTACTACATGATGGTCATTTCACTTGTGCAGTAATTTTTATATTTTTACCTATATTAAATGCTTAGAATAGTTTTGATGTTTTTTTTTTTTGTTTGAGTTGTAGCAGTAGGGGCCACATGCCTTCATCTTCCTATCCCTAACCAAGCTAAGGATGAAATTGTCATTTTTTGTGTGTAGGGGGTGTTGAAATTTGCATTAGTAAAAAGTTAGCTACCACAAAGTGGATTTATTGGAATTGGGATCGCTTTAGATGATATGTTTGGTTATGGTCAAGCAGATAGTTCCAATTGTTTTTTGTATTGAGCTAATGTTGTCTTTTGTTTTCAGCATCAGTCTGCAGGTCCTTGGGAACAGCCATCTGAGCCAGCTTTTATTCAAACTGCATTACCATGCCCTCCCTGTGAAGTTCCTATACCAGTGTAAGTATTAAAAAAGCAAACAAATAAGAAAAAGTTTTAGTATGGAAAGATTTTTTTTCTTTTTCTAGAGATGGACATGAAAATAACCGTATTTTCCTTTTCAGATGCAAAGAGCCTGTGTGAACAGCACTCTCATAAAGCTGGGAGCATTTGTGGTTGTTTAATAGACATTTTTGTAGTGCGTTCTCACTGTATGAAAGGACTGACAGTGTTAGTAAAGATTGTTTCTAATACATTGTGTGCAATGCTACCTTAAAAATATGAAAATTGGAAAGACAGCCATTTTAATGTAATAGTCTTCAGTAACACATTACTTTTTCCATATAGTTTCTGTATTGTTTGGTTTATGATATAGTAACTTTCTGTGTAATGAATTGCTATTTTGTTTCTCAGTTCTTTAGTTACACTAATGAGTGCCAGGTGGATACTGTTCTTTGCATCTGCATGTTTCCTTTCTGTTTTTGACTGGTTCATAAGGTTTTGCTCCTTGAGTAGAGCCCAGTCAACTCCCAAGATGATGCTGTGAAGATACAAGGAAAGAATGATGATGCCTTTTTTTTCACCATTCTTTTTCTGTTTACATTGTGGAATAAGAACTCTGAATGCTATCTGAAAAAGGAAATACTGGGGTTTTTGGTATCTTTTTGTGTTGTAGTCTCATACTGTTTTAAACCCTGCATACTTCATAGGCATTAGTGCCTGTTTGTTTTTTAAACATCCCTCCTTAATAAGGGAATATTATGTCCTCATTTTATGAAGTAATAAGAGAGAGGAAGATGATAAAAAATAAATATCCATATAACTGCCTTCATAGATATGTGTAGAATTTAATTTCTCAGGGACTGTACTTCTGTTCAAAACTGTGACTGCTCAGTACGTTTGATACATGGGCTCAAAGTTCAAAGTCAGACTCCCAAAAGATAAAAAATGTGTAGTTATGAAGAGTCTGGTTTCAGTGTTTGGTTAGATGCCTGTAGAAACTGTCTCAAAGTAGGAATTCAGAAGAGGTCACTGCATAGCATCATGCATTACATAAGGAACATCTCCTAGTTCCTCTGAATTCCAACTTTAAAATCACCTCTTTTAGTCTGGAGAGTCCTCTACCGAGGAGGTAAGTCTGCTAATTGAGAAGGAAACAATAGTGAAAGTTGTACTTAATTTTCTTACTAGAGGAAGTGTCGTTACATGTCATAGTGCTGGGGCAAATTAGGGTTCTATTAGCATTAGATCCCATTACTTCTAGAATACCATAACTCTATTGATCGATCTTACCAACTGTAATGCTCTTTTTTTTTTTTTCAAATGACATATTAAAATAGTAATAGTAAAGAAAACTACAGATACGAAGTAATGTGTTGCTACAAAGCAAAATATCTGATGCCTTGTTAGATTGTCAGCAGGACATTTAAAATCACTGCTAGAACAGTGGCATTTGAATGAATATCATAGAATCATAGAATGGTTTGGCTTGGAAGGGACCTTAAAGATCATCATGTTCCAACCCCCCTGCCATGGGCAGGGACACCTTCCCCCAGCCCAGGTTGCTCAAAGCCCCGTCCAGCCTGGCCTTGAGCCCTGCCAGGGAGGGGGCAGCCACAGCTGCTCTGGGCACCCTGGGCCAGTGCCTCACCACCCTCACAGGAAAGAATTTCTTCCTTATGTCTAATCTAAATCTACCCTCTTTCAGTTTAAAACTGTTACCCCTCATCCTGTCACTGTACTCCCTGATGAAGAGTCCCTCCCCACCTTTCCTGTAGCCCCCTTTAAGTACTGCAAGGCCGGTATAAGGTCTCCTCAGAGCCTTCTCTTCTCCAGGCTGAAAACCTCCAAGTCTCTCAGCCTGTCCTCATAAGGGCTCAGCCCTCTGATTATCTTTGTGGCCTCCTCTGGACCTGCTTGAGCAGCTCCATGTCCTTCTTATGTTGGGGGCCCCAGAGCTGGACACAGAACTGCAGCTGGGGTCTCATGAATGGAGTAGAGGGGGAGAATCCCCTCCCTTGACCTGCTGGCCACACTTCTTGATGCAGCCCAGGGTACGGTTGGCTTTCTGGGCTGCAAGCACACATTGCTGGCTCATAGTCAGTTTTCTGTCCACCAACACCCCCCCAGTTCAACACGGGACTGCTCTCAATCCACTCATCACCCAGCCTGAATCCATTTCATGGTCACTGCAGCCAAGGCTGCTCTCGAGCTTCACATTCTCCACCAGTCCCTCCTGTTGGTGAAAACAGTGTGATAATGGAGAATAGTTTAAATAATCATATTCTGTATGGATAGATGTCAGTGGGGATTCCATCCTTCACTACTGAAGTCTTGCAATACTTTTTGATGTTCTTTCTGATAATTTGGTATCTTTGAGCATGAGCAGTCAGAGATTTGTGATGGAGTGTATTTGGTATCTGTTTCTATAAATAGTTAAAAGGGATTTTCTGGAAAATTATTTGTGCTATTAGTTGCACAGATTCATTGAGGCTGGAAGGTACCTTTGAGTGGGGTCACCTAGTCCAGCTTCCTGCTAAAAGCAGATTGACACTGAATTCAGATCAATTTGTCCAGCTGGACCTTGAAAACTCCAATGTACATGGATCCTGCAGCCTCTCTTGACAAGCTCTTTCAGTACTTGATTATATTTACAGTGATTTTTATTTTTTTTAAAAAACTTTTTTCCTCCACTGTGTATCCAGTCAGAACCTTCCTTGTTTAAGAGTATGATTGTTGTCTCTTGCCTTCCTGCTATGAACCTCAGTAAGGAGCCTGGCTTTATCTTCTTGGTAACTTCCTCTTAATGCTGAAAGACTACTATTATATCCCCAGCCAGCAGTGTTGTTGGGATTTAGTCAGTCCCAAATGCAAGACTTTCTTTGCCTCTGTATTTACTGAATTTCCTCTCAGGCTATTCCAACAGTCCTTTTGAATGGTATCCTTGCCCTCGAATGTGTTGGCTGCACTGTCCTTTAGCCGTTGTCTGCAAAAGTGGTGCATTTTTTCTCTTCCAAGTTACTGAAGGGAAAAAAAAAGATAGGTCCCAGGCTGAGGAATTCCACCTGCAACAGCTGTCCAAGTAGGATACAACCAACTAACCACTACCCTTTGAGCGCAGTGATCCTGCCAGTTTTTCATTCATCTAGCAGTTCATCTGATACCATTACATCTCAACTTGAATGCAAGGTTGCTGTGGGGAGCCTCTTATCCACAGGTTTAGTAGTTACATGGCAGAAGGCAGTCAGGCTGGTTACGCAGTTTCCTCTTGCAGTGGAACAGAAACATGCTACAATGGAACGCAGCAGTCCTAGAAGCCAAATTAACTGGTTATAGGAAGATTGTCTATAAGATAACTGAGCTGTGTAGCACAAATAACAGGCTCCAGTGCTACATCTGCTTCTTAATATACTCGGTGAAAAACTGATTGCTCTTGTTAATAGCCTGCTGTCCTAAAGAGCATCCATAGCTGTTGGTTGTTGTTTTGTGTTAGAGAAGTTATCAGGGATACTTTTTTTTCACTCTTCTAGAAATTTTTAGGAACTGATTTTACAGGTATTTTAGCTTGAATATTAATGATGTTTTCATTACTCTCCCTTACAAGGTTTCAGTAGAGAAATCAAAATAATACTTGGGAAGGAGATGACAGATATGAAATCAGAGGTAAAAAGAAAAAGATACTTTTCAAAATAAATTGAGCAAAAGATTGATTTAATTTTTAGGAGACCAGTGTTTGAATGAGTCATCATTTAATACCTTCACAATTCTGATCAGTGTGCAATTTTCCTTTCCTAGGAATGGTAGACCATTCTAAAAGGGGTAGAATTGTAAACGTAAGAGTAGACTAGATAGTTCTCTGAAATAACTAAAAAATATGAAGTCATATATTAGAGCCAAAGGCGAAGATATTTGGAAGCAATTCAGATAATTTTCTAAAATAAAAATTATTTTCATATACCACTGTAATCTGCACATGAAACACTGATTTGGGGATTGCCATCATAAAATACAGCAGTCCAAACAACTGTTGAAAAAGAGAAGGCATTGATCTGCATAGATAGATGATCTTCTCTTAGGTTGTACTTTTTAAAAATGGTATTATTTTTGTGTGAAAAGCACTGTCGCTATTTTAAGTCCTTTATTGAAGAAATACATGATTTCTAAATCTCTCATTTTTCTTTCTTTAACAGGGAGTGTCTTGGGCAGCATGAGGTGAGTCATGAAAACTGCCTTTTAAAATGGAATATGAAGTATATCTCACTTTGTCAGTCTGGGAAAAAGGTGTTAAAGAAATATTATATGGCTTTTTTATATTTTAAAACCAATGAAGTACCTCATAAGGATTTACGTATCAGAAGGTATTTTAGTTCCTTCTTGAAAACTATATAACTACTTGACTTCTTAGAATTCTTGGACAGCATTTGAAACTAGTGATTTATGAAGCTGTTTCTGTGTTCTTGCAGTTGTTTAGTGTGTATACATTTGGGGGCAGGCCGGGGGTGTGTGTCTTTTTCCGTTATATACTTCTGGTTGGTTGTTTTTTTTCCTCATTCTAGAGTTATCATTCTATCCCTGTCACACACTTACTCAGTTCTCCTAGAAAATCCTGTGTGTATTTCCAAAGGATAAAGAACATACTGTTGTATAGGACAATTCTAGTGTAACTTGGATCTAAGCATGCCATGGATGAAATCAGACAATATAGTGAAACTTCCTTCATGTTACTCAGCTTGTCTTTTTGGTGTGCAGCCTTCTCCAGTTTTAGGTGAAGTCATTGTCTGTTTTGGCTTACATGAGAAGAAAATCTAATTGACACTTGAAAATAAATAAATACCATCATTATTCAGTCATTTCTAGAAGTCATGAAATTGAGGGTCAAGTCACTTTTTCTTGATTTTAAAAGATGATTGCTAAATTAATTTTTAAAAAGCTATTGCTCCTACAGCTTTGTCTGCTAGTAAGTTTGTCATAAATTCACTATCAAAGTGCAGCTAACAATATTATAACAAACCTAGTTTAATTTTAAACTAGTAAAAAATTATAGGAAACAGTAAGCACTTTAAAATGTGTAAAGACACCCTCCTCCCTTTTTTCGGTTGACCTTCAATAATCTTTTGGGATGTGTTGTAATGATGGCTTCATTATGTGGTGGCAACATCACAAATGTTGTTAACAAAGTTTAAATATCCCTAGTCTGTACAGCACATTTATTAATCCAACCAAGCTGTGAAAACAGCTTCTATAGAGCTAATTTGCAGCTTGTTAGTTGCTAAATATAAACTTGCTTTGAAAACAGATGAAAAGAATAACTGTGCCTATTTGCTTGTTGTTGAAACAGCTGGGTCTTGTTTTTGTTTTCCACAGTAAAATTTGCAAGTGTATTAGCCAATGTTTTATCGAGTCAGTGACTTGTTTTGTGATATGACGTATCAAATCTCACCCTAACTTTCATGAATCTATGTATAAACAAAATATGAGCTAGGATTCAATTGACCCAATATATAACTTGCTCTAGACAACATTACTGGTTTTGGTACTATTCAGATGTACGTGGCTGTGGAGTTTATGTCCCTCCCTATAACAGAGGACAGTATGGCATATCTCATAAGAGAAAATGTTTCTTACTACTAAATACTTCATTTCAGAATAAGTAAAAAAAAAAAAAAAAAATCTGTGTTTTAGCAGAATCAGTCAATGGCTTTAGGTCATTTTTTCTTTATGGGTTAGTATAGAAAGTAAGGAAAAATCCCAGGGAGTCTATACCTAACTTTGAATAGATTTATTGATGTTATATAATGTTCTAGATTAAGTGTTCCTTCTCTCAGCCAGCAGAGAGCAGTGTTTCCTTCCTGCTGAAGTTTAGTTGTTTGTGGAATGGAATGAAATATCTTAATCCTTGAGATTTTGATAGCAGTCAAGGAAATAACAATTTATTAATGTGTGTGCATAAGGGGGGGGTTTAAAGCATATTTTATGTTCATTATACACTTTTATGTTGTTCTGAGATCTCTAAAAAAAACCATGTAGTGTCTGTACAGTGTTTTTACAGCCACATCGGTTCTTAACAAGTAATCTCACCACAAACTAATTTACTTTTGTTAGCAGGAGAAAACACTTTATGTATTTATGAACACTTCCCTCCTATAGTAGTTTCCAGCCCCTGAGGGGACTTTCACAGTAATGTGAACTTTTCACAAGTGCTGAAAGTAGTGATTTTTTTTAAGGCAAAGTTTTGCTGTGAAGGGGGGCTCATTGCTGTACTATGTTACTACTTATGTTGGACTATTGTTATACCTAATATGATGGAAGAGGTGTCAAAGAAACAAACTAGGAATGAAATGAGCTGTAGTGTCTTGTATTTTACTGGGATGCCTGCAGATGATGAATAGAAGAATGAAAGGAAACAGTTTAGGAGTCCTATAGAAAGCAAATCTACTGTCTTTACATTTTCACTCAGACATTAATTTTAATTTGTGTAGATATTGGAGTTGGTTGTTTTGCTGGGATTTTTTTTTTTTGTTAGGTTTCATTTTGGCATGTAGCTTAAAGTATTTTTAAGGGATTGATTTAGTTCTTCCTCTTACGTGTCTTTGGGTATTTAGGACAAGCAATTTATCACTTGAAACAACAACTTTAAACCTGCTTTTTGGATTATATAATTGTATAAAAATCTGTATACAGTGGAAGTATGATTCTTCATGATGCTTAACCTAAAATAAGATTTCTTTTAGCTACAGTCTGCAACTGCCTGTGAAATAATTTTACTATGCAAGTTTTGGATGTTTTTGCATTTAGTCAGAAAAAATTGATAACTCTTATTTTTTTGACTTGTAGGTACTTAAAAGTAGTTCATGATTTTGTTTCAGGTTATAGATCAGAAAAATCACCTGTCATCAACAGTTGCTGACGCTCCAAAATGAAGACTTGATGTTTTACTTTTTCTTTGAACTGCTATAAGCATTGGTGTTTCATAGCAGTAGCATACATGCGCTCTTTTAAAATCAGATTATGAGAGCTAATTTTTATATTCAAAATCTGGTTTTATGGGAAAACATTAATTAAAGCACGTACAAGATAAATGAGGACAGGCAAGGAGGTCTTAAATGGTTATGGTGTTAATTTATCTGCTGCGTTTAATTCTCTTGTCGTTTCGTTTCATTAGATGTTCTAGAGGAAGGGAAACATTCTGGTTTTGTTTGTGATGAGTATTTTGAATATTCTGTAATATTGGTCTTGCTGTTTTCAGACAGATGGAACTCTTTTTTGGGGGGGAGTTGGTAGAAATTTAATGCTATATTTTATTATTCTGGTAGGGTTTTTTTTATTATTTGTGTTTCATTTATAGGAGGAAGACTTTTACTCTGCCTCTAGATGTAAAATTTTATGTAAATCTTGATGAGATTCATCTTTATGGCTAAATACCTTATGAATATTTCCAAAATTTCCCTGCCCTATTCTACTTGATTTTTATTTTCATATTCCAATTGATGTATCTATTAGCTGGTTTTATGCATATAAGAGTTGTTCTGGAAAGCTTCTGAAAAAAGTCCTTTTTTCCTTGCCGTCCTTTTGTTATCCTGTGGAAGACCTGTGGTCTGAAAATGATGCCTCCTTTCTTTCCTTTTCCATTCAGTTTTCATAAAATACTTCTGTTTCTCATCTGCTATTCTTCAGCTCATCAGCCTCCTAGAGTTTGTGGCTTCTTTGATATTTGTCTTTGTAGCAAGAGTATCAACCTCCATTTACCCATTTCAGAAACGCCTTTCAACCATAGAAAGTAAAATTTTACTCTGCATTGTCCTTTGAATTTCTTACTAATAGCCACAACAGATTAAGTTGTCAAGAAATGGAAACAAAAATTTAAAATGTGATGTAGGTTTAAATTAATTGAAATTCTTATGGTTTTAGCTACTGTGTCAGTTGAGTTCAGAAGACTCTCTTATCCTTTACTGGACTTGAGGCTTGGGAAAGTCAGTGCATGGGGCAAGCTGAAGCTCTGCTGGATGCAGCCAGAGGGCTGGGATGTTCTCTGTAGTTGGCTCTCTGAAAGCTGCTACTGTTGTCTGCTGGCTTGTGTGCTTCCCTGCCCCTGGCTTCATTCAACATTGCATTTCATCTGGTGTGCGTAAGAATGCTACCAGAAAGGATGCTCCACTTCTGGCTGTCTTATGGAAGAGTAACTCTTGGTAGAAGAAGTCTCATCAGTGTATTAAACTGTGCCAGCCATAGACCTAATCTGCTATTGCTGCCCTGATCTTCTGTAACTGCCTGAGCTGCAACAGAACCAGTAGTCATAAAAAAATAGAGTAAAAAGGCAGGAGCAAGGGAAGGTAGAGAAGTGGGCAGTGGCAAATCTTAATATTTAGTACACCTTTTCATTCATTCTTTTACCTTCCAGCATCCTTTGACTACTTACGTTGCTACTGAAAGGAAGTTGTGACTCTGAGGAAGGAGGGGGGAGATGGAGGAAGATGAGAGGGTGCAAGATATTAGGAAGGATAAAAGCTTTGGTAATTGGTGTGTTTTTGCTAGGTATAGTACTATTCTCCACTTCAGACACTCTTTTTATTAGGCCCATTGCTGGCTTTTGTTCATTTGGTCAACAGAAACATAAGCCATTAGAGACTGAGTTGTGGGATGTTTGCAGGGAGGAGTATGGACCAGACATTCAGACTACTTGTTATGGTTGTATTAGTGCTTTAGCCAGCGTAATGAGCTGCAACTCTGACATAGGGGTGGGAGAGTCATTGGACGTAACCTCAAGGTTTTTTCCTTCATGCTTGAAGTTCAGCCTGCCATTCAGACTCCTCCTGTTCACAGTCTCTGTGGGTCAGGATGAGGAGAGGAGGAGTTAAGAAGTCTTGTGAATGAATTGCATTTTGCAGTAACTTGATGCGGAATACATTCTTTTTTTGGGGTGAAAACATTTCTATAGGCAAGCGGATTCAAATCCTACTTCATGTTTTTTTGCTTTAGGACTGAGGGAAATCAACATGGACAGTGCTAAAGGGAGCATGTCCCTTGCTGTGCTCTGTGAGGGACCATCCTCTCCTCTTGTTTCAGTTCCAGTGCTCACCTGGGTGTATAGCCAAACAACTTGCAAACCTAGTGAAAGACAAGGAACTTTTTTTATTAATTCCTTTTCTTCCATTTTGATCAGTTGAATTGTCTCGCTCCAAAGACAGATGTGTGGTAGGACTTGTTCAAGGTAAGTGCTAGGAGTGTGCAATTACGGTTGTAGAGTTGGAAAAGAGAAAAGGAAGGGGCACAGTGCAAACCTATTCAGTCAAATCAAGCTGTAAGACAAAATCACACCCTTAGTCTAGTCAAAGTGAGTTATGTCACGTTAGCCTATTGTGTAATAACATCACAAATAATTTCTGTTTTTCACTCAGAAATGATCGTATTAAGAAAAAAATCAATTTTTTGACAGCATCACAGAAACTAGTTGTTTTCATGCGAATATTCTAGAATAGTTGGAAAATGGGAGCAGCGAGTTTCCTCTAATACTTGTGATATAGAGGGACTTGTACTATTCAACTTTAAGAAAGTAACCTAGTTAACCAAGTTAGGAGTTTATACTCCGTTTCAGTACGAGTGAAGATTAAAGACTTCTAAATAGGTGCTCTGAATAATACTACAAAGCTCTGTTACCTGGAGTGTAAACCTCAAGTTAGAAAATACAAATACATCATAAAATATTAAAATCCTAGTCCAGTCATAGAACTGTTTGTTCTTCCCCATCCCACTTCTGAGAGTTATATTTGATATAGTCAGTATTTGGTTTTTAGAATTTCTGGCTTGCAGGTTGTTTTCGGTTGTAGAATTGTAAAATGTTTTGGATTTATGATGGCCATAACACAATTTCCCCTGTGCAAGCAAACTGTAACTGTCTTCTACAATAACTTTAAAGCTGTTTAGGAGACTTTAGTGGAAGACATGAGTGTAATTTATAAAGAAGAAATAAATCACACTAAAAGATTTGAGAATGTAAGTCTGTTAAAACAAAACAAAAAAAGCAAACTGAAAAAAAAAAAAAAAAAAAAACAAAACAAAGGAAAGGCAAACTATGTTGCAAATGTTACCTTGTTTATTTAATATATACCTGGTATAATCAATGTAAAACAAATTTGTGTGGTTATGTTGGGATGGGAACCTAATATCTATTAACATAAAAAAAAAGGTCAAGGACGTTTCACTGGGGTTTTTTAACAGATACTTATGAACCAAAATTTCTCTATAACGATGCTGTGCCTCTCTGTGTGTTTGTGTATATATATATATATATATGTAGCACACGTGTATCTATACACTATCTGTGTATATATTTATTTCTTTTTAACTTCTAGGTTAGTCCATTACCATGTCACTCTGCAAATCCCTACACATGTAAAAGATTTTGTGGGCGGCTTCTTGATTGTCAGAATCACACCTGTATGAAAGAATGTCATCATGTTACTAAATTGAACAGTAGTGCAGATGGAAAGAAGGTAGGCTGATTTCCTGCTTTTATTTTTCTTTATTTTGTACATTGTCTTCAGCTTTAACTGGAAAATAAAGGTTTTGCAGCTGGAAGGCACAGGACCTATTCCAGATTCCACTGGAAGACTTGCATGTGTCCAGTTCCCATTGATGCTGTGACACTTAGCTAATCTATACTACTTTAGACTATAAAACAGACAATATTACATATTTTGCAAATGCTACTCTTTTTTTGTTTTACGTTAACATACATTACTTTGTTTTCATCAAAACCGTAATTAACACTCTTGACAAGTCTCTTCTAACATCAGTTTTTATAACTGTCAAGGTCAAGTGAACTACTGATTATAGACAAATGTACTTGCAATCTAATGGGGAAACTATTTACTGAGGAAACCTGTAAACAGGTTGAGGAAGCTTGCAGAACTTTAGGAGAGAGCACTGGAAATGTTGGAGAATGGATGAAAACTTCTTAAAGCGCTGGGGTGATAAAACAGTGTCTACTAGAAACTGTCGTTTATGTGATTAAGAAGCTGTAGGTGTTAGTCACTGAAGATAATATGAAACAAAAATAAAAGTAAGTACAAAGCTGAAAATTGCTCCAGTTTTGAGCAGTCAAAAGCACATGGCTTGTGGTTTGAGAACGTCATGATTTACAGGAAAACAGCTTTTGAAGTTCTTAAAGCATTACTTGAAAAAGTTGCAACATGGTATCTCTGGGCATTTGGAAAACTGAGCAAGCATTCAGTTGGGTACAAAACATAAATGTTATATTTTAACTTAAATAGGATTGTTTCCCTGTAGGTTCCAATCCTAGAAGTGGTGTTGTCATATACTGAGTGAATATATTGCTGTTACTGTGTTATTCTATTAATGATTGTGTAACTTTTGTCTGAGGAGTGTGAGCTGTTAGTGTAACTTGTGGAACAGTAACCTGCAGCAATAGAGTGATATGAGTAAATACAGTGACAGTTGTTTAAGCATCTACAGTTATGACCATAAGAGGCTGTCTGCCTATTCTTTCAGTTAAACCAATTAAAATGTGAATGGTCAGGATTATTCCTAGCTCTATTTGGAATGAGACAATACATTCTCAGAAAATGAGAGTCTATGTACATGTGAAGTATGGGTAAATCACATTTCTCAATTTTCATTGAATCTTTATAAACTCAAGTTGGTCTTGACCTTTAGAGCATTTGTTCTGTTGTTTTGATAGACAAAATTGCAGGTACAAAATTGCAGGTATAGTCAGAAAAGGGCTGATTAAATTTTTTGCTTATATGTAGGAGCAGTGATTTTTCTGTCTGGAATTTAGGTTTATTCTACATGTTATGCTAGAAAATGTTGCAGAAAGACCAGGTGTTTGCTTTTACCTACTGTTAAATTTTATATCATCGTTTTCTAAATGCTTTCAGTTGCTATTGTGTTTCTTAGATGTGAACTTCTGGGGGTTAGGTTTTGTAAACAATCATTGTACAAAGGTTGCTTTTTAAACTTCAGCGAAAATTGTTTAACGGTGGAAGCAGAAGTAAAGAGATCTGGAATAAAATGGGGGGAAAACTATAATAAAAACTTAAATTCTTCTGCCCTTATTTTGAACAGCATAAAGTGAACTGTTGGCATGGAAGTCCTTTTAGGGAAGCATTGTGCAGCTTCCTTCTTGGATAAAGTGGCTTTACTTTGACTTTTGTGAAACTGGGCATTTGAATGTGATGGTGGGCCTTAAATACTGTGTGCTGTGTAGGTTCAGTTGATAAATTGTGTCAGTGTGTGTGTATTTGATTGCAGACTGGGGTTCTGGATGAGTTATTGAGAATATGAATAGAAATGGAGCGTAATTTTCCACGCTGGTGTTCATCACATCACCTGGAATGAGAATGACACCACAGCTCTTGTAGACTTTGTGTAGTACATGGAGCAGAAGCAACGCCTGAGCAGCTCCCAGCATATACCTAAGCTAATACTTTTTGGAAGATTATGCAAACTATCGTACACGTGGGGAAATGGAATAACTTAAAGCTTGCTTCTTAAAATCAAGCAAAGTTCCCCACCCCTGTATTACAGAGCAGTGTGTCATGACTAAAATATTACAAAAACATGGTGGGTGGCAAAAGTTAGTTCTGAATATGAATTTACCTCTTCTAACAGCTTTCCATAAAGAATTAACAGGCTTAATGCCAGTTTTCCAAAGCACTAATATTAAGAGGTCTTTTTATGCGCAGGAAGCAAAATAGAACTTGGTCTCTTTGACCAATAAACACTGGCATTTTTGCTGTTCTTTTAAAAGCATATTTTAATAATTATTTTTGCTTGAGGTCAATCTTACTGAGCAACTGGATTTCTGCAGCAAAAGCACCCCAGCTCTTTCTTCTCTATAAAAGCCTGTTAATGGCATCTAACAAACAAATGTTTGGCACTTTTAGTACTTTGTTTTTATTTTGTTAGGCAGGTCCAGAATGTTTGCAGTGTGAAGAGGAGTGTAGCAAGCCTCGGCCATCTGGCTGTCCTCACCGATGTGTTTTGCCCTGTCACCCTGGGGATTGCCCATCATGTCTCCAGATGCTGAAAATAAAGTGTCACTGCAAACTGTCAATCCTGTATATTGAATGCTTGTAAGTGTCAGAACTGAACCCAACTTTTCATTTGAATGCTGGTAACTGGAAGCCCTTTGAAATGTCTGGGGATGGGAGCTACCCTTATGGCAAGTTATAACATTTCTTTTGAAGGTTATAATTTGTAATATAATGCTTTTTTTTCTTTTTTTTCCTATTTAAAATTTGCCAATGTTTTGTTTGATATTACTGCTAAAATTATTATAAATGCATGGAGTCTCATCAGCAGAACTGGTTCTTATAATGTTTTTATAATACAGTATGTTTTGAATTATGCAAATACTTACTAATATCATGATGTTTGATCTATACATGGTTCTTTTATAGTATGTAAATAAGAATTTTATAACAAGAATTAGAATTAGTGTAGTTAGTGTAAAAGGTCTTTACGACTAATGTTCTTCAAACTCTAGATGTTTTAATTGGAAAACTTCGTAGTAATCATTTGTGCTCCTTAATTGTGTATTTGTGAATAGAGGGTAAGCTAGGTTTTACTACAGATAAGACTTGTAGATTTAAGCATTATCCTCCATGTATTGCTCTGAAAACATTAATCCCATGCATGGATGCTCTTCTTTGTGCATTTTCTTGAAAGTATTTTAAATCGTCTAAATGTATGTGGTTTTGTCTGTGAACCAGTGTAGTTTGTGTTAGTACCGCAGGATGTGGACAAATGAGCTCGCTTTTCTTTGCAATGAGATATATTTACAATTATACCCCTAATTGTATTGACTTTTGTTTTTAGTTGGAATTTATCACAAATACATGTTTTCTTTTACAGAAAACTAACTTGTGCTGATTTAAAAGAAAAGGAGCTTCTTATTTCCTGCAAAAATCAGTGTCCAAAAGAGGTAAGCCATATTAACAAAGAAATACTTGATGTGGTTTAGTGTTAGGTAGGCTTGCGAGCAGCAGGAAATTAGAGTCGAGGATCCTTATGGGTCCCTTCCAACTCAGGATCTTCTATGATTTGATGGATGTGTGGAATTCTGTGGATTTTACTTTTTTTTTGTAAGGGTTTTTGGTACAGTTTCGTAGGCCAGGCAACATAGGGAAGCTTAGACTAAATGAATATGCAAAGTGATAGATGCAAAGGTAGTTAGTGAATTGTACTCAGAGATCAGTTACCAATGCCTTGCTGTGAAATTGAAAGGTTATATTGAAGGACCAGAGATTTGTCTCTAAGGCAGTAATGGCTTGAATATTTAAGCATGCAGATGAGGTTGAATGTGGAAGAGTATATCCTCCAGTGTGTTTAAAAACTGGTCTTGAATCTGTATCTCCAAAATCATGGGATGGTGTTTTATTAGGAAAAACACTGAGAATTGTGCTTGCAATTGTTCTTGTCTAAGTGCAGGTCTAGTAATCCCTGTTGGTGCAACAGTTCTATGGGGGGAAGAAAAAGATTTTATATTTAACAAGTGAGATGAGTTAATGCCCTGCTGCATTAGTGAAATGTTAAATAATGTGAAATAGAAGACAAGCCAGTTAATCTTTCTACTGTATCTGGGTTTCTCTAAAGGGTTGCTGTAAAGAAAAGAATAATAATATCCTTATTGCCATGATGCTTAGACTATGAACCAGTGTATATGGGCATCAGTAAGGAAGATTCATGTTAAATACTACTTTTGAGCAGTAAAGCTTGTGGAGCAAGGGAAGAACTAGTTGGAGAAGCTACCAAATTTTCACCAGTAGCAGCTTAAACGTGTATCAGGATTTGTCCAATTGTGGATAATACTGCTATAAGACATGAGGGATGGGCCAAATGGATTCTTCCTTGTCTGTCCCAATGCTGTTATGTGCTGCTTGTGTGGTTTCAGAAATCCACGAGCTATTTGTTATTTATGTTTGTTCTCTAGTTGCCATTAGTTGTGGTGAGAGTGACAGCCCTTTCTTCACTCCATTCCCCACTGTAGGGTTAGAAAATTTATCAAGTGGAAGAACAGGAATAGACAGGAATATTTTGGAAAGTGTGTCCACTGCTAAACTCCCCAGAATTTCTGAGAAATTCTTCTTCCCTGCAATAAAAATATTTGTACTAAAGAAAAGATTTTATCCCTTAATCCCTTACTATTTTGTTGTTCTGATTTGGTCTTTTACTGTGTAGCCAAGTCTCTTTGTCTCATGTAATATTTAGCTGGTACTCATAAATAACTCGATTCAACCCATTCTCCTTCCCTGATTCCACTCAGTTCCCTTATGCCGTTTTACCTATGATGTCCCCTAGTCTGAGGTTTCTGTCTTGTAGTTTTGAATTCTGCCTCCACCTAATAAATGTAGGTTCAATGCTTCTTTTATTTCATTATTTTCCAGTGTCAGAAGCATCAAATTTGAATGCTTGCCTTTGTTACAAAACTTTTTTTTTTTTGAGTAAATGCAAAAATTCACAGGATTCTTGCTTGTTTCCCAACAGTCCCTATTATTCTTTTTCAGACAGGATTATGTTAACCCCAACAGGAAAGCTGTGCTGTGTGCTGACTTGTATCTTCTGCTTTATGTCCTTGTAGATGCCTTTCTGATGTCTTTTTTCTGTAAATGAATGTGCCTGTCACATTTCTCATCTGGATGTCTGAAAGCTCTCTTCCTTGGCGGGGGAATGCTTTTGGATATTATTTCATTGTCCATTTACCTCTTAATTTTGTCCTTTCATTTCCCTCTCTGTTGTTACTTTGGTTTTATTTGCTCCAAGACTTCCTCGTCTTTATTTTCAAGAGTGCTTATAATCTTTTAACATGAACTATGTGTTCCTGTACTTCAGCTTCTCTTCAAAGATTTTTTTTTTTTTTCCTCCATATCTCATCTTTGACTTTGATTAATGTAACTGTTGTGATTTTTCTGGACGTATTCCCAAGACTCAGTCTGGGATTTAAAATCCATCTAGTAGTGGTCCTGAATTCTAGCTTGCAGTTCAGAATTGCCCTGTTCCACAGATGGTGTCTTTTTTACTTAATTCGGTGGGATGTGAAAGAAGGCAGGACAACAGGGTCCACTGCAGTTTTATAAAACTTTTATTTAACTCTGTAATTCTCATTCCCATAGATGCCTTGAAAAGTAAGGTTTAATGCAGCTTCTGTTCTCCAGAGAATCTTTTTAGTGTAATTGATGATGTGAAAATGGGTGTTCTTCCCTCCCTGTGATTCTAGCTCTAGCTCTTATTAGCTTTCATGAAACATAAAATTATTAGTACAGTCCTGCTTCAGGCAGTTCATATCTTTGTCTTACAGTTCATCCTACTTTCCTCAGATCCTATTTTGGTAATTTCATGTGTAGTGTATGGGTTGTTTACCATTTTTCTGGTCTAAATTTGTTCTTGTTTATCTGAATATTGAACAGAGCTAGGGATATTTTGTCTGCTTTATAAGTGTACAGTATTTGTCTGCAACTTTGGGAAAATTAGCTAGCTGTATCAATAATACAAATTGTACTCATAGTTCTCATGTATAAGAATCATCGATAAACACAATTTGAAGGAGCAGCCTTAACAGACATCATCCTGTGCCACTACTACCACCCCTCCCTCTCCAGCAAATATAGATTAAGCCCATTGGGGGGACCTTATGACAAGAACTTACAATTTGGCCAAAAGCTAAGATGGATGAGGCTACTGAATTTAGAACGTTTAAAGTTTACAAATCAAATACGTATGCCCAAAACTAAATTGGAAATGTTTCATTTATAGTCCTGACAGCCTCAAGTAAAATTCAAATTACTTTTTTATGAGAATTTTCTTATTCTATGTCAGAAGCTGACTTTGCGTGATTAGTAGAACACGGTGAAGTTGCTGTTTGCTAAAAATCGGTGTGCACTGTCATTCCACCAAGCTTAGCATAGCACAGTTTAGGTTCAATAGAATAGAGTATTTTACTGAAGTCATAGTTTTGAGATGTTTTTCTTTTTGGTTAAAGGAAATTGTGGTAGACAGTATACTACCATATTTGAATTACAGATAGCACAGTACATTTGGGGGTTATGAAATTAAATTATATTGTCTGGTGCCTTGAAAAACTACAAGAATTTGAAAGTCTTGAAAGGTTTCATGCTGTTGTTTTGGGTATAACACTATAACACTGTAAAAATGACTTCTAGTATTATACAGTACAGCTCAGATTTATTTTCTGCTTTAAGGAGAAACAAAGTTTTTGATATTGCCACAGCTGTTAGATGAGATGCTTTAATTAAAAAGCTCTTTCTCTTGTTTGGTAGCAATAACAAAATATCTCACTGAAGGAAATTTAACCTTTTTTTTAATCTGGGGTGATTAAATTCTTATGATCATGTTTGCAGATGTTTCAGGACAATTCTTACATAGAAGTTTTAAGAGGCTATCAATTTTCATAGTTCATGGTTTCATATCAGTATTTGTGGATTTGTGTTTAACACTTTATTTTCTATAATTAGTAATTTTTGACAAAATGACAGTACTTTGTACTTTTACTGTGCAGTCTGCAACTGTCTTGATGAGAAATACAGGACCCCGTTGTGATAAAAGTTATTTTATTCATGAAAAAAAAAACCAAACGCATAGTCTTAAAGTTTACGACATTGTTTTTACTGTGCTATCATGTTAAAATAAGTTCATTTCCAGAATGTTTAATTAAATTCTGTAAACATACCTTGAAAATGTTATGTGGGTTACAAAAATTTAATTTTAAAAGGCAAATGCACAGCTTTGGTCCATAATGAGAGGATTTTCCTCAACATCTGGCTTAAGCAGTGGAGGTTTTCATAAGATCTCTGGAAGCAGGGCCACCCTTTTTAAACTGAGGTGTCTGCCCCTTTGTTTGGAAGTGATAAACTTATCTTTTGTACTTAGCTTTTGGGATTGCTGCTCAAAAGTGCTGGTTTCTTTATTTTATTTGTTATCAGGTGTGTATAAAGAGGTTGTGTTTATCACTTTCTGGTGGAGACTGAAGTTAAGCCTCCATAAATGTTGACATATTTTATCATCATCAGACATAATGTTAAGATTTAAATGCATTGTCTAAAGGGAAAATATTAGTAAGATTTTTTGTTTTCAGAGCTGTGGATTAAATCCCTTTCTTTTAAAGGCCTTGCTGTGTCAGACATAAAGCCGGTTCATCTTGGCCTTCAGTCCACAAGCTATTAACCAGAAATCTTGTATGGTGAAAAAGATCCAAAGGGGCACACGCTCTCTATTTTAGTGCCAAGTAGCTCAGCATGGACACTTAAAAACAAGCAAAAAAAATCCTTTCCCACTACGTTATTTATCCAGTAGAAACGCTTTTGTTTTCTGAGATCATGGGGAAATGTTTTGCCACTCATTTCACTGCTGCTCTGATTTTTATTTTTTTTAATCTTGATTTTGCATTGGAGGGAGTAAAAAGAAAGTTACACTGCCAGCTTCATTCTTGTGTTGTATGCCTGTGGATATGAACTGTGTAGCTCTGCGCAGAGGACTAAGTGTGTAAATTTGTGTTTGAGTATTGGAAGAAACATATTTCTGTGCTATGCAAATTTTGCTCTAACGGTGTGTAATCTAAGAATTTTACTGCAGTAGCACTTGGAGGTTGAGGTGAGAGCTACTGTCTTGAATTTGCAGCTCTGGCACGTCAGGTGTAAGAGTCTTTGTTTGGGCTTTGACGCTATTAATGGAAATGTGCCTATACTGGTACAGAGGAGTAAGCTGAAAGTAATAGTTCTAGCCCTGGATTGTTCTGGCCAGCGTGGGATAACTTGCAGGTGAGACTGGGATGTGTTACTGTGTGTGATGCTCTCGGGTGGGGAGCCAGGAGAAGGGCCCTCGTACTGCGCAGAGGTCAGGCGGTTTTGCAAAGATGGTGGTCACTAGTGACAGCCCCAGCCCTTAGGCGCCGTGTTCTGCCTGGTGGTCTGACTGCAGTAGGGTACATGTCTTAAAGACAAGTTTCTCCCCTCATTTTTTCAAAAGGAGGCAAAATGCAAGATTGATTTGTTGATGATCAGTTGCACCTGAACAAGCCTAAATGCCGCCTTTGATAAGGTGGCCAGTTTATACATTTTTTCCCTCTGGATGAAGTGGATAGATTAGATCTGCTACATAAGGCTTCAGCAGAGCAGTTGAGTCAATGCCACTTAGTGATTATCTGGTTCAGATACGGAAAAGGGTTAGGGGGCTAAAGGAAACAACTCCTTGTGTATTACTATTAAAAACAAACAAACAAACAAAACCAACCAAAAATACAACACCCCCTTACACCCCAAAAAAAAAAACACCAAAAAAACAACAAACAAAACTAAATGAAAAGTTGGAGCAAGAGATGTTAGTAATAAGGAAATTTTCCTGAGGACTGGACTGATGCCTGACCTTGCATTGTTTTCAGTAATGACATTGGTACTAAAAAACATTGGAATTTTCTGATGAAAATTTGTGGAGTGTTGTCAGTATGTGACAGCTGAGGAAATGCATCTGCAGAACACATGTATTTGGGGTATACATCCAAAAAACCCCAGTAAGACCATGCATGTGAAGGCTAATAATAGGCTCCCAGGAAACAGCAGAAGTTCTTATTGTCACAGCATGATTAGCTGGAGAGAAATGCAAATGAGAGCTGAAGATGTATTGGGGAAGATATTCTATTAAGAATAAGGTGCAATTAAGGCATTATACAGAGTCCTTCCTGCTGAGATGTCATTTGGAATATTACATGCAGTTCTGGCTGCTGTATTCAAGAAACATTGATTTAAGCTAGTTGAAATTCAATGAAGGGAATACTATGGGAATAAAGAGCATTTCATGAAAGGACAGTAGAGAAATATTTCAATATGAGGATAAGAACTAAGGGGTTTAGACTGGCTGGAATAAATACAGGACATTATGAAAAGAAAAAAAAAAAATCTCTTGCGTTTTACACTGAGATCCTGGAATGGCCTCCTTGGCAAAACAGTAGAAGGGGGGACTGTTTTCATGGTAAATCTTCATCCAGTCCTAGAGGGATGGATCCTGGGAGGTGCCTGCCTTTAGGAACAGTGGACTGTAGGCCTGAGAATGGTGACTTAGAGGTTCTTCTAGTCCTGTGTGAACTGTGCTGAAGTAGTGACTACAAAAATTAGCCTAAACTGCAAAGTATCTATCAGTGTAATAATAGTTTGTGACTGGCATGGACATGAAAATATGTATGTCTTCCATAATTTTCAGTCAGAAAGTTTTGCATTCTGTCTAGGTATGTTTCATGATAGATACTAGCTCAGATGTTGAGCCAGTTCCAATGGACTTCTGAGAATCCCAGTTTACTAGTCAACAAGAAGTGTATACACCTTATCTTACGTAGTATTCTCATTCTTGTGAATGAAGTGATATAATATGTATACATTTTCAATTTTCAATAAATGTGAAAAAATATATCTTAAAATTGTATGTCTTGCAGCATTTTCCAAATCGTGTTAATCCCTTGATGACAGTGAAGAGGTGAAATTTCATTTTTAATAAAGAATACTACCTAACGCCATTTGAAATTGTTTAGGGATTTAAAACTACCTCTGTAAATAAATTAATTTGATGTCTTATGTGTGATTCCACCTTCAGTTATTAACAGTATTGGGTTATGTAATTGATAATTAAAAATCATTATTGTAAAGATTTCTTATGGGCATGTGTATGAGCAAGGTATATTTTCAGTCAAGTTCTTAACAGTAAGTGAAAAAATTTGTTTTCTTGTCATTTTTTATCTAATATAATGCTTGGAGCACTGCTACATTCTTAACAGTCAGCATATTTAACTTAGTATCTCAGTTCTTAACATGGGAATTGAATTATAATATTTTCATTGTAAATGTTAAAAATTGCCCTGGCAGTAAAAAAAGTTGCTACCTCCCAGATATCATAAATGGGATAATCTGCCAGAATCAGAAATAAAGGCTTTTTTTAAAATTATTTTGGACATGATAAGAATATTGGTGACCTGTATTTGACTTTTACATTGTTCAGAAAATTCTTGCATGCAAAATTTTCTTTTGTAGTATTTTTGCTTCTGATTCTTCCCTCTCTTTTGTTGACTCAAGTTGCTACAGTACACTTAATCTCAGTTTTCAGTTTCTTCTTGCCTTATCTACTCTTATTCCTCTGACATACAGATAGCTAGGGTAATTGTTGTATGAATTACTGCGGAGGTGACTATTCTTGAAACGTTGAAAGAAGAAATTGGTTTTTAATCAAGATGTCCCAATAAAAGATAAAACTTCCTACAGGAACTGAAATATGATAAATTATAAACAAATAATTGCCAGGAAAAAAAAAAATCAACTATTTCACAAGTGGAAAACCTGATAAACTGAATGAGTTTTCTGTTAGGTTGCTATATCTGAAATAAAACCAGTTCATAAATTATTTTTAATTTTACAATAATTTCTTGGTGTGGGTGTTTTGTTTGTTGTTTTTGTTCTTTATAGTTGCCCTGTGGTCACCGATGTAAAGAGATTTGCCATTCTGGTAGCTGTCCTCTGAACTGCAGCCAGAAGGTTAAACTCCGATGTCTCTGTAAGAGACTGAAAAAGGTAAATTTCTAAGTTACATTTCTGAGAACATGGCATTTTCTTTGCATGTTCATAGCCTTGTATGGATGGATTGTCTCTGATGCAGATTAGAATAGATCCAGTTACACTGGTATAGCTTTAACAGTTAACATCAGCTGAAGAGCTAGGCTGCAATATCAAAAGATTCACTGGAGAATATAAAATCCTGTTAGTTCTAAAATATGTTAGCTGCCTGACTTAAAATAGCTTTATCTTCAAGCACACTTGAATTTTTGTAGCTCCACTGGGAGAATAGTCAGATGACCTGCAGTGATTTGAGGAGAAAAATACATTTTTCTGATGATACTGGGAAATTTTATAATTACATAAGTTGGAACAAGCACAGATGTTGTGAAATCTAACTAATGTAGTCAGTTACAATTCTCTTCAAACCTGAAAGCAAGTACAGGCATCAACATCCTTAGCTTCTAACAAAGGTGAGGGACAAAGTAATGTAACAAGTTTATTATAGCTATATAGTATTATGAGGGGAAGAACAGAAATTGATGTGAAATCTTGGCAAATAATGATGAGCTAATGAAAAAAATCATTATCTGGCTTAATTAAAAGGTGCTTAAATTATTTTTCTGAACCCACTGAACTTCTGGGCCTTCCAAACAGGCTGCAGTTCCCCAAGAATTCTCAGCTTCTCCAAGAAATGTCTTGTGCAACCAGAAGTCTTGCAGGTGGGGTGTTCAGCAGGAGAAAGAATAACATGTACAGAACAAGTGCTTCAAATTGAACAGTCCTGTGCTTATAGATAACCACCTTTTTTTTTTTTTTTTCTCTTCAGTACTGGGGGAGTGGAGGAACAGAGAGTGAGAATTATTTTTTTTTCCTCTGTGACCAGACCTTGCCCTTTAATCTCAGCCAGTTAAGAGAATGTATATGAAATTACTGCGATTGTGAATGCTAGTTCTTTTTGACAGAGTTCAGAAGGTTATCTTACTCCATCTTAGGCAAACAAGTGAGAAAAGAGGAGAGAGGAGAAATTAAACTGGACTATTTGACGTATTCATGCTTTCATACTAGTTTATCCAAAAGAAGGAAAAGAGAAAAGACAATTACAAGTTCAATAACGTTTGATCATTAGCTTTATTTTCTGTATAACCAATGTTTTGTTAAATGTGTTTTCTAATTATTTTTATAAAGAAATGGACATTATAACTAACTATATATGGGGAAATGACTATGAAAGACTCAATTTATACTTAACAGGAAGTACAGTGCAGCAAGATAAAAGAAGGCCAAATTTCACTGGAATGCGATGTGTTATGCAAGGAAATGAAGCGAAAAGCATCTGAGGTAATGTATCCATTGTAGCTGTAATTTATTCTTGGTGCTTCAAGAAAAGTAGGAAAAAATGAACACAGAATTATTTTTTTTAAGACAATACCAGCAAAAAATACAATGTAAATAGATGTGCTGTTTAACAGCAGCTACTTTTTCAGACTTGCATTTGACTTAGTGAGGAGAATGACAGTGTTAATAGTGAAATACTATGTTAAAACAGTATTCTGTTATTTTCCTTTTAATTTGTTACAACTGCTTCTTTCCTCTTCCACTGAGAACAAGTGGTGATCAGTGATGATAAAATTGTCATGGCTGACGATTAGTGCTGTAGGATTAGGGCCAGGCCACTTCACAGGGCATTGTTAGATCTGCTATTTTCAGTGAAAGTTTTGCAGCCATTAAATGCTCAACTTGTCCAGCATGAAGAGTGTAATCCTGTCACACTGTATTAGTTACCCTGTACCAGAAGAATGGAGAGTTTTCAGCAATTGCTGAAAATACTTTTTAGCCTGCTATAAATGTGATTTCTCCCTAGTTCTGCTGTTTTATGAAGTAAAGAAATTACTGCATGCTGTCACCCAGAGAGACAGCATATCAACCTTGCTCTTATAAGCCCTTTATAAAAACATAAACAAAAATAATTGGTGCATAACTTGCTTGGTTTTTATTAGGTAAGTGTTAGATGTAATAAATGTACAACTCAGACTCGATGGGTAAAGCTGACTTTTGTCAGCTTCTGCTCAGATTTTCAAGATGGATTGGCAAGTTTTAGCAAGTACCACCTAGACCAAATCCTGCAACTTTGCAAGCAGGTCAAATGCTAAGACTCTTGGGATATGCCTTTAGAAGAGTCCCAACCATAACAAACAGTTCCAATAAGAGCGTGAAGGTAAGTTTGTAGGACGTGGATTGCACTAAAGCAAAGTGAGTTCACCAGAACCTGCATGAGCTGGGGCACAGCAGCGTGTCTCAGTGCAGTGCGCTGTGAGCTGCTGTTTCACTTCAGCGGGTACTAGCTCCTGTTTCTTACCCCTGACACTGTAATCCACGGGAAGGAATGGTCTAATGCAAGGAGCAAATGACTACAAGTTTCTACTCTAAGAAGTGCCAGAGACATGCTGTGTGGCGTAACCTTAGCTGTGTGTGCATTTTGGGTTTTTTATATGAAGTTACAAAGTACTATTTAAATTCTTACCAGGCACATTTCTATACCCTGTGTTGACTTGTAAATGGCATAATGGAATGATCTCCTATTATATGCACTTGACAAAAGTAGTTTATTATGTCAGTTACTGGTTAATGTATCAAGACTGGTGAAAGTCTATTAAAAAATGCACATTTGCAAAGAAAATTTAGTTGGCACAGCTGAAAAACAACCATCAGTTTCCAAAACTAATGTGTTAACTCTGAATGTGTAGCACCTAGTCAGTATGTATTTCTGAGGAATTGAATACGCCTTTTACTATAAATTTTATTACAGAAATAGTTCTAGAAATGTTTTTCTGTACTGTGATCATAATGGCTAAGCCTACCTCTACCTATGTATATTATACGAATATGACCACACCAGTGTAAAAAGAAACTCTTCTGATACTCTTCTGTCTTTTTTTCCGCATTTGTGGGTCATTTTTTCTCTTGGAGCTGAATCTGCCGTTAGATGGCAGTGAAATACCAGGAGACTAGTTGTGCAGTTTTTTCTACACCAGACTTTCTGATTTCAGATGTGCAAGGTCCTTTATACACTTTTCTAAAGAGAGAGACTGCCATTGAGTCTAGATTAAATAAATTTGCAGTAATGCTTTTATTTGATATGTGGTTTAGCAATTTTAAAAAAATGTCTGAAAACCTGCCAGTAGGACTGTTCTGTTGACCCTGGTCTCAGGACACACTGTTTCAGCTACCGTGTGCTAACGCATGGGCTGGTGTGCTTTCTCCTTAGTCATCAAGAGCGCTGGAATTGCAAATTGCTTGGAACAAATTCCACCTGCACAAACCATATTTAGTAAATCATTGTCTCTGTTAATATGCAAATCATCCAGCCATTAGGATCAAGACTGTTTTTCATTTCAAGGTATTAATCGGATTTTTACATCTAAGTTTTCTAAGGTGGATGCAATGGTAAAGGTCCAAAGCTGTACACAAGAAGGGAGACACGTATACTTCCCCAGTTTACTCTTCCTGTTACTACTGTAGTGATCTCTGACTGTGGGAATCTTAGACACCAGCTCAATCTCTGTTTAATGGTCTTTGTTGGATTTATGTCCTGTTAGCATGCCTAATTGTTTTTCAGTCATCATAAACTTTTGGCATCTATAAATGTTCTGTAGCACTGAATTTCTAGATTTAGCCAGCTACTCTGTGGAAGTAGAATACTTCCATCTGTTATGAACTAGCCTCCTGGTAATTTCATTTTATGCCTTTGCTTTTGTATTATGAAAAATAATTATTGATGGTTTATCTCTGTTTGGCATCTTCACACTCTCTGGGGTTTTGTGCCCTGTTAGTCACCTGATGAATCCTAGTCATCCTCTTTAGATGGAAACCACTCCATCCTGTTGTCTTCTGTATATGTTCAGGATTTACATTCTTTTGCTGTTGCAGGACCAAAACTGAACGCAGGATCTAAGATTCAAGTGCATCATGTGTTTACATATTGACATTTTTCTGTACCATTCTGCTCTTAATTTCTAGCATTTAATTTGCTTTCTTGGATGCTGGAAAACACTTTTGTAGAATTATCAGTTGTAACTCCTGTGACTTCTTTTCGTAGGACTTTCTGATGGTGGAGCATTTTTAATTATGTTTGGTTTGCATTACACCAAGGGCTTTAAAGCAGTTTGTTTATGCATTATTCAATATATGTAGTATTCAGCACAAATATAGAGGTTTCCTTTCGCTCTAGTAGTGAGTAAAGTACTTGGAATTAAATATGTGTGTGTAAATTACATACACATGTAGGAACTATCTGTATGTATAAAGTGTACTGAATTGAGGATAAAGTTACTGAAAACTTTGAACAACTGTCTTCAGGAATTTTCTTGGTTGTTAGTGATCAAACTATTCTTTTTAGTTTTTATACTGGTCAGTTAAGCTTGTCAAGTTGAAGTCAGAAGTTCAATTTATAACCTTGTAGCATCCATTATACGTTCCATGTTTTCCAAATGTGAGATGATACAGCTTTTTTGGAGAACAGTTTGTAATTTCAGTAACTTTAGAGCTCACTTGATGGAGGTTTTTCTCGCTTTTACTGAGAATGATTCTATAGGAGTAATTATGATTCTATAAGAAAGTAGGTTTAGCTGCTGTTTACAACAGTTGCTTATCACTTTGTATGTCTGCACAGATAAAAGAGGCAGAAGCCAAAGCTGCTATTGAAGAAGAAAAACGAAGGCAACAGGTATCAACATTTTTTCTTCCTCCCCACCTTGTTGTTCTTACTAAATCATTTAATTTACATGCAAGTAGAGATGTATAGTTTGTAATGTGATGTGCACAGTCATTCCTGTCAGCTGTTACATTACTCTGAGATGTGTGCTATGAATGATTTACAGTGGTTAAAAGCCCACATGTTTTCCCAAACAATTTTCATAATTTTATGCAAAATTATAGTTAATCAGTTTAATCTTGCATTGCTATAACTGTGTATAGTGTATTTTTAGAATACCAAGTACTCTTGATTTTAATTGAACACTTTATAGTGCATAAATCACACAGAACTGCTGAATAGCATCGATAAGAGATTTAAATATTGGGTGAAGCTTCCCTCCTCCCTCCCATCATGAAAGAATGAGGAAGCTTAAATGAGTCTTTGTCCTTCGAGGTCTCTGAGGGGGGGGAAAACGTGTATGTACTGTAATGACTGTTGTTGGTGAGCGTGTGTTGTCAGCATTGTAATCCAAGAAGCTTCTGTGCCAGCTGCCCAGGGGCACTAACACTCATCGTATGTATTTCAGGCAGGCAGTCGGGGTAAGCTGGGCTGGTGCTGGTGCGTGGCTGGGTCAGGTTTGTGGTCTGGAGGCCCCAGCCCTAGCGCGCCCCTGCCAGCCCGTTCGTGCACGTATGCCTGTGCCTGAGCGTTTGACACCAAATCATATTCGAAGTCCAGCGTGTGCTTTCTGACTCCTTTTATTCAGTTTTATCACAGCAGTCAGGTTATACTTGTGTTTTTACCTGCATGTCACACTGTGTCTCAGAGCACTGGCTCACGCTCTGCTTGAGAGGGAGTGCGGGAGGCTTACAGACCTGATCCTCTTGTACCATTCTCCCATCTCATTAGGATAGACATTAGGATTTGACTCTGTGGGTCGAACTTCTATTATGCACACTTCGATTAATTGCCTAGTGACTCTTTTTATGAAAGCATTATGTCTACCAACCAATGCTCTAGCAAGGCCTGCTTTTGTTATTCCAGGTCTACTTACCATGCAGGAAAAGCATGCCGTTATGTACCTGGTGTCCAGGGGGTCAGGCACTGTTTTGTGATCATCTTGTAACAATAAATATATTCGTGCCTTACCTGTCTACAATTTTGATCACATATTCCATCATACGACTCACAGACAGTTCATCTAATTCTTCTTGTTCTGTAAGTTGACCTTGGAACTGGTAGTTCTGGGCCATAGGTCAGGAAGTGTGGCTTGCATACAGATGTCTGAAACATTTTGTTAGATAAAGGTAATCTGAAACTGGTGGTTCTGCAAAAAAAGTACTGAAGTGTACTCATGGACATTTATACATATAAATAACACACTTACAGTTCTAGAGTTAGAAATTCAAAGTTGCTGGTGTTTGTATTGCACCAATTGTGTTTTCATGCATTCCAGGAGGCATACCAGTTACTAATGATTTCTGCCACAAAATCACTTAACTTGCAGTCCCTCTAGTAAAGACTCAGTAATGAGGTTCCTCTGCTACAGTTTCAGATTCACTCCACCAGCATAGTGTGCAACATTATTTTTGTTTTGACTCTTCAGCAGTGATTGCTTCTCTCTGCAGTTGCACCACCATTGCTTTCGACTTGTATGTTCACTGAAGTCTCACAGTTATGGTCCAGCAGTACCCTTGTGCAATATATGGCAATTGCTTCTGTGTATCTATTTTGTGATGGGTGCAGCTTCAGGTATAGAAAATTTCATCTATACATAATAAAGTCTATTAAAGGATTCATTAAGAGTGTCCAGTAATGTAACACAATAGCAAACAGTAGGACAATGACAGTAAAAAAAATAGGATACCAGTTACAAATAAATAGGCTCTAGAATTGCACACAAGTACTAACCTCGGGTATTGCAGCCTTTTATCTAAAATTGATTCCTTTCCAATTTGATCTCATAATCTGCCATCCGGTGATGCAGATTGGAGGACATCGCTATCACAGGGTGTTGGGTCACATTAAGAGTATATATTCATTGAGTATGCTCCCTTCTGACAAGTTTGCATATTGCACCACCTTCCTGATGTCACTGGCACAATTTTATATAGACAGTTTGTCCGTTACAGCTTCTTGAGACCTCTTTTGATTAATACTTCATTAAATCCTTTTTATATACAAACTAGTTGGGGCTCTGATAAGTCTGCACATTTGTATTTTGGTATTTGCTATATTTGGTAGCAGCTTCTGCTAATACCATTTACAGATGGAATCACTTGTTTCTCCGTGGAAGGGAGACTGCTTGGTTAGACTGCTTCTTGTCATGGCCCTAGCAGCCAAACCTTTCCCTCCACTTCTAATTCAAAGGCACCCTGTGAGGCCAGGGTTTTCACTATTGCTAGATGTGGAAAAGAGATCAGTGCTTTCATAATTTAACAATTCAGACCAAGCTCTCTGTCCCACTCTGGTGTAAAAGCTTTGGTTAGATTTTCAAGCTAACTGGTAATAGTCAAGCGTTTCAATACTGAAAGTTGAGGACTGAAACCTAATTCTAATTTAATGAGTTGTATGAAAGATTTTGTTTCCTTTTTTTCTTAGAAAGAAAATTCTTTTAACAGCTTCTTAGAAGTTAACAGAAGTGCCTCCCCTTCCTACCCCCCCCCCCCCCCCCCCCAAATACAAGACCTGCAATTTCAGGATATATGCTTTGTGTCTGAATAGTCACTGTTATCAGCATTTCCCATGGGGCAGCTACTTCTTCCAGTTCAGGAATAATATAGAGATTAACACATGAAGGAGCAAAATGAGCAGCACTAAACTAGATATTATCTGGCATCCAGATGTTCTGAGTATACAGTTTAAACAATTGCATTTCATTTTCCTTTTAATATATCTATACACAAAGAAGTTAGGTTCTTACTCTAAATAAAAATCTTGAGCCTGTTTAGCTTGAAAAATTAAGGTAGTTTGAAGACTGGGCACAACCATTACTTTATTGTTCACAGATTACTGAGGTGACACTTTGGGAACAATGACAGTTACATAAAATCTGTAGGTAGCTTTTCAAGGATAGTGATGTCTTCTTTCTCATATTTTGTGCCCACAGATCTTTTTTCATTCTGTGTTTTGTTTTTTATCATGTATTTATTTTTAGCTGGGTTTTTATAAAGATCAATAGGAAAGCAATTCAGTACCTGTTATATAATTGTTCAAGCCCTATATTTTAATTCAGATTACTGCAATTCATGAAGCACACTGCTTTTAAAACTTACAGATCACAAGGTTATAACTATAAAAGCCCCAGATTTTAGTTAGTATCTGTGTAAAATGAAATACTGCCATATTATCTATTAAACCTTAAGAACTCTGTACTTGCCTCCAGATACTGGATTTTGAAAAACTGTTTCATTAAAATGCTTACTTTTCTAAAGGAGGATTAGCTAGTTGAAAGTAATCTTGTTTCAAATGGCAGACTGTGGAACTTTGTCTGAACTTTTCTCCCATATCATCACAGAAGTGCCAACAATTTCGGCCTTTATTAGGTACAAAGGAGGAGACATCAAAATGGGTCCCTTTCTCCCACTACCGGTGGTATCTGGCACAAGAAGGGAAGTAAGATCCGCTCTGTGTAACTCTGACAAATATTTGCTGTCAGTAGAGGAAGACCAGACATCAGGAGATCTTGAGTTCCAGAGGAAAATTATATTTACTGGACTATTCTGCCCATTTCCCAAAACAGTCTCATTCTTGTTTCTTTAATGCACCTACCTTATTGTCTTAGTCCCTCTCTTCCTGGCAGCGCTGCAGTAGTAGTCATGTAGATTTATTTGCTCTCATGGCCAGGCTTTGTCTCTGTTCACTGTCCATGTTTCCTCTGCTTCAGCTCAATCTTGTGCCTTTTGCCCAGCCAGTCCTGGCTTGCTGCACTCTGCTGCTCACATCTCTCTCCTCTCGTTCAGTTCATCCAGTCTCTCTGCTCCTTGGCCCGTGCTTTCTCTAGTAGCTGACAACTCTACCCAAAAATCCAGATTACCGTCGGACCTTTTCTGGTTTGAGTCTGTCTCAACTCTCCCTTAAAGAATCTTTTCTGATTTTCCTAGTAACTAGGTGGTTCCTCATTGGAGTCTCACCCCAGGCTTAACACTTCTGTTCCAGGCTGCCTCACTCCAGTTTTATTTCATCTTTTTACCCTAAAATGAGTTTTGTGTATGTTCTCTTGGTACCCTTTTAAAAGGATGTGGAGGGGGAAGAGGAACAGAGATCAGAGGATCCTACTGTTCATTCCAGACATCACCCTGAAACTGCTGTTCTGGGTGGAAGCTTGACATGCTTCTTATTTTTTCCATTTGCTTTGCTTAATTTTTGGGCCTAAAGGCATGTGCTTCCTTTTGAAGGATGCTATGTACCTACTACAGTTATATATGAATGACTAAGAGCTAAGTTATAACAGTTAACAAATGGAATCTTTTTGTGAATGTCGAAGATTATATCTATTAATCTAAAATTTAGCTGAGCATGCAAAATATAAAGAATTGGGGAACAGATGATAGATTTTTATTTATTTTTGGCAGAGAGCACGTCCTTATGGGAGGTCTTTGAAGGTTTCAGTCTATGCTCTGATATACGTTATTGTAATAGCTAAAATACTTGAGTGCTTTTCTTTAATAGTAAAAATAATGTATTTGTAACATATTTCATGGAAATAACAATCTCATTTTGGCTTAACATATTTAGCCTGAGTTAAAAATCTAATGTACAAGTTCAGTTGGTTGTGTTTTTGGCGATGTTTTTTATAGGAAACTAAACAATGGTTTAATACTTGGAAGTGAAGTGCTTTGTGACCACAGGATATAGTGCTACCATTTCATGTGTAAGAGATGTGTAACTTCCATTGGCAGCCAGTTATTTTTATAAAATGATTTTTGGGAACGTTATTTAAAATCCACACATTTCCTCGTTTTTAATTCTGACACAAATGTCATCTACTTCTTCTGGTTTTCTTCATCTAGGCTGAACTGGAAGCTTTTGAAAACAGATTAAAAGGGCGAAGAAAGAATAAGAGAAGAAAGGATGAAGTAGAAGTTGAACAATCATCATGGCAAAAATACAAGAATCTCATTATGCTGCCAGTGTTCGGAGTTGCAGTTGTGATGGTTGCATGGCTCATGGTCTACAATGACTGACACAGCTCAATATTTAATACACCTCAGTTGGGCTTTTGGTAGCTATTATTCCTAGAATGTTAGGCTGTGTGTAACAGAACTTAATATGCATAGCTTATGTATGTATGCTCTTTGCCAAGAAAAGTGCAGAGGAGGGAAGAAATGTCTCCTTCTGTGTTACTACATTCACAGCACAAAACTGCGTTCAGACACTGAAAGTAATTGTAGATTTTGGTCTACACTGAAGTGCTGATGTAATTTGTCTCACTGAGATCTGTTAACTCTTCTATTAATATAGTGTGTTACTTTTTCCTTGTCTCCATTTCATAATGTTAAAAATAGCTTAGCATAAAATGCTTTATTGAATATTTGTTTCCTGCAAAATCAACTTAGTGGTTTATTGAAGATTAGTATTCTTATGCTAGTCTTTATTTTGTATCACAAAATAATTTCTGTGCTTCATGTCAGTTTTAATTATAACAACTAATGGGGAACTTCAGATCACTTAAGCCTGAGTGTTCTGGGGCCTCATGTCAGAACTTTTCAGTGAAAGAAAATGGGAACCGTCTTTCAAGTCAACTGTATCACAAACAATAAAATGGGCCCCCTTACAGACTGTGGGGCTTGTTTTTTTGGTTGTTCCCCCCCTGCCCTGGTTTCCTCAAGATCAAATTTAGTGGACAGATGCATACGCTGAACGTGGATGTGAAGTAGTTTCAGGGTACAAGGATGTGTTCTCATCACTGCCCCCATACTAACAGCAGAAGAGCAATTTCAAATTGAACTTGGAGCATCACTTGACTGTATAGGTGAATGTCACATTTGATTATTTGCATAGGTGTAAAAACCTGTAACTGAATAGTGTAACAAGACAATTGTATGTTGTTCTGAAGCCATCTGGATAGTGCTTACTAATCACGTATAAACTATCGAGCTAATCTTTTAAATGTTTAAATATTTTTCATACTGACAATTTAGAATACCTTGCTTTTTGAGATATCAGTGTTGGTTTGCAGAGCTGAAAGGTTAACACAGCTTCAAGATTATTAGAAAAGCTACATTATCTCAGCTGAGGTTAAATCTGGGGGCAGGGGAAATTAGAAAACGGAATTTTTAATCCTGTGCTGGAAATTTTATGCTGATACTTGAGCATTGCGTGTAACAGACGTGTTTACAAGATCCTGTGAAAGATGAGGTACAAAGCCAAAGGGCATTAGGTTGCCCTTGTAATTCAGGCATATAAGTTCATCACAAGTCCTGCAAAAGCAGTGGGACCATTTCGGCCAATTAGAGAAGACTGAGGTTTGTTTGAAAGATCTTTTGGTTGATTTTTGTCCCACTTTTAAAGGGACCCAGTATTAATTTGACCTGATACTACAATTGTCATTACAGTTCAGCAGCAGAAAAAAAAATAGAAAAGCTGCAAAAGGCAGTTACTTTTAGATTGCATAAAGTGGGGAGAAAATCACTTTATTTTCAATTTTTCACCTAAGTTTGGTGAAGGAGATAGATAAGGAAAGCTTGGCAATATTTAGCATGAATTGTTGCCATTTGAGAGTTGGGGTTTGTTTTTTTAATTTTTTTTCTAGAAATGCATAGTACTACTGTCATGATGTGTCAGGCCATTAGTATATGAAGTTATAGATTAATTGAAATTACACTAGGCAATCATAGTTGCATCTCTGTTGAGTTCACTTATTTTCTAGTATAAGGAATAAGCCATTTTATACGTTGTTACTTTAACTCTTTTCTGTAACATTAATGCCTGGAAGATAATTCCATATATAAGTGGTGTTTCTTTAACTAAGTGAGGTGATGCTATTATGTGACTGCTTATGCCAGTAACTCTCCCGGCACTGAGAGAAAAAGAAGAGAGATTTTTGTTCAGCTGAAGTAAAATGTGATATATTGTTCAGAAGTACAGAAAGATACCTTTATAGCTGAATTATGCAGATCAACTTGAATGAGACTATTATGGAAACAGCTTTATCTTACATGCCTCTAACTCATTTTTCTATTTACTCCTCCTAGCTTTTTCTTTAAAACAAGTACAACAGAACATTTATCCTTGCCTCTACAGCAAAGAGAAGAAATCTCTCTCTTCAGAGCTCTAAAAATGAACTGCACTTGAGTTATATGTTTGAAGTAGTCCTTAGTGTTCTTTTCTGTGTATTTTGCAATATTTGTATGAAATATTGGAGAGGAAAAAACTTGCTTCTTCTTGATCATCTTTATTATGATAAGAAAGCACACTAATCTTTAAAACTTCATTCCATTCATACAAATACGTGTATGAGTAGGCATGTGCCCTTTCTTAAGGAATTTGTATCTTTCCTCAACCTTGCATATGTGAGACATACCTATTTTTGAAATTTCATTCAAAATAGTTCTGTATATCTTATGCAGCCATCTGAGTCATTTGCATTCTGTCGGTCTGCCTGCTGAACCAGATATTTGCTTCTTGGCATAAAAAGGTGTGGGGGTTTGAGCAATCTGCAGTTTAATAAATCACGGGGTTCTATTTGGTTTTTAAAAATATTTTTACACTTTTTTTTTTTACCTTTATTTGGTTGGAGCTGCATGTTGCAAACATGACCTTTGAAGTAAAAGGTACAAATAAAATCACCTGTTATTCATTACAAATGAAAGATGGTAATTCTAGAAAGAAAATATTGAACTGAAGGCAGGGGTCTTTTTCAGCAATTTAGATGTAATTTACTGTTACTTAAGGTGATGAGCAAATATTTTTAATATTAATGGTTTACCAAAACATTACGTATTGATAAGTATGCATTAAAATAAAAATTATATAATCTGACCTGCTGTTGAAGGGTAACTATATAGAGGGAAGCCTGGTCATGAGGATAATTAGCATGAATATTATTTAGCTATGTGTAAAATGAAAAAACTTGGGGAGGCTTTTCCTGATTCTGAATCCATTCTGGTGAGCATTCATCTTTCCACTGAACCAAGGTGCTTACAAGGTGTCAACATATTTTGAGTTGGAAACTCCTTGGACAAGTAACAATAACAAAGCCATTGTATGTGTTAATTTAATGTAAAAACCAAGTCAGACAATAAACACATCAAAAACAACTTGAAAAATTGTTTGTTTTCAAGGACTGGTGTAGTAAAGCAGCAAACTTCTCTCAGGTAATGGTGACTGACACACCTCAGGGGAAGTTTTAGGCATGCTTTTTGTTCCCTTCCCTGGCTGCAATAGCTCTTGCTGCTCAGGTTAGTGCTGGAATTACATGATCGCGTTCCTTCAAAAAAAGGAACTCGCGTTCTGACAAAACTGTGAGAATGGATGGGGAAGGACATTAAGGTGAAACAAATGGGAATGGATTTAGTAGGTGGGGGTTTTTTTGGCCTCATAGGGGGAAACATAGCTGGTCATTATTATACATTTGTCCTGACCTTAACTACTAGAGAAGGAAATGTTACCACGCAGATAGCACCAAAATTTGTTCATCAAAGCTTCTATGCTCCGTTGTGGCTTTAAAGCCACAAAGTGTTGATAATCTCAGTAGTTCTGGCTCCACAGCCTGTCTGCTATATGCAGAGCGCGCCGAGCCTGCATGTTGTGGGGTTAGAGCAGGGAGGTGCTTGGCCTGAAGGACGTTCCTGGGCCGGGGTGAGTGGTAGCTGCGCTCTGGTGCGTGTTTTAGGGAGGAGTCTTCTTGTGTGGACAGTCCCGGGGCGACCCCGTCCTCCATTTAGTTCAGATATCCCTCTTCTGCACTGATTTCATCCCATTACCACCTGTTACCTGTGGGCATTTAAGTCACTCCCTTTTCTTGCTTCATGAATATAAATTTGCATTTGTGTCTGCCCTTATTCAATTAATCACTCTAAAGAATTATGAAATGAAGATACTGTAGTGGTCTGTATTTACTAGGAAGGGGAATACAAGGCAAAAAATGGGGAAAAATAGTCATATTAGCTATAAGATAATGAGGCCTGTTTGGTTCTTTCCACTAATGGTTGCATGCTAATGATTTATTTGGACTCTGCATTAAAATGTTTATATGCCATGCTAGCAGAAAACAAGTTTCTGGTATGGATAGTGGATCAATATGAGCTCTGTGATACATTAAAATCAGTTATAAGGTAGGCTAAGTGTCAGCTCTCTAGAAATAAGTCTTACTCTGAGGGAACTGTGGTTTAATTCAACCAAGTATTATTTAATCTAAATAATTGTTTCTCATGCAGTGATTTCCATAAAATTGCCAACAAATCCAGAACTCGGTTTAGGCTTTCCCTGTGTGCTGTACACTGTGGCCGAAGCTTGTCAATGTGAACCTGTGATTTGAATGGCTCCCCCACTTGAGGAAATTAGTACGAGATTAGGAGTCAAGATGGGTTTGGGGGCTGGAATTCACAGCTCTGCTGATGAAGAGAAGATACCCTGCATCCAAAGCCAGGCTGTACTGCATCTCGTAGATTCCAGTTTTCAGTTGTTCTAACAGTAATTTTTGACAGAGCTAACTAATCTCTGTAGAATGCTGTAGTAAGTAATGAATTATGGTTTGATTCCTCTTTTTATCTGCATTAGAGTACAAAATAGGTGTTTTACTAAAGATTTTACATAAATGCTCTTGCTTCTGTCTCTTTCCCTGCTTTTCCTAGTATTTGTGCAATTATTTTAAAAACAAAAGCTGCTTTCCTCCAGAGGGAACTTTGCTTGGTTGGGTAAGAAAACACAGGACTGAGTTACCATGAGCAGGAGTTACTTATGTGCAGTGGCACGGTGGAAGCACAGAGCGCCCGGTCTCTGCCCCATAGCCTCTGCACACAAACAGAAAGTGACAGGACCTAAATTCGGAGGTATGGAAGTAAGGATAGGAAGAAAAGAAGCTGGAAAGAAGCTAGGAAGGAAAGTTTGTCTTGGACATATATAAACAAACTCGGCTACCAGCTTCACTGCTAGCCAAGAGGGGTGAGCAGGGGTAGGAGCCGTGTTCATGTCGAGGTGGTGGTTCACGTTTTTGGGGCAGTTTCTGACTCCCAGTTTGACTGATAGCGTTTCAGAAGCACTAAACCGGGCGCGGTGCCCCTTTCCCCGGTCCTTGGGGCCGGCGGGGGGACAGGTGCAGCGCCCCCGGCCGCCGCTGTCCTCCCACGGGTGGGACGGGACACGACGGCCTTGCGTGGCCCCCGGCGGGCTGGGACCGGAGCTTCACAGGGGGGAAGGAGCTGAGGAAACCTGTCGCCGGCTGCGGGAGAGCTCCCTCCTGCCGGAGCCCCTTCCCCTCCGCTGTCAGCCGTCTTTCTGGAGATGAAGGAGTCTCGGCTGGGGAAAGGCGAGTCACCGCGCTACGGAGGGAAGCGCTGCAGTCCCTGCAGGCTCAAAACTTCCTGGGGTGAAACGAAGGCCTTTGCATGACCATAACGTAAAATAAAGAGCATCCAGAAGGCAGGCGGGTCCTCCGGCGCCCGGGAAATGCGGAGGGATGGAGCCGGCAGCCCGGCCCGGGCTCGCCATCTCCCCCCCCTCCCCTCCGCGGTCTCAACCCCGCACTCCGACTCGGCAGATCCCTCCGCTGGGCCGGCTGCGGGGACAGCCCCGGCCCCAGCGAGTCGGGGTGAGGGGGCCGAGGGGCGAGCTCCGCGCGTTTCTGCGCCGCGCATCGCCCTGGGCTCAGGCTCGTCTTGTCACCTGAAGCCCTTGGCGGCGTGACGAGCCGTCCGTTACGGAGGGGGGTTAAAGGCTGTGCCCACCTCATCCGCCCTCCCTGGGGGACGGCTTTCGGGCGAAATTAGCAAGTGATTTTAGGCTGTTATCTCCTCTTTTCCCCAAGGGGTAGAGCCTGGTGCGCAAAAGGGGTGGGGATGTGGCGGCTTTCTCGCGGAGGTTTATTATTATTGGGTAGAGGAGGGGGGAGGGGGAGTCTGCCGAGCAGACAAAATGCGGAGCCCCCCCGCCCCGCAAGTGTGTATGTGCGGGAGGCGGGCGGCCGCGGCTCGTCAGGGACCGAGGTAGAGAAGCGGGGGGCGGCTGAAGTGGAGGGGGTTCAGCAGCAGCCAGAGCATGCACTCCGTGCAACAGTTCCCTGCCCTGCCTGCGGAGGAGGAGCGCTACCGGCAGGTCCTCTCCGCCAACCCGGTAAGACGAGCCCGAGGGTGCACCCCGCCGCGCGTGGGGCCGCCTGGGCGACACGGGGCAGGGGGGGGGGGCAGCGTGCTCAGGGGGGACACCCCCGGGTGCCGGAGAAGGGGAGCGCGGCCGCCGCTCCGGCGGGGACTCCCGGGGCGCCGCGCAACGCCCGCGGGGCCGAGCGGCAGGTTGATCGGGCGAGCCCCGCTCCCAGCCCCGCGACCCTTCGCAGCGAGAGCGGGCCCGTGGCTGGCAGGCAGGGCCGGTGCCGTGTCCCCGAGGGAGGCGGCCGGGGAGGGGACGGGCAGGTGACCGCCCGCGGCCAGCCTGCCGCGGTGGGGCCGCCCCAGAGCGCTCCCGTGTCGGAACTTGCGCGGCGGGGCGGGAGAAGCGCCGGGACGGCCGAGTTCGGAGCCGCAGGCTGTAGGTGAATCGCAGTGAACGACCGGTAGCGCTTCACCAGGAGCTTAGCGGCGCCCTCTCCCCGGTTCTCTCCCAGTGAGGAGGGAAGATGAGCGGGGCTCATGCGCTTGTTAACCGCTCTGGCGCTGGGAGGAGCGGGGAGGAGTTGCGCCGAGCCCGACGGCAACAGGTCCGGCCAGGATTTGCAGGAGCGAAGTTTGGGCTCGACCTCCGGCAGGACGGCTGTGGGAGCTCCACCGGGCTCCCGGGGAGCCGACGCACCGTGACCTCGTCCCCGACGCGGGAGCTGCCTCCGGCAGCAGCGAGGTCCGGCTTCCCCCTCGCGTCGGATCCACCCTGGGGTCGGGCGGCGGGACTCCTTCCCCCTCCTCTTCCCTCTCCCTCCCTCCCTCCCGCCCGCGGCTGTCCGGCGGGAAGGTACCGGCTGGCCGCCACCACCCACGGGAGGCGGTCATCCCGTGGAGGGTCACAGAGGGGGGCAGTTAATCCTTGCAGGGACAAACAAAATACCCGGGTGGCTGCAAGTGCCCGAAGGGGCTAGCGCGGGTGCTCCCGGTCTCCCACACAGCCGCGGGGAGGAGGGAGGAGCGGGGCGGAGGAGCACGCCTCGCCCGCCCTGACGGAGAGGCTGCGGGCGGGGGCGGGGGCAGGGGCAGGGGCAGGGGCAGGTCCGAGGCGGCCGACGTTTCAGCACGACCCTGCAGCATCAGCAGCCCCTCAGGCCGCGCTCACCTCCTCGGGCTGGTGCCTCCCCGGTGCGGCCGGAGGGGAGGCGCGGCGGGGGCCGCAGGTGCGCGGCGGGCGGCCCCGCTCCCGCTCCCGGTGGCGGTGGCGGTGCGGAGCCCCGCGGCGAGGGAGGGCTGGCTGCTCGCCCCGGGCGGCGGGGCGGCGCGCAGCGGCGCCGGGCTGGATGCTGTAGCGTTCGGCGAGGCGGCGCGGAGCTTCCCGCGGTGTCGCAGCGGCCCGTAGGCGACCGAACTGGCACAGCAGCGCGGGGTTTACGAGTGTGGAAATACGGCAGTGAACTTCGGAAGTGTCGTTGCCCCGCTTGATTTGAAAGGCAGAATCCTTGGACGCATTTCATGGCAGACGATTAATTAATTAACCTTTATTTTAAATTATTAGCAGTCTGGCTGAGATGGTGAGACTCTTAAGTGAAATCAAATATCTAGAGCTTTAAAGGCATTCACGGGGTCTCTTGGGAAGGTTTAACTTTCAGCAGTAAAAATACGGGAATGGATTTTTCCATATGGCCACTTACACCCTTCCTGTGTTCCTAAAAGATGGACGAGGCAGCAGGACTAAACAGTAGTGCTTTAGTTTTGTTTTTGTGATGGATGCCTTAGTCGGAGATCTCTGTTACAAGCTTCTCAGGTACTGTGGCAGAGAGAGCGTTGAGTTCCTGTGTAATCACTGAGGTAATCCAGACAGCTATGAAGGAACAATACAAGGAATTACAGAACCACTCTGCTTATGTGTCTCTAAGAGCTGGTGATATCGCCCGAGTGTCTTGTACATGAAGGTGCTGTAGGAAGCTGAGGGCTCCTCTGGGGGACAGGGGAATCCCAAGCGATGTCCAAACCTCCTTTAGAAAGGAAATGCTCCTGACTTTTTCTCTCTCCTCCATCAGCTATTTCTGGGGTACCGCGACAGCCGGGTTCTCCTGCCCTGGGGAAGCCCAGCCCTTTGTCCTCTCATGCACACACCGGTAAGGCAGGCACCGGTGTCGGGGGGGGGGGTGAGCCAAGCTTGCTTGTCCGCATCAGAGGAATCCCCTTGTGCTCTATTAGTGTCTGATGGGACCGCCAGAACAAAACATTGGTTTTCCTCAGTCTTTTGGAGCTGGAACTATAAAATACTGAAGCAAGCACTCACTCACTGCTTTTCCAGAAATCTTTGCTGGCACTCGACTGTGCGCCTGTGGTAGATAACTTGAGTGTGTAGTGAATCAAAAGGATAAGATGGTACTGTTGGAGGTGTTCTATAAAATGTGCAATGCACGCAGGGCAATTTAATATAGCTGTGTTATTGTTTAGCTGTTATGTATTAGATGATGTCTGCAGATACAAATGAAAGCCAGGCCTGTTAACAGTGCCAGTAATTATTTTAAAATGCAGGCTAACTTGAGTGCTTGAATGTAGGAGCTGCTTTTTTTTTTTCTTTCTTTTTTTTTTTTTTGTTTGTTTTGGCTAAGCTGATATACATGTTTAAGTCTTAGCACTGTGCTCCCTCAAGGAACATTACTGTCCTGCCATTATGCTAAGGCCATATATTGCCAGACACATAATTTCTTGTTATTACTTCTGTGGCCAAGTGAGGAGTGTGTGTGGACGCTGAAGTGGATAAGCACCCAGGCAGAAATCTCATTTACCGGAAGGGGAATGGTCCTTCCAAGAAAAGATTGAACAGGCACGGGAATGTTGGGATGATTGTACCTGGCAAAGATACCCAGCAGCTCCTGCTCTCAGTGCTACTCAGCTCCTCTAACTAACAAATACGGAACTCTGAAGAAGCCCTTTGTACACAAGTAGGATGACAGCGCTTCCATCTGTGTGGCCTCGTGGCTGTTTGGGCTCTGTGAGCCTTTTCAACGCTGAGGCCTAGCAGATTGAGGCCATCCCGATGCAGCTGGCACAATATAGGCACTGAAGGCACTTCCTTAATCGGTGGGAGCTGTAGCTTGGGCCCTGCCTGCACCAGGAGGCCATGGATACTGGATCATCTGCTTCCAGGCTAAAGTCCACAAGCTGTGAGGCAGTTACACACAACGGCACTACCTCTTGGTGTGGTCAGGTTTTAAAAGATGGCAGCTACCGCTACATTGTGTGGGAAGAGTCAAATCCTGCCAGCGTGTCAGGTATCCTCAGCAAGCACTTACGAGGCCGGATGAATGCCTTGTTTCTGAATGCCAGCCCGGGTTTGGCAGGGATGGGTGTCAGGCCACTTGCAGCAGGGCACTCCTAGGGTTGCACACGCAGCCCAGGCTCTTCTAAATGTGGCAGCCAGACACCTCCTGACTTTTAAATGCCTTCAGGATGGAACCCACTAAGCAGCAGGGCTGGAGGGGGGCAGTCTGATTACGGTTTGAAATACCGATGTTTCTAATCCGTCCCAGCTTCTTTCCCTATCAAAAAGAAACAGACCTCATCAATGGCAGGCTGAGTAAGTACCATTCTTCAGCGCCACGGAAGATGGGTGATAACCCCTTGTGAAGTGATGGATTGTCACAGTAGGACAAGGAAAGCTTAAATCCTTCCTGAAAAGGTCTTCACACACAGAACAACCTCTGAAGACAGTGGTCAGATAGGGTCCAGCTTGACTACTCTCACTGCCTCTGGATTTTTAATTGTAGTGACCCTCCGCAGTCAATTTTTGTCACGTGCGGGTGCACAGTTTTGTCTGGAACTGTCCTGAGCCTCAGTCTGGGTGCCAAGGCATAAGAGTCCCCCTCCACTTGCTGGGATCTGTAACTGGGGGAGTTAATACGTGTGTGAGGTGGGTCCTCACTTCCTGAGAGGCCGCATGAGGAAAAATGGGGGAAAAAGAGGGAACGAAGATCGCCTGGTCCTTTCCTAGGCGTCTGGCCTCCTTGCCAGACGTCGCAGCCTCTGTGTCCTCCGGGCCGGCCTGGCCTGCCCCCTCTTCCCCGGGCCGTGAGCGGCGGCGCGGGGCGGGGCGGGCTGGCAAGCGCGGGTCAAGCCGGGCGGCGCGGCGGCGCTGGGGGTTTCCCCGCCGCAGCCGCCTTGCCCGGCTGTGCTGAGGGACGAGGGGGGGGGAAGTTGGTGGGTGCCTCTCCCAGTTCGCAGCCCCGCGACGTAAGAATAATATGATGCCGATCGCATCCCTTCCCCTCTGTCCCCCGCCCCTCTATAAATAACTCTTGCCGGGCTGACCTGTCAGATTCCCCCGGCAGAGCAGATCCCCTGACCCGGGGCCGCCTGCAGTGGAAAGTCTGAATGCAAAAAATACCGGAGTAAAAATAGAGCAGCCGAGTAGCCCCTCCGGCAGGTCCTAGCGCTCGGTGCCGCACCGGCCCTGGCGCTGACCGCTCCCCGCGCGCTACCTCACGGCTCCCGCGAGCCTGGCTGCGCCTCCCGCCGGACTGCGGCCCCTCGGCCCTGCGCGGCATTGAGGGCTTGCCTCCTGCATCCACACCGATGCTCGCCTTCGTACCTTAATGATGAATTCTGTTCTCCCTTTTAAGCTGTCAGATGGAAGCGTAATTGATTTCTGCTATTCTGCTATGGAACAGATAGGTCTCTTCTAAGTAGTGTTTTTCATCTCCGCTCGTCTTTCTAATCAGCAAAAATGAAAGAAATAGGGATGGTGGTTTAATATCCTAAATGTAAAAATAATAATGAAGCAACGATCAAGCAAAAGCTTGCAGTTTCAAAAAGAGATGAGAATCTTGCTACCTCTGAAGTCCGAATTAGATTTCAACCCGCACCTACCTAGTGTAGAAGACTGCTCCCCTGGAGGAGTAGATTCTCCTCAGCCATGGTTTCAAGCCACTATAATTTAAAGCAATGCTTGTAATTATTTATTTATGCATATGACAGTATTTCTGTTTGTTTTGTTTTTTTTTT